GCGCCCCGTCGGGAGGGCGGGTTGTGGGCGACCTGGAACCGCAGTCTGGAAGGTTCCGTAAACAGGAGCAGCGATGCCCGCTGCCGCCGGCGGAAGTCACGGCTGCTTCCGCGTCCACTCCAGTGCGCAGTCTTGTTCTGCCTCCCGCTCCCGGCTCCTCCTCCCCGCTCCCGCCGCTGCACCTTGAGACAGCTCAGTCCCTTCCCTCACTGGAGGCCCTGCAGACTCTCCTCGCTGGTCCAGGTGCCTCACCCGGGAACCGCAGCTGCCAAGTCAGTGCACATCATAGCTAGCTGTGGGACAGTCCAACGGTTGTTTAGGCTTTTATATCTATAGAAGATGAGCAAAGCTCAACCGGACTTCAAATTACTTCCCATGGAATAATTCAAAATTGTAAACAAAACGGAGTTTGTCAAGAAGTGCCTGGCTGGTGTGGCTCAGTGGTTGAGCATCAACCCAGGAGATCACAGCAGAGCACACACCTGGGTTGCAGGCTGGATCCTCAGTGGAGGGGTCATGCAGAAGGCAGCTGACTCATGATTCTCTCAATATGGACGTTTCTATCCCTCTCCCCCTCTCTTAAATCAATAAAAACATATTTAGCCCTAGTTGGTTTGGCTCAGTGGACAGAGCATCAGCCTGTGGTCCAAAGGGTCCCAAGAACAATTCATTCAAGGGTACGTGCCTGGGTTGCAGGCTCAGTCCAATGTGTAAGAGGCAGCCAATCAATGATTCCCTTTCATCGATGTTTCTATCTCTTCCTCTCTGAAATAAAATATAAAATAAAATAAAATAAAATAAAATAAAATAAAATAAAAAGCCCTAACTGGTGTGGCTCAGTGGATAAAGCGTCGGCCTGTGGACTAAAGGGCCCCAGGTTTGATTCCGGTTAAGGGCATGTACCTTGGTTGCAGGCACATCTCCAATAAGGGGTGTGCAGGAGGCAGCTGATGTTTCTATCTCTATCCCTTCCTCTCTGTAAAAATTCAAAATATATTTTTTAAATTAAAAAAAAAACTTAAAAAATAAGTCTTAATTCCCTGTACTTAAGCTTCTACACTGGGCCAGTCCTCATGAAAATCTTGGGGGGAAAGGGGCTGGGTCTATCTTACAAATAAAAAACTTCTTCGAGAGGGGAGGTTTGTGCAAGGTGACTAGTAACTGGCATGGTGGCCACCGCCTGGGACACAGGACTCTGGATTCCAGCCTGCTGCCCAGGCACCTCGGCCGCCGTGGACACGGCGGGTTTTCGTGGCGGTTCGGGTCTGTCTTTGCCACTCACTAGTGACAGCAGCTGGTGAGGCCAGCAGCCGGACAGGGCTGCTTCCGGCAAACTCCTTGGCTCTGCACCCTGGTCCCAGCAGCTGCTGCTCGTGCCCAGGGACAGAGCCTCAGGGAACCCACCGCAGGAGCCAGCTCCAGGATGCAGCCAACACTGACCTCAGTGCTTTCAGGACGAAATTAAGATCCAGGTGAACAGGTGTAAAATGCCTCAATTCCAAACACAATAACCAGTCTTTTTTTAAAAAATACATAGTTGATTTCAGAGAGGAGAGAGAATCATTGATCAGCTGCCTCCTGCACACCCCCTACTGGAGCCCACAACCCCAGCATGTGCCCTTGACCGGAATGGAGCCCAGGACCCTTCAGTTCACAGGCTGATGCTCTATTCACTGAGCCACATGGGCCAGGGATCTAGGTACTCTTTCTTAAAAAGTACATATTTTATTGGTTTTTTACAGAGAGGAAGAGGGAGAGTTAGAAACATCAATGAGAGAGAATCATTGATCAGCTGCCTCTTGCACACCCCCCACCGGGGTTGTGCCCGCAACCAAGGTGCATGCCCTTGACTGGAATCAAACCCGGGACCTTTCAGTCCACAGGCCAACGCTCTACCGCTGAGCCAAACCGGCTTCGGCAGATGTAGGTACTCTTGACTGAGCACCTGAGTTGTGTAGGTCCCGTGCTCGGCGCTCTAATAAAAGCTCATCTCCACCATAACAGCCAGGTGAGACGGCGCTGTTCCCGCCCATCGCGGCTTCCTGGAGGTTCTGGCACTTTCTCCGGTGGGCATGCTGGCTGAGGTTTAGACGTGATTTGATGGCCTCTGGTCACGTGAGTGAGGCGCAGATCCAGGCTTGTCTATCCACTGAGCCAAACCTGCTGGGGCACGTCGTGTTTCTGTAGCCACTTTAGGAGCATGGAGTGATTTTTGTTATGAGTTTCTCCCATTGACCCTTTGCTCATTGAAGTATGCTTCCTTCTTTCCAAACCTAGAATGGTCTGATTTTGTAACTGTTACTGAATTCTAGCTAAACTATGTTGTCATTAAGGAACATTCTCTAAAAGGAACATCCCTAATGGCTAGTTATGTTAGGCGTGTGTGTGTGTGTGTGTGTTTAATGATTTCAGAGAGAGAAAGGGATAGAAACATCAGTGATGAGAATCATGGATCAGCTCCCTCCCACTCACCCCAAACGGAATGGAGCCCGCAACCCCGGCATCTGCCCTTAACCAGAATCATACCCAAAGCTTATCCACTGAGCCAAGACAGCCAGGGCTATGAGGTCTTATATGTTTATGTGCATGTTGGCCGTTCCTATGTCTGCTTTGATAAGATGTCTATGCCAATCTTTTGCTCACTTTCTAACTGGTTGTCTTATTAAATTGTGAATTAGAGATCCTGAACACAAGCCTCATACTGTGTATATGACTTATAAGTACTTTTCCAAAAACACAAATAGGAAAGATAAAATATTTGAAAAATAAATAGTACTAAAACTGACAATAAAGAAAACCATAAAGACCAATAACAAAGACAAAATTCCAAAACTTGCCTGTCCTTGACCAGTGCGAGGCCTAACTGGGAATAAAAAGCACTAAGACTTTCAGAGTATTTGAAAGGCAGCCAATTCCTCAACATTGCTGATGTGGCATGTATCATTTTTATTTTAAACCTGACTGGACGAATAGAGAGAAAAATAATCGGAGGCCATCTTTGCTCACAACTACAGATGGCATACTACCATAATCAATCAATCTAATAAAAATTAATTTTAAAATCTTAAGCCTAACAAACAGCAGATTATAGAAAATGTAACAAATACTAGTAAGACAAGACTGCAGGAGGAATTCAAGGGTCACACACCGGAGTGTTACCATGGCCAGCACACCCACAACCAGAAGAATGACCTCAAGGAAGCCGAGGAAGTCCACAGGGAGCCAACGATTACCGGTCAAGCCCTTCAAAGAGGCGTGGCTCAGCAGCTGAGCGTTGACCAGGAACCAAGAGCGCATGTCCAGTTTGTGGGACCGAACTCCAGGAGGGGCGTGCAGGAGGCAGCCGATCAGTGATTCTCTCTCATCACCCATGTTTCTACCTCTTTCTCCTCTCCCTTTCTCTCTGAAATCAATAAAAACACTTTAAAAAAAGGGGGGAATAGGAGTTGAGGAACATTTCTTTCTCCTTTCCTTCTTCAAGCTTATTTTTTAAACTGACTTGATAATATATTTTAAAATTAAGTATTATCGGAAAATGCCTCCTATTCCCTTTAGAACAGAAATTGGACAGCAAATGCCTACACACCTCTCATGTCACAAATTGCCAAGTGCTGACTAAAGTCTCAAGGGAGGAATAAGCAAGGTGTGTACCATTATTTGCAGATGTTAACGATATATAAAGGGGGAATACCTAACAAATTCCAGTCTCAATCTGAAAATCATTACACGTTTAGAAACGTTTTTTAAAAAGACAGCTGCATTACTATGTCAAAAACACCATTAAAAAAAATTCAATAAAATCAGGTAAGTCATATTCCAATAAACATTTGAGAGGGTATTAAGTCGATGTGTGCATTAGTTTTAATAAAATTATACAACCAGGGGATGGGGGTGGGCTAGAGATTAATGGGGGGAAATGAGGCATATGTAATACTTTCTCAACAACAAAGATTTATTTTATTTTTTTATTTTTATTTATTTTATTTATTTTTAAATATATTTTATTGATTTTATACAGAGAGGAAGGGAGAGAGATAGAGAGTTAGAAACATCGATGAGAGAGAGTCATCGATCAGCTGCCTCTTGCACACCCCTACTGGGGATATGCCCGCAACCAAGGTACATGCCCTTGACCGGAATCGAACCCGGGACCCTTCAGTCCCCAAGCCGACGCTCTATCCACTGAGCCAAACGGTCCTGGCTCAACAACAAAGATTTAAAAACCTAATAATAAAAAATTACACAACCAGTTTTAAAAAATGAGGCAAATTCTAAGGAACACTTTATAGAACCTGACAAAGTGCTGGTGAAAGTCATCTGGATAAGTGGGCACAATAACCTTTTCTCTAAAATTTTTTTTATTGATTTCAGAGAGGGGCATTCGCACCCAGCCTCGGCTCCTGCACCCACACCACCAGCCGAGGGGCCTCTGCTCTCCTGTGGGCAGCCTGTGGGCTTCCCGCTCCCTGCACTGGTTTGCCGGCTCGTCCCGTTCTCTCCGTTCTCTCCGCTGTCCCCCCAGCACCTCCCGCAGCAGGTGCCCTGGGCCCCACAGACCTGGCGGAGCCCCGCCCTTCCCCGGAGGCGGGGTCAGCCGGTGTGGCCTCCTCCGGCCTCCTCGGGCCTCCACGCCTTGCGCAGGGCTTAGGGAAGGACCTCTGCAAGACAGAGGTGAGACCTGCGCGAGATGCCCACGGAGCCAGGATGTGGGGCGCACTCTATGCCGCCAGGACGACCCCGTCTGTCCCCGAGGAGGCCGCCATCAGAACTGTCCCTGCCGCTCCAAGGCACAGCCCAGACAGAGGGGTGACGAGTCACACGAAAGCTCCAGAGGACCCTCCCCCAGCTCCGTCTCGGCAGAGAGGGTGCGGGGTCCTGACACACGTGTCTGCTGAACATGGGACAGGCACAGCCAGGCCGCCGTCGCCGGGCGCGTCAGCGGGGACGCGGCTGCGAGGCGGAGAGGGGCTTCACCCCCGTGTCGGGGTCCGCCCCTCGGGTCACAGGACCGCAGGCGACATTCCTTTGGCAAAAAAGGACACGCTCTTGTCCTGGATCTTGTACTGGAAGGTGAGGCTCCGACCCCGCGCGGCGGGCGGCCATGGTGTCCGCCAGAGGACCCGCAGCTGCAGGACAGGAGAGAATGAGGCCCCGCCCAGTACTGCCCCGTGACCCCCGGCCCATTCGTGACCTCCGACCCCCAGCCCCTCCGTGACCCCCGCCCGTCCGTGACCTCCAACCCCCCAGCTCCTCCGTGACCCCCAGCCCGTCCGTGACCCCCAGCCTGTCTGTGACCTCCGACCCCCCACCCCATCCGTGACCCCCAGCCCCTCCGTGACCTCCTGACCCCCCAACCCCTCCGTGACCCCCGACCCCCCAGCCCCTCCATGACCTCCAGCCCGTCCGTGACCTCCTGACCCCGGGTCCGAGTTTAAAGAACACCTCCCCACGTGAGGTCACCCGGCACACCTGCCCGTGCACGTCCCTGCAGGAGCCGGTGGCCAGGCCCTCGGCCCGCAGGACCAGGCGGCTCTGGTGACTGAGGCCGTTCAGCAGGAGCTCGCTCTCCTCGTCCTCGGCGTCCGAGTGCACCAGGGCCACTATGTTTCCCTGCAAGACAGACGGAGCCTCTCCTAATGGCGGGACACCAAGACCGGGCCGCCCGCCCTCTCCCAGGTCAGCCTCCGCCGCCACCTCGCGACCAGCCCTTTGCGGGAGGGCCCTGCCTGGGCTCCAGCCCCATGGACATCTGATCGCCAGCACATCCAACCTGCACTTCCAGCTCTACCGCCTGAAACCACGCACGGCGGGCGGACGGAGGGTCCCGGTCCCACCGCCAAGGGACATGCCTCGGCTGCAGGTGCCTGGGCCCTGGTCCGGGCGTGTGCGGGAGGCAACCCATCGACGTGTCTCTCAAGGGGTGTTTCTCTCTCCCTCTCCCTCCCACTCCCTCTAGAAGGCAATGGAAAAATATCCTCGTGTGAGGACTAACAGAAAACAAAATAAAATCTCTATCATGGTCAAGTCTCTTGTTTTGCCTACGGCTTTACAGTACAGGTTACAACCCACACTTATCCTGCCCTCACAATTCTTAAAGCAATCTGTACCTACAGCCACACCCAGAGAGACAGTGACCGCCCGGGAGGGACACGGGCTGGGCCTCGCAGCACCACACGCCACCCACGGAGACGACAGCCGGGCCTGCCCGCCGCGTACCTGCAGCCGGCAGCACACGCGGGCCCTGCAGCGGTGCACGAAGTCCAGCACCGCGCCCGCGCCCGCGCCCAGGCTCAGCAGCACGCTGAGGTCGTCCACCAGCAGCACCGGGCGCCCCCAGGCGGCCGCCCCCGGGCCCCCGGGGTCCAGGGCGTCCCGCACGAACTGGAACAGCGGCTGCAGGCTGCCGGCCGTGGCCTCCCTGGAACGAGGCAGAAGTCAGCAGAGCTCCATCCCAGGGAGGGCGGGGAGGCAGAGAGCGGATCCCAGGCTGGGCCCAGGCGTCAGGGCGGTCGGCCAGGAAAGGAGAGCGAGCCGTGAGCTGTGCTCCAACACACATGCCCGAGGCCCCGAGCACACGCCTGACCCGCGGCTGGGCCGGAAGGTTCCTGTGGCTGGGCAGGTCCTGATTGGGCTCAAAAACTAAACAGCAGCTCAGGTCCTGGCGCGAGGGCTCTGGCTTCAGGGCGGCTGGTGTGTGACATGAACCTGTTTTGAAGGAGCCGGCCCAGATGCCACCGCCCTGTGCCCCCCAGAAACCGAGCCAGTCACCATATAGCCCACCATCCGGCCCAGGGTCAGAGCGAGGGCTCCCAGGAATGCCCGGCCCGAAGCCACTCCGACCTCCCACACACCGAGGGGGAGGCCACAGCAGCGCCGGGCCGGCCCCCAGCCGGGCCCGGGCTGGGCTGCCGCCGCACTGACCTGAGGAACCGCAGGGCGGGTGCCTCCCCCTCAGCCTGGAAGAAGGTGTCCACCGCCGACCGGAGCCCCTCCAGGAAGACCAGCTGCCCGCGCTCCCGGGCCGAGGTCAGGCTGACACCCTGCGCACAGCCAGGAGAGTGAGCCACGGCACCCCCACGGGAACCCCAGGGCTCACCTCAAGCTCTCAGGAGGGTGCGGCCCCCAAACCCTGCAGCGTGCACACTCCCTCAGGGGCCTCCCCACCGAGTCTGAGATACTTACCAGCTTCTGTCCCACGATGTTGTAGTGACTGAAGGACTGAATGAGAGCCACAAAGCACACCTTACAGTTAGCTGGAAGACAAAACAGACTTATCCGAACACCGTCTGTGCACACCCTCCTCTCCCCGCGCCTCTGCAAACCAAGCTCCGAGGCCGTCTTAGAGGCTCAGGCGTCCTGCGACCTAAAATACCAAGTTTGATTCTCAGATGCGATTTTTGAAATGTTTAATAATTGTACCTTTTACAATTGATTCTGAGATGTACTTTTGTTAGATGTATTACTGGCTACCTTGTTTTAATACAATTTGGTCTTTAAACAATTATGTTTTTCTGTTTGCGGTCAGTGTACAGGAGTACAGTTAACTTTTTCTTTATTGACTAAGGCATTACATATGTGCCCTGATCCCCTCATTGCCCCTAAAATGAATTTTTGAAACTGGCCCTATATCCGAGAGAGATAAAGGAAACACAAAGACGCTCTAGCCACCTCACTGCACGTAATCAATTCTAACGAACAGCCACCTGGCCCCCAGACACCGGCGAGCCCCATTTCTTCCTGGAACAGGCTTCTCTGCAGGCTTCCCGCCTCAGGCTTCTCTCTCAGTCGCCTCAATGGGTCCCTTACCTTTGAGGTAGAAGGAGAGAAAGTGGTGGACAAGGAAACTGCCATCGGTGTTAGCGTCACAGAGCAGAGTCAGCTTCCCCTGGAAGGAAGAGGAACACAAAAAGGAAGTCAGAGGGCAGCTGGCTGTATACATCTGAAGAGTAGGTGTGTGTAATTCATATGTATACGTAAGTATGTAACACACATGTGTGTGATACATATGCACTAGGATTATAAAAAAGTAAAAATGGTGAGAAAAACAACAATTACAGTGATCAGTATTAAGTCACTCATTATGGGCAAGCATATCTTGGCTTCCATTTCCCCGGAGCAAAACAGGGAATAAATTCCCTCCTCTTCCTCACTCTTCACCTAGTAACTCAGGGACTAGCCTGGGAGAATGAGATACTTAACAAAGGAAGCATCTACCATCAGAATCCAACAAAAATCAGCCTGCCAACACTAGGAGGGACCTTCAAACACTTCTCCAGCTTCCTCCCTACTTCTAATTCTGGTGTCGAGTCCGTCATGGAGGGTGGGAAGGAGGGAATGTGTGGTGCTAACAGGCCTGTGTCCAAAGGCCCTGGACACTGCCTCAGGCGAGCTCTGGCCACGAGCCTGGAAAGACCTCTCAGGATGCCGTCTCTGACCAGCCACCTCGAGTTCCTTGTCAAGATCCAGGGGCTTAGACACGCCACCTCTGTGCTGTTGTGACTTTTCTCACTTATGAAACATGAGAGATGCCCTGGCCAGTTTGGCTCAGTACTAGGTAGCTAGAGCGTTGGCCTGCTTGGCCCACAGACTGAAGGGACCCGGGTTCAATTCCGGTCAAGGGCACCACGACCTCGGTCGCAGGCTGGATTCCTGGCCCCCAGCTGGGGTGTGGAAGAGCAACCAATTGATGTTTCTCTCTGTCCCCACCCACCCACCTTTCACTCTCTCTAAAAATCAATGGAAAATATCCTCAGATAAGGATTAACAATAAATGTTTAGAAATGTATTTCTTAAGACAAAACAGATATGGAATATCACAGTATAGCTCCTGAGGGTCACCCCCAGGGCTGTCATCCCACTGGGATCCCCCACTCCCTAGCTGGGCCCTGGGCTGAACACTTGGGTGGCGCAGAAGTCATTGGTAAGGTAGCCAGCGCCACCTGCAGGCCTGGGCAGCTAAGAACTGCTGGGCGGCTATGAAATCCACAAGGATCTATGGAAACTGATCTGCCTGGCGCTAGGCGGTCATAGAGGCCTCTTGGCTGGCTGAGGAGCTTGACATGGCGTCACGAAGACAAAGGTTATGAAACAAACCAGGGATGTTCCTGGGAGAGGTACCCCCTGGGCTAAACGGTGAAAAATGCCCCAGGAGGCGGGAAGCGCGGGAAACACAAAGGTGGCCTTGGCACACCCCGCGTTGGCTGAGAGCAGCTGCGAGGCGCGCGTCCAGGCACCATGAGAGGGACGCGTCGGAGGAGCAGCAGCGATCCCCGCCACCTGCGGGGGCCCCGAGCCAGAAGGACACGCAGGACGGGGAGGCAGCTGGGCCCCGGGGAGGTGGAGAACCAAACCCTCCTCTGCTCTCAGGCAACCTCCCCCGGCGCCGGGACCCCCACGCGGTGAGCACGCCGAGGGCCCCGGAACACGTTTGTGAACCAAAGCCCGTCCGTTCGTCGAACACGCTTCCCAGAACGTTCGCGGGCACCACGGCCTGCGAGAAGGCGCGGACGTCCGCCTCCCGCGGGGCCCGAGGCCCAGCCAAGCCCGGCCGGCCCTCCCTGGACTACAACTCCCAGGCACACCGGCCGGTGGACGCAGCGTCCTTCCCGCGGGTCCGCGCGCCCTGCACCCGGGACGCGCGCTTCCGCCGGGCTCCAGGGACCGCCCCTCCCCGCCGCGCGCGTTACCGATTCCGGCCGGTCCGGGGAGGCATCGAGGAGGCTGTTGAGCTCGGGGAACATCCCGCGCTCGCGGAGCGGCGTCCTGGACCGGGAAGCAAAAGCGCCGCGGAGAGGAGCCGGGACCGCCGCACACAGCACCCACGCCCCCGGGCCAGGAGCACGCGCGACACTGCCTGCACCTACCGCAGCCAATCAGGAGGCGCCTGGACCTGGGCGCTTCCGGCGCCCGCGTGATGACGCGCTTCCGGCGGCTGTCCCTCCGCTCCCTCGGCCGGGCGGCGGCAGAAGCTACATCACGTTCAGTTCCTATCCTGCGGATCTGCGGCGTGGGAGCCCACTCAGTGGCGCCCTCAAGGCCCCCGCAATCGGCTCTTCTTCCTCCCCTAAGCCTCACGCTGCCCGCCCCGGCGAGCTCGGGCTGTGCTAGAAACGTGGGCTGCGTCCGGGAAGGAGAGGGACCTGGGGTCCGCCCTGGCACAAAGCAGAAAACAAACATGGAACTAGGCATTGGAAAGTCCAGTGGGATGCATAAGCCAAACTAACGGACAGACAACGGGGGAGGGGGTCAGGGGTAATGGGGGAATAAGGACACATACGTAACACGGTAATCAATAAAGAAATTTTTTTAAAAAAAGAGCCCTAGCTGAAACCAGTGTGCTAAGTGGATAGAGTGTCGGCCTGAGGACTGAAAGGTCCCAGGTTTGATTCTGATCAAGGGCATGTACCTTGATTTCAGGCTCGATCTACAATATGGGGCGTGCAGGCAGCAGCTGATGGATGTTTCTCATTAATGTTTAACTCTATCCCTCCCTGTTGAAATCAATAAAATTCTCTCTGTTGAAATCAATAAAATATGTTTTTTAAAAAAAAGACCGAAAGCAGAACCTCAGTTTCCTGCACACCTGTGTTCACAGCAGCGCCGAGGGGAGCGCCAGGCCTGGCTCTGGCTGTGAAATGGGAAGGGGGTGCTGGGCTGGACCCCTGGGCTCATGCTGGGCTGGGCTGGCCCCATGGGTACTGGTGGGCTGGGCTGGCCCGTGGGCACCGGCTGGGCTGGGCTGGGCTGGCCCGTGGGCACCGGTGGGCTGGGCTGGCCCGTGGGCACCGGCTGGGCTGGGCTGGCGGCAGGGAGGCCTCCACCTCCTGCAGTAACAGGAACCGGCCAGCAGATGGCGGGCGCGCCTGCCGCCTCCCAGGACAGGCGGCCGGGCTGGGGGACCCACACCTGTTCCCGTCACAGGGTCAGGGGGCTGAGCAGGGGCAGGTGGCGCCCGCTGCTGGGAGGCCTGTGCGCCTGTCCTTCTGCAGATGGTCTGCCCTGGTGGCCGCCTGCCCAGGCCGGGCCCTCCGAGAGCAGGAAGACAGCACAGACTCCCAGCTCACAGCCTTTGGCGGGGCCATGTGATCAGCTGGAAGTGGGCACGTGGCAGCGGGAAGGACCCCCCTGGCGCCCTCGACACCCTGATTTCAGATTCTGGCTCCGGAATGGAGAAGGTTCGTGTTCCTGTTGGCTTAGGCCCATGGTCGGCAAACTGCGGCTCTCGAGCCACGTGGGGCTCTTTGGCCCCTTGAGTGTGGCTCTTCCACAAAACACCACGGCCTGGGCGAGTCTGTCTCGAAGAAGTGGCGTTAGAAGAAGTTGAAGTTTAAAAAACTTGGCTCTCCAAAGACATGCCAGTTGTCATCAGAGCAGCAGCCTCAGGAAAGAGACCCTCCCGGCCCCTCCTTTTGGGGTTTTGACCGGTTCTGGGAGCAGCTGAGCCCTGTGCCCGGGGAGACCCCAGACCTCTCACGGCGGGCTCCGGGGAGACCCATCCCCATGTCTGTGCCTCGGCCCTGCCTCCCGCTCCCCGGCTCTGGGCAGTGATGGGCAATGCATGAACCAGGTGGCTGCTGGGTGGGAAGCGCAGGCCACGGGCTCAGGGACTCCCCGCCGCCTGGCCAGCCCCAGCTGCAGATGGTGCAGCCCCCCAGTCCCGCCCTCACCCCCAGGCCTTCCCCTCAGGAGTCCAGCCTGGGCCTCCGCTCCCTGGAGCACCTGGTTGACAGCAGCCCCACTGGGTTGCCTGCCCATATTCTAGATGCCAAAACTGAGGCTCAGAGAGGGGAGCAGAGGGCCCCACCCCTAGCCCACCTCCCCCTCCACTCAGCCAGCTCACAGGTGGCTCCCCCAGCTGCCGCCTGGTTGCCATGGAGCCGGAGGAGGAGGAGGAGGGGGGAGGGGGATGTCTGAGAGGCAATCCCAAAATACACACCAGCGGGCCCTCCCTCTCCCCAGCACCAAAGCCTCCTTTGGGGCAGGTGGGCAGGGCCTCTTCCTGGCCAGGCAACCGGGAGCAAAGGAGATCCAGGAGGCAGAGGGTCCGGGTGGTGGGTTCTGGGACCCCAGCCTCACCCAGCAGATGTCCTGGACCCGGGCCCCATCGCCCTTCCACAGCTCCCGACCAGGCGGCTCTTTCCTGCCTCCCCGCCTTCACACATGCAGTTCCTCCACCTCCAATGCCCTTCCCCGTCCTTCCGGTCCCAGCTCGTCCCCTGGAGAACCTTCCCCGAGTCCCGCGGGGCTCCCCTGCACCCCTCCCCCAACCCTCCACCCCAGTTACCGCCGTTCTCTGGACGGCATTCTCACGGGCGGGCGGTGAGGTCTTGCAGTGCGAGCTTTGCCTTAGTGCCCAGCCCCCGGCACAGACAGGCGCTCAGAATCCGGAAGGAAGGGGAGGAGGAAGGGAGGGAGCAGAGAAACACCTCTCAAAGCAGTGGTCGGCAAACTCATGAGTCCACGGAGCCAAATGCAATAAGGTGACCAGATGTCCCGCTTTTGGCGGGACAGTCCCGCGTCCCGCGGCGTTTTAAAAAAGTCCCGAAGGAGCTGGCCTTGGGGGCCCACGGAGCCCCCGGCCGGTGGCAGCGGGCACAGGGCCAGGTGCACCAGCAGAGGGCAGCTTGCGCCCGGCACCTGGTGACCACAGGGACCAGGAAGAGCAGTGGAGGAAGGGAGAGGGAGCTGGGGGGCTCTCCCGTCCAGAGCCTGCTCCCCTCAGGGATGTTCCCCCATTTCCAGCCCTCCTTCTCCCCCCACGGTCCCTCCTGCCCAGAGTGAAGCCTGGAGTCCTCTCCCACCCCCTTTCCCACCCCAGCCCCACTGGCTCCTTGTTGCTGCTTTTCTTTCTCTTCCCACTGATTGTCAGAGAAACGTGGATGGGTGCCTCCTGCAGACCAGGGCCCCGGCCGGGGAGGAGCCTGTAACTGAGACAGGTGCCCTTGACCAGAATCACACCGGGGGCGGGGGGCGGGGGCAGCAGGCCGGGGCCGCCCGCTGGTGACGGACGAGCTGGGCCGTCGTCCATCAGAGGAACAGACAGTCACCCGGTCTGTCCCCAGGGAGGAAGCCTCAGCCAAGCGCTCCGGCCGCGAGATTCCACCGGAGAAACCCTGGACCCTAATGCTGCTGTTCCAGGGCAGAGCCTCCTGCGGGCGGAGGGCCGGGGGTCCCAGCTCGATTCCCGCCAAGGGCACGCACCTCCGTGGGGGCCCCGGCAGGGGGCAGCCCACCGATGTGTTTCTCTCCGTCTCCCTCTCCCTCCACTCTCTCCAAAACCAGTGGAGACACCTCGGGGAGGATGAACGAAGGAGGAGAAAACCAGAGCGGGCAGCACCGGCCTGTTCAGCGACACCGGCCTCGGCGCCAGGCGGGGCAGGCAGCCCCGCGGCCACTCCCCCCTCCCGCTCCCCTCGCCTCTCTGGGCCTCGGTTTCCCTCTGGGAAAATGCCCATGGAGGTGGGCTCTGGGGCTGCGCGAGCGGGCAGGGCAGGTGAGGATAAACTCCGGACTCCCCTGTGGGGCAGGGCGGCGTTATCAACGCACCTTCCTTCCACCCTGACTTTCGTGGCTCTGGGATCCCCCAGGGATCCCCAGCCGCCCGGGGGGCTCCCCTGCACCAGCTGAATGAGGCCAGCCCCCTACCTCCACCCCTACCCCCACCCCCACCCCGGGCCCTGGCGCGGCCTCAGCAGACCTCATGGCTGGGTGCCAGGCTCCAGCCCCGAGCAGGGGGGGTCCCTGTGCTACCCCAAAGCCCAGTTCCCTCCTCCCCCTGTGTTCCCGTCCCGGGACTCTGAGCCCGTGAAAGTGCAGCCGGAGAATAAGAGCCCCTTGTCCAGGCTCTGAGCCCTAATCCTCTTACATGTCAGCAGCGGAAGCGGCCGGGGGTGGGGGGGAGGCGCAGGCTCTCCCGTTTCCCTGCCAGCGTCCCTGGTCCCACGAGCTGGTGCCAGCCCAGGCCCTCCCCAAGGGACGGCGGCCGGCCAGCCGCTGCACTGCTGTGTCACCGCTCAGGCTCTGTGCACAGGAGCTCCGGGCGGCGCTGGGCAGCCCCGGGTCCAAGCCCCCGGGCCTATAGGAGGCTCAGAGTCCCAGCGTCGCCTGGGCGGCCTGGCCCTGAGTCTGTCCCCCCACGCCCCCCCCCCCAGCCCAGACAGTCCTTCCAGCAGTGAGGGGCCTCGCTGGGCAGTCCCGGGGTCCCTCAGGGCTCAGCTGCCCCTCCAGGGAGCAGGGACGGAGCCTGGAGCTCAGCCCAGCCTGAGGAGAGAGGGACAGGCACCTCCTGCCAGGCCAGAAGGGGTGGTGGGGGGACAGGTGCTGGGAGGAGGGCGGCCAGGCCCTCTCAGCAGGAAGGGGCAGCGCCCCCAGGAGGACGGTTCTCTGAGAACCTCACCGGGGCCTGGGCGTCCGAAGGGGGCAGCGCCCGGGAGACGGGGCTCAGGAACGCGGGGAGCCGGCCCTCCATGCCGGTGAGCCACACACTCCTCTGGTCTCCGTGGGCTTGGGGGTGACTGTCCTCCCGTGGACACGTGGACCCCAGAGCCAGGTGCTGTGCCTGGTGCTTGGCAGCCCGGCCGCCACGGGGACCAGGGAGGCCCTCTTTCCTGTGGGAACGGCTCCGCTGCCAGCAGAGAGCAGGCGGCTCCCTGGCGGCCCTCCTGGCAGCCGCGCGGCCTCGGGCAGGGACCCAGGCCCCCGGGGCGCCCCTTTCTCCGGCTGAAGGACCGGGGTGACCTTGTGGCCCGGAGAGCCGGCCGAGCAGGAAGCCCGTGTCGCCCTCGAGAGGGGGAAGCAGCCACCAGAGTCCAGACAAGCAGCGGGCCGCGCCTCCCGCCAGCGGCCCAGTTAGGCAGCGGGCATTCCCTCCGGCGCTGGCCCGGCCTCAAAGTGCCGCTTGGGCCTGGCGGCGGCCGTGATGGACGCTGGCGGCCCAGGCGCCCCTGGGCCTGGCTCGGGGACTCAATGAGGACGAGGTGCCAGGGCAGCAGCCCAGGTCCCTCCCGCGGGGCAGGCACAGAGGGAGCCAGGGCAACAGGAGGCAAAGCCAAACACAGGGCCCCCTGGGACCTCTGCACAGGCTTCTCCTGGGAACCCCAAAACAGGGTGTCATTGGGGTCCAGGTATGGTTCACCCCACAGGGTCCCCAATGGGCATGCAAAGGTGGCTCAGCCCTCTTCCAGGCCCAGGGCCATGGAGAAACTGCCTGTTCTCAAAGAACTACAGTCCTCCATCCCCCATCTATCCATCCACCCACCCACCCATACACCCATACACCCATACACCCACCCATTCATCCACCCATTCATCCACCCATCCACTCATCCATCCACCCATCCATCCACTCATCCACCCACCCATCCATCCACCCATCCACCCACCCATCCATCCACTCATCCATCCACCCATCCACTCACCTACCCATCCACCCATCCATTCATCCACCCATTCATCCACCCATTCATCCACCCATCCACTCATCCATCCACCCATCCATCCACTCATCCACCCACCCATCCATCCACTCATCCATCCACCCATCCACTCACCTACCCATCCACCCATCTATCCATCCATCTATCCATCTACCCACTCACCCACCCATCCAACAAAGACTGCACCTACTGGCTGTGCCTGGGGCCACAATTATGAATATGAATCTGCTCTAAAAAAACAACAACGATATTCTAAGGAGGTCAGACAACACAGTGACTCAATGATGGAAAGGCAGAGCGGCAGCCAGTGGTTTGAGCGCTGAATCCCATTGATTCCCTCTGACTAGGCGGAGCCTGTGTAACCGGTCCTCGGTCCCTCTCTGGAGAGTGGGAGTAATGGGAGGAAGTGTCTGTTGCAGACACAGGCATTCCCTTGTTCCCGGAGAACTAAAGCAACAAAAATTACAGACCAACACCTCTCAGGAACTTAGAGGCAAAACCCTCAACAAAATATTAGCAAAGTCCCTCACTGGCGTGGCTCAGTGGATAGAGCGTTGGCCTTCGGACTGAAGGGTCCCAGGTTTGATTCTGGTCAAGAGCATATGCCTGGGTTGGGGGCTCGATCCCCAGTGTGGGGCGTGCAGGAGGCAGCCAATCAATGATTCTCTCTCATCATGGATGTTTCTCTCTCCCTCTCCCTTCCTCTCTGAAGTCAATAAAAATGTATTTTTAAAAACATAAAGAGAAAGTAAGAGAGAAAAGAATATGCCTTATATACACAGTCACAGGGCAGGGACCCTTCTCAGTGACAGGACCCATCAGACAACGGGCTTTCCTCCCATGAAGCCGAGGCAGCCCCCTGTCAGCCTGTCCTTTCCTCAGAGACGCACACAGGGAGCTGAGGGGGTGGGGAAGGCAGAGAGAAGGGCCGGGACCATCATCGGAGAGCACCTCGGGCTGAGGGGGCTCAGCGCTGGGATGGGGAGGGAGCCCACGGCTGAGCCCCCGGCTCAGGCCCAGGAAGCCCGGCTCCAGCAGGAGACAGCCGGCACCGACAGACATCGCAGATCCGATTGCAGCGCGTCAGCTCCTGCTCCGGGCAGACTCCTGGCAGCATGTCCCGTCCCACCGGCCCGTCCCTCCGGCCTGTGCCGAGCCGAGCCGGCTCTGCGCTGCGTGTCCTAACTCTCCTGTGGGGAAGACGAGGCACGGGGCGGCCGGCCGGGATCCCCACGCGCCTCAGCGCAGCCCGTGGGGTGGCTCCTGGGGCGAGGCCGGAGGGGCCTCCCGGGAAAGCCGCTCTGTCCCCGCTGCAGAGAGAACAGGACGTCCTGAGCAGAGCCCTGCCACCCCTCCCCACCGCCCTCACGGACATGGCCGTCACCCACACGGCCCTCACGCACACGGCCCTCACGCACACGGCCCTCACGCACACGGCCGTCACACACACGGCCCTCACGCACACGGCCCTCACGCACACGGCTGTCACGCACACGGCCCTCACGCACACGGCCAGCACGCACACGGCCCTCATGCACACGGCTGTCACGCACACGGCCCTCACGCACACAGCCGTCACACACATGGCTAGCACGCGCACACACAGGCCGGACCCAGCAGTCTACACACAGCCCTGGGTCCACAGCAGAGAGTAGACGGGGCCGCAGCACCAGTAGGGCCACCACGAAGGTGCCTAGAGGCACACAGAGGCCTATGTCAGCTGTCTCTCCCGCAGCCCGTCCGTCCCTCCCGCAGCCCGTCCGTCCCTCCCGCAGCCTGTCCACATGGAGCGTGACTGTCCGTCTCATCCAGCTGGAGGGCCTGGCCCAGCACGGCCCTGGCCGTGTGCACGCTGAATGAATAGCTAAGAAAGTCTGCCTCCTCCTGCCTTAGTTCCATTCCATTTTAAAATATTTCTATTGATTTCAGAGAGGAAATGAGCGGGAGACACAGAGACATCAATGATGAGAGAGTCACTGGTCGGCTGCCTCCTGGATCAAACCGAGGACCAGGGCGTGTGTCCTGACCAGGAATGGAACGGTGACCTCTTGGCTCATAGGTCAACGTTCAACTACTGAGCCACACCAGTCGGGGTACTTCCTTGGTTTTACAGAGAAGGAGAGGGAGGGGGAGAGAAACATCAATGTGCTGCTCTGCTTCCTCGGCGTTCCTTGGTTGATCTTGGATATGCCCTGGCTGGGGATGGAACTGGCAGGCCTGGTGAGTAGGACGAAGCGCTGACCCGGGCCAAGAGTGAGCTTGGTAGTCGGAGCTACAGACCAAACTGGCCGAGTCTGTGTCCCCGGAGCCGTGTGCTGAAGCCCTAACCCCAATGTGATGGTGTGAGAGACAGGCCCGTGGGTTAAGTGAGTCATCGTGGTGGGACCTGACCCAATAGGGCTGGTGTTCTTATCGGAAGAGAAACACAGATCTCTCTCTCTCCCCCCCTCTCCTTCCCTCCCTCTCCCTCTCTGTCTGTCTGTCTGTCTCTCATGCACAGAGAAAACGCTGCACAAGGACACACAGAGACGACGGCTCTTTCCAAGCAGGAGAGGCCTCGCCAGAGACCAGCTCTGCCGGCACCTGGACGGTGACCTGCCGCCTCCAGAACGCAGGGGGCAGTTCCACCGCCCCGGCTCCAGGCCTGGGGGTCAGTGCCGGAGCGCGAGCAGACGCCTCTGACACCGTCTCTGGGACTCGCCCGTCTGCAGACACGCCCGCCCCGTGGGAGACGAGAATCCAACTCAGACGGACGAGGACGGGAAGGGAGCGGACATGGGATGCCAGGAAGACGGCTTTTTAAAAAGTTTTATTTCAAGAACGGTTGTTGTGTTTACTGGTATTTCAAAAAAAGGTGGACCCGAGTACAAAAAGAAAAAGTCAGCTGGATGACAGCGGAGGCTTAGAAACCACAGCGGCAGAAGCAATGGACGGACAGACGCACAGACACCCCCACGGACGCGGCGCTGCTCGGCTCGCGGCCGGCGGTCTCCCTCCTGGACAACACACGGAGCATGCCATGAGACAGAAAAGGGAAAGCTGGACGCACAGCTACCGAGGGCGACCGTGACCTCTCCTCGCCGCCCGCCCCGTCAGGTCAGGTTGTTCTGCAGGCAGTTGGCCTCCAGCTCGGCCGGGTCTCCGCGGCCGCCCTCCAGCTTGGGCGACAGGGAGTTCTGGGCCAGGAAGGGCTCCTCCTCCTTCAGGCAGGACTTGAGGACCTCGGGGATCTTGTGGGGGGCGCTGGGGTCATCCTGCAAGGGGCACAGAGGTGAGGGTGGGGCAGGGTGGAGACGGAAGGCGGGAGAGGGACCGAGGGACCTTGGCTGGAGACAGGCTCGCAAACACTGTTCTCTCTTCCTTTGTAGAAAGATCTGTTTGCACTGATGTCAGAGGGGAAGGGAGAGGGAGAGAGGAACATCAATGATGAGAGAGAATCAGGCTGCCTCCCGCAGGCCCCACGCTGGGGGGGGGGTGGGAAGGAAGGCTGGACCAGGACAGGATGCCCGTCAGGCAAGGGGCGGGGTGAGGGGGTGGAGCAGCCGCTTTGCCCTCAGGGGCCTGCATCCTTGGGCCGCCCTCTCCTTGGCTCTGATGCCAGCCTTGAACTTGGGAGTCTCTTGGTGGGGCCACATCCTGGAGTCCCTGTTCCTCCTCCACCGTCACCTCCATTAACTCCGTTCCTCTCCCCTCCGTGCCCTCCCCACCCCCAGCCTCTTCTCAGGGCTGGTGAAGAAGGACTCATCACTCATTCTCTCCCCCCCACCCCGAGCTGCGCCCTCCCCAGACTAGAACCAGGAACAGCGGCCTGGAGCTGTGCCCCACACGGCAGTGTGGCCCCTTTCCGCGCGCCCGTGGCAGCTGTGGTGGGCGGTGCAGCGTGGAAGCTCTGTGGACGGGAGGCCCCAGCGAGCCGGGCTTTGTGGTCCGTATTTCAAAGACCTTCCCGGCCGCGGCTCCGTCCGCGCTCCCCGGCTCTCCATGCGCGCTGGTGCCTTCGCCACGGCACGGAGCGCCCGGCAAGTGCAGAGCACTGGGATTGGGTGGGCGCTGTTTTACTTGTTTTTCTTTTAACTTTTTAAAATATAGTTTTAAATTGCTTTCAGAGAGGAAGGGAAGGGGGAGAGAGAATCATGGATGGGCTGCCTCCTGCACGCCCCCCACTGGGTATCAAGCCCACAACCCGGGCCTGTGCCCTTGACTGGAATCAAACCCAGGACCCTTCAGTCTGCAGGACGACGCTCTGTCCACTGAGCCGCACCGGCCAGGGCCTGCTTCCTCGGGACCTGCCTCCGACAGGGCCTGGTCTCTGCCTGGGGAGTCCAGCGAGCACAGAGGGCAGGTTCTTTGGAGGAGTCAGTGCGGACGTGTCCTGGTTTCAGCTGGTGTTTATCCGGCCCAGAGCCATGGCCCCCGCTGCCCTCACCATGGCCTAGAGGTCTGCCAGGACTTAAGGCGCCAGAACTGTGTCAGACGTGTGTCCAGCCCCCCAAAGGGCTGCCCTCCTGGCTTCAGTGACCCACAGGCACCCCGCAAGGAAGGCCGAGCTTCCTGCTCGACAGAACGAGCGGGAGGACCCCTCTGCTCCCCGCAGCTCTGCGAGCCGGGAGAGATGTGCCATCCAGCCCCCTTCCCACGCCCACGGCTCCCCCACCCCGTCCCGGCCGCCCCCTGGGGACCCGGGAGCCGAGGGGGCAATGCACAGAGACACTCGCAGGCCCAGCAGGCTGAGCACACACGGGGAGGGAGGTCACAGGGGAGCGAGAGGCGGGGGCGGGCAGAGGCGGGCGGGTCCTTACGTTCGGGTGCGAGCCCTCGGCGATGGTGGACAGGGAGAAGTTGTCGTTGTGGAGCTCGGACGGGGTCCGGAACTTGCTGGAGTGACAGAGAGGAGGCGCACGTGAGGGAGTGATGGGGCAAACGCAGAGGATGCTCAGGGCCCCGGGCGGGCGGCACCTCGGCAGCCGCCGAGGCCGGGACAGACGCCCGGCTGTTCGCGCGCCACCGAGTGAGACGCCTGCCGCTGTTAATCTTTACTTTTCAAATATGTTCCTATTGGCTTCAGAGGGAAAGGAGGGGGAGGGGGAGAGAAACATCCATGAGGAGAGAATCATGGATGGCTGCCTCCTGCACGCCCCACACTGGGGATTAAGCCCTGTGCTCTGATCAGGAATCGAACCCGGGACCCTTGGGTCTGCAGGCTGAAGCTCTGAGTAGCCTCTGGGGGGATGGGTGGGGGACAAATGGGCTGGGCGGCGGCAGAGCGCACGGCGCAGCCTCTGCTGGATTCCGGCACTTTCTGTGAGGGAATGGTGATGCCTGGAGGGTCTTTGGTGTGGAAACACAACTGGGCCGGCCGCATGGCTCAGGGGTGAGCATCGACCTGTGAACCAGGAGCTGCCGGCTCACCTCTAGTGGGAGATGTGCAGGAGGCAGCCAATCCATGATTCTTTCTCTCTCAGCATTGATGCTTCTCTCTCCCCCTCCCCCTTCCTCTCTGAAATGAATAAAAATTTATTTAAAAACACACACAAGCCAAAACCCGTTTGGCTCAGGGGATAGAGCGTCGGCCTGCCGACTGAGGGGTCCCAGGTTTGATTCTGGTCAAGGGCATGTACCTTGGTTGTGGGCACGTCCCCAGTGGGGGGATGAGCAGGAGGCAGCTGATCGATGTTTCTCTCTCATCGATGTTCTAACTCTCTATCCCTCTCACTTCCTCTCTGTAAAAAAATCAATAAAAAAATTATATATATATATGATTCTCCCTCATCATTGATGTTTCTATCTCTCCTCCTCTCTTCCTCTCTGAAATCAAATCTCCTACACACACACACACACACACACACACACGCACACACACGCACACGCACACGCACGCACACGCACGCACACACACACACGCACGCACACACACGCACAGAACCGGGGGTGGAGCCGGCCCTGGAACCCTGCGGAGAACACGCGGTCAGGAGGAGGGTGGCTGCTGGCCGCCTGGCGGGGCGGCGGGCGGGCGGCGCACTCACTGGGTCCGGCGCAGCTTGGTGTTCTCGGTGCGGAGCAGGTAGAGTTTCTTGGCGAAGAACACGGTCATCATGAAGAGCAGGAGCAGCACCAGGGCGGCCGCGCCCACGGCCACACACATCACCTGGAAGTCGGTGATGACGGACTCGCAGCGTGTGCCCTTGTGCCAGATGTAGTCCTGGGTGTTGCACCTGCAGCAGCCAACGGGGGAGACGGGCGGTGGGCGGGGGCCCTGCCAGGGCGAGGCCTGGCCTCCGACCGGCACTTCCTCCTGCCGGGTCCCGGGCCCGGCCGCCCGGCCGCCCGGGAGCTGGGCTGACCTCACGGCTGACATTCCGGCCGCCCATCACCACTCGGGCTGAGGGTCAGGCTGCTCTGGGGTCCATGGCACCAAGGGGACCAGGGCCCGAGACACTGAAGGGACTGTGAGGGGTCAGGAGCAACGGGAGCTTGGTCCCCCCACCCCTCACCCCCACCCCGCTGGGCTCGCTCAGCAGCGCCCGCCGGTGAAAGAAGGAGAAATGCGAGATGCATGGGACCCTGGGCCACAGTCATAGGACCCGCCCAGCTCTGCAGCCCCGTCTGGCTCCTGGGGCGAACCAGCCCCTGAGGGGCAGCGGACGAGGTCATCCTTCTCCCCACTCTGCGGACGCTCGGGCGGACCCTGCCATCACTGAGAACCGCGGGGAGAGCCGTGAGAACCGCCTGGGGGCTCCTCTTTTGTGCAGTGACTTTCCCCTGCCCTTGGGGACATTCCCAGGCTCCGACTCTCCCAATGACACTGCCGTTTCCATGGGAACCAGGCTGCTTCAAAGAGGCAAGATGGGGAAGGAGGCAGAGGCAGGCAAGCAGGGAGGGCCAGAGTGAGGAGGACCGGCCGTGCCACACCGGAGGGAGCGGGATGGGGCTCAGTGAACGAGGATTCCTTCCCTCCCCGCCGCCCGGGCCTGGAGGCCCGTGGGCCGCCGCTGGGAGAAGTCCCGCCCGCCCCGGCCTCCCGGCGGGAGCAGAGACAAAGGCGGGTCTGCAGCTGCAGCTCAGCAGCCTCCTGTGCGCGGAATGCAAAACCGCTCGCTCCCGCTCAGCTGCTGGTGCGCAGCGGCGAGGGGGGCTCAGCCAGGGGCCCTGGTGGCCGTGACCCTTTGGAGGGAGGCCCCCCGGGAGGGAGACACACCGGCCTGGGAAGGGACCAGGGAGCCCCGAGAGCTCCAGGGGTGCCGGGGCCGGGGCTTTGCACAGAGACCCCCACCTCCCGGCTAGATCCATCACTGTGGTCTCCGCAGTGACCTCCGAGGAGCAAACCCCAAGGTGCTCCCGTTCCTGTGGCCCTCAGCCAGCCACACGCCTGGCCACGGTTCTTTCTTTCCTTTTTTTGTTTGTTTTAAAATATATTTTTATCCATTTCAAAGAGAGGGAGGGAGAGAGAGAAACGTCCATCATGAGAGAGAATCATGGATCAGCTGCCTCCTTTAGGCCTGGAATCGAGCCCTCAACCCGGGAATCCAACTGTGACCTCCTGGTTCCCAGGTCGACGCTCAGCCACGGAGCCACGTGGCCGGGCCACCATTATTCCGTGGTCACAGCTGCTCCTCTGGCCGTGGCTGGTAACTCCGCTCAGAACGGTGTGGACACACCCTCCCGAGAGCGACCCGAGCGCCTGACCACATGCAGGAAACACCTTCACGGAAAGGAACCGGGCGCCAAGGTTTAAAGCCAACGGCACAACATTCATGCTTTCTGCCTGTCACTCTCCTGCCAGAGCACCGAGACCTAAGGGATCTGCATTCCTCACACGCCTCCAAGAAGACCACGGAGAGACGCACTGGGAATGGCTCTTAAAAGGGCATCCAGGCCCTGGCCCGTGTGGCTCAGTGGATAGAGCGCCGGCCTGTGGACTGAAAGGTCCTGGGTTCGATTCCGGTCAGGGCACATGACCTGGTTGCGGGTTCCATCCCTAGTTTGGGGGCGGGGGGTGGCGTGTAGAAGGCAGCCCATCAATGATTCTCTCTCACCACTGATGTTTCTCCTCCTCTCCCTCTCCCTCTCCCTTCCTCTTGGAAATCAAGATGTATTTCTATTTTTATTTATTTTATTTTATTATTTTTTAAAAAAAATAAATTTTATTGATTTTTCACAGAGAGGAAGAGAGAGGGATAGAGAGTTAGAAACACCCATGACAGAGAATCATCGATCAGCTGCCTCTTGCACACCCCCTACTGGGGATGTGCCCGCAACCAAGGTACATGCCCTTCACCAGAATCGAACCCGGGACCTTTCAGTCCACAGGCCGATGCTCTATCCACGGAGCCACACCGGTTTCGGCGATAAGATGTATTTTTAAAAGGACACCCTCCTGTGGAAACACCCTCGCCAGGACCGACTGAAACAGGTCTCCGCGGAGCCCGAGGCTCTGCCTGGCACGGCCTGGAGAGGACGGAGGTGGCTCGCCAGCCACATCGGCGACTCGCGGTCCCTCGCAGGCTCCCCTCCCGGGGAGGGCGGGACCAGAATCCCAGAGGCACCGGGTGCTGCAGGCCACGTCCTCACAGCACCGGCTCTGTCTTCTCTGGACGGGGGTTCCCAGTCAAACCCCGCCCCCTCTGCTTCCCGGGAGGCGCCTCTGGGCTGGCTGCTCTCTGGCTGGTCTGGCCCAGTGAGAAGGGCCTCCTTCTGATGGGACCCCTCCCCCTGACTCGGCCCTGCAGGTGGCTCAGAGGCGCGGTCTGCAGTGGTCTCTCTTTGCTGGTGAGGACACAACTCCCCAAAACTACTCAAGCCAGCAAAGGCCCCGCTCCGAAACCCTCCCCTTCCCTGCCTCCATTTAAATGTGTATTTTTGGTTTCAGAGAGGAAGGAAGAGGGAGAGAAAGACAGAAACATCCAGGCTGGCAGAGAACATTGATCGGCTGTCTCCCGTATGCCCCCTCCTGGGGATTGAGCCCGTAACCCAGGCCTGTGCCCTTGACCCAAATTGAACCCGGGACCCTTTGGGCCACACGGGCCAGGGCCCTGTTGCCGCAGTCAGTGGCTGGGTCCGGGACACAGCCCTTAGAGGAAACACAACCTCGTCCTGAGGAGCCTCCCCCGGGGACAGGGGGGCAGGCGCTGCTCAGGCCGGACGTCCGAGCAGACAGCTCTTCCCGGGGCCGGGAGCTGGGCCTGGGCCTCCGCCGGCGCTGGGTCCCCCTCACACACGCACACACCCAGAGCTCAACCCAGCTCCTGGGCTCCCGCTGGCCCCCCTCACCTGCAGAGGGCACCCTCACCCCCTCACCTGCAGAGCCCCCTCACCTGCAGAGCCCCCTCACCTGCAGAGCCCCCTCACCTGCAGAGGGCACCCTCACCCCCTCACCTGCAGAGCCTCCTCACCTGCAGAGGGCACCCTCACCTCCTCACCTGCAGAGCCCCCTCACCTGCAGGGCCCCCCTCACCTGCAGGGCACCCTCACCCCCTCACCTGCAGGGCACCCTCACCCCCTCACCTGCGGAACCCCCTCACCCCCTCACCTGCAGGAGGCCCCCCTCACCTGCAGAGGGCACCCTCACCCCCTCACCTGCAGAGGGCACCCTCACCCCCTCACCTGCAGAGGGCGCCCCTCACCCCCTCACCTGCAGGAGGCCCCCCTCACCTGCAGAGGGCGCCGATGCCCTCCACCTGGTAGCACTGGCCGCCGTTGTGGCAGTAGCTGGGCAGCAGGTCGCACACGGAGCGGCAGGAGCTGTTGTGCCGCACGAAGCCGCTGCGGCAGGCGGTGCCGTTCCCGCCGGCGGCCGGGTCCCGGGCCGGCTCCCCCGGGCGCGGCCGGAGGGCGATGCCGCCGCCGGGGGCCGGGCCCGGGGGGCGCGGGGGGACGGCGTGCCACCAGCCGGGGGGCGGCCCGGTGCCGGGGCCGGGCTTCGCGCTGGGCGCGGGGCGGGTCCGGCCCCCCGGGTCCGCGCCCTCCGCGTCGCCCTCCGCGTCGCCCTCCCCGTCCCCGTCCCCGTCCCCGTCGTCGTCGTAGAAGGACATGGTCGGGTAGAAGTCGGACTCGTCGAAGGGGGTGAAGTCGTCGTAGAGGTCCAGCAGGCTCCAGGAGGGCGTCTCCGCCGCCAAGTCCGGCTCCGCCGGCCCCTCGCCGTCCGGCCCCTCCAGGTCGTCCATGTCCAGGACCGCGGGCCGCGGGCGGCGCTCCGGGGGGCCCCGCGGCGGGGACGTGGGCTCCGGCGCCGCGGGCTCCGGGGGAACGCCCAGGCCCAGCCACTCCTCCGCCGGGTCCTCCGCCGGGGCCTCCGCGGGGCCGGGGCCCGGGGCCTCAGGGGGGGCGGGCGGCAGGGATGGCCGCCCGGGGGGCCGGGGCGTGGTGGGCGGGGCCTGCGGGTCCCCGCTGCCCGCCTCCGCGGGCCCCGCGCCCAGGCCCGGGCCGTCGGCCTCCCAGGCGGTGCCCGTCACGGCCGAGGCCTCCAGCGCTTCCTCCGGCCCCGCCCCGGGGCCCCCCGCGGCCGCCGCCGCCCAGGCCTCCGCCGCCCCGGCTCCGGGCGGGCCCGCCGGCGCCCGCGTGGCGTTGGCTCGCGGCTCCCACGCGGGGGTGGTCGGTGCGGGCTCGTCCACGGCCACGGCCACGGCGCTGCCCGCCTCGCGCGCTGCGGGCAGAGGCGGCGGCGTCAGGGACCCGCCCTTCGGCCCCGCCCGCCCCGCTGTCCTCCGGCCCCACGCGCGGCCTCACCTGTGAGCTCTGCCCCCGCCCGCCCCGCGCACATCCCGCCAGGCCTCCCGGCCAGGCCCCGCCCACAGGACACGCAGGCTGGCCAGGCCCCCCAAGGCTGCCCCGGAATGGATCTTGCCCCGAGTTCACACCCCAGACCCCGCCCCGAGCTCACCCAGGCCCCGCCCACTCCAGACCCCGCCCCGAGCTCACCCAGGCCCCGCCCACCCAGACCCCGCCCTGAACTCACACCCCAGACCCCGCCCCAGCTCACCCCAGACCCCGCCCCGAGCTCACCCATGCCACGCCCACTCCAGACCCCGCCCCGAGCTTACCCAGGCCCCGCCCACCAAGACCCCGCCCTGAACTCACACCCCAGACCCCCCCTGAGCTCATCTCAGTCCCCGCCCACCCCAGACCCGCCTCCAAGCTCACACCCCAGGCCCCATTGCGAACTCACACCCGGCCCCGCCACCCCAGGCCCCGCCCAGAACTCACACCCGGCCCCGCCCACCCAGAATCGCCCCGAGTTCACACCCAGGCCCCGCCCACGCGCATCCTCAGGGCTCCATCCCGAGCTTGCACCTTCAGAGCCCGGCCTGCCCGAGGCCCCGCCCACTTCTTCAGGCCCCGCCCAGGTGCACACCTCCAGGGCCCCGCCCACCCCAGGGCCACCCCCGAACTCGCACCCTCAGGGTCCCCTCTTCACCCGCCTAACCCCAGGCTCCGCCCTGGACTCGCACCCTCCCGGACCCCTTTCACCTCTAAGTCCTGCGCTAAGCAGCCTCAGGGCCGCCCCCCGCCCCTCAGCAGCCGGCACCGAGGCCCGCACACCCGGTGGGGCCGCACCCACCCTCCGACCTCCCGGGGCGCACCTCTCGCACCCGGGCCCCGGCCCCGGCCCGGCCCCGCGCGGCTGCAAGCCAGGCGCTGCCCCGCCCCCGGCCTCCCGCTCGGGACCTGCTGCGCCCAGGCCGAGGCCGGTCCCGGCTCCCGGAGGACGAGCCCGGGTCCGGGCAGCGGTACCTACCCGGCGCGGCCCCCGCCAGCACCAGCGCGGCCGCCAGGAGCAGCAGCGGCGGCCCCCGGCCCGGGCGCCCGTTCCCGGCGCGGCCCATGGCGCGGCCCCTGCGCTGTCCGCGGTCCGTCCCGCTCGCTGGCCTCCGCTCCGCCCGCGCGGCCCGGACTGCGGCGTCTCAGCCCGCGATGGGCAGCGCGAGGAGCCGCATGCCGCTCCCGTGCCGCCCGCCGCCCGCCGCGCCTCCCGCCGCCGCCCCGCCCCGCCCGCCGCCCGCCCGCCCGCTCGGCGGTGACGCGCTCCGGCCGCCGCGGGGACAGACCGGCGCCCGGACACACGGACGCGGGTGGGGCGCCGGCAGGTGCGGGCGGGAGCGGCCCGCCTCCCCGCGGAGCTGGCGCGGCCTCACCGCGAGGAGCGGCCCGCGGCGGGGGCCGGGGGCGGGGGCCGCGCCGCAGATCGGGGCGGGGCCGAGGCCGCAGGGGCGGGAGCCCGAGCCGCACGAACCGGCGCGGGTGCCTCCGGGCGATGTCTGCCGACCTCGTGCTGGGCGGAAAGGTCCGGGTCTCCGGGTGCCCACGAGGGCGGCCGGGCGGGCGCGGCGGCGGCTCTAAGCGGATCAGCCTAATCCTCCGAGGCGCTCAGCCCGGGAGGGCGGCCGGGGCCGGGAGACCTCCTGGGGCCGCCGCGCCCGCCCGGGAGGGCCTTCCCTCGGGAAGCATCGCCCCACGGGCCGGGCCCGGCACCGGCTCAGGTTCCGGGGGCCCGGCCTAGAGCGCAGCCTGGGAGCGGGCGCCAGGCCAGGCATCCGTCCGCCCGGACACTCACCCCGGAGCCCCGCGGGCCGGGCAGTGGCCACCGGCCTCTCAGTTAATCACCGAATCCACGTCAACCTCCTGGTCACTGACCCCGGGATACCTGGGTCACAGCCGAGCACCTGCACCTGAGTGTCCCCAGGGAGCCGCATCCTCCCGCTGACTAAGGAGACTCAGCGCTGAGATGGGGTTATCTCGCTCGGACCCGTGTCTCACTGGACCCCCTGCTGCTGCAGGCTTCCTCCTCCAGGTCCGCCTGCAAGCCGTACCGGGCGCTCAGCTCCAGCCCTCCCCGCCAAGCCGCCACGGCCTGCCCGGCAGACACCATGCCTCACCCCAGCCAGCAGTGCGGGCAGAGGGAGGGCCCGGGGCTGGAAGAGACACAGGTGGGTGAAGGCAGCAGCCACTCTCCGCCCAGATCCATGGTTTGGAGCTTTCTGCAAAGGGATTTTTTTAAATTTTTTTTAACTTATTGAATGTATTGGGGTAAAATTGGTTAATAAAATTAGAGGTTCCAGGATACGATTCCATGTCATCTGTATATTGTGCGTTCACTACACAAAGTCACGTCTCTTCCATCACCTTCCTTCCCCCTTTCCTCTCGCCCCCCCACCCCCTTCGCCCTGGTAATCACCATCCTGTTCCTGAGGCTTTTCCCGTAACCCCCACCTGCTTCAGCCAGGCCCTCACACCCTCCGCTGGCCGTTGTCCCTCCGTTGTCTGCCTCTATTTGGTTTATTGTTTAGGTCCCACATAGACGTGACATCACACGGTATTTTTCCTTTGGCTTCATACCGCCTCCGGGGACAGCACATACAGGACAGGGAGACGACCTTCTCTGAGCGGAGGCTGGGGAGGGCTTCGCACTCCAACCCGCCTGCTTCCCGCAGGCGGCTCCCGTCTCCTCGACTCGGGCGATGGTGGGCGGAGGGGGTGCATGTGCCTGCGGGCTGCCTCCTTCCTGTGCCGGAGCGGCCTCGTGGACGGGCCTGCAACATCACAAACCTCTGGATGGAGTCCCTACTCCACCTTCCTTAAAACCCTGGCCTTCTCCCGTGCCTCACTTCACTGATTTCCTTAGGATAAGCAGGCGTCCGGCATATATAGGGCACGCCTCCTTCCGGAGCCAGCCCCTTCCCTTCCTGGGGACAGGTTCTGCTACGACTTCCATTTTGGGATTTTTACATCAACCATTGCCACTCCGTTCCACTCTGATCCTCCCTGCAGATGCCAGCAGCAGCTCAGAACGGAGGGCAGCACCCTGGCTGGGCGGACGGGAGGAGCAGCCTCAGCCTCCGGGGTGGGAGACCGTGGAGAGCCAGGGTCCCGGGTCTCCTGTGCTGAGGGGGTGACACTGCATCGGACGTTTTCTCTGGGCACAGGCAGGGGCAGCCTGGGGAAGGGGCGAGAAGGTACAGAAACTGGAGGGGAAAGAAAAGGAGATGGTCTCCAAGACCCACCACGCCCCAGTCCCCGCACTGGGGCACCAGGGATGCCTTGTGAGGCAACACTTCTGCGCACCTGAGGCTCTTACTGGGTTTGGTCACCTGCCCCAGCACCAAGGCCCATTGCCATGGCAACAGCCAGCTTCCCTGTGTGGACGCCCTGGCTTCACCCGGGGCGGTGGTCCGGGCAGGGGCGGCTCCAGCTGCCAAGGCTGGGCCATGCTTCAGGCCGCACAGGAAGACGAGGCTCCTGTGTGAAGCCTCCGGAGCAACCACGAACACCTCTGAGTGCTCTCCTGGGGTCTGACTCGCCTCACTGCTAACCGCGTACGCATGTCCTGCAGATGGGCACACCCTCCTGTGGGAAGGTCTGGCCTAAGCTTTTGACTTCATGCCTTTTCGTTACCGCGTCTCAGTTTCACAAGAGGCTTCAGGACGTAGAGGGCCTCAGAAGATGGGGGTCCTGTCCCTCTTCCCACAGCACTCCCCTCCCACCGGGCAGGCAGGAGTTAATGCTGCGATCGCCAAGACGACATCCTAGATCCGTGGTCGGCAAACCGCAGCTCACGAGCCACATGCGGCTCTTTGGCCCCTTGAGTGTTCTAAGGCCACGTCAAAATACTCGCCCAGGCCAAAAACCGACTTCTGCGCATGGGCACCAAGTTTCAATCGCACTGTATGTGCGCACCCGCACGTAGTATTTTGTGGAAGAGCCACTCTCAAGGGGCCAAAGAGCCATATGTGGCTCTCGAGCTGTAGTTTGCTGACCAGGGACCTAGATCAACCAGGAAGGGTATTTGAGCAGCCTCTCAGGGCAGTGTGCTGGGCAGAAGCCTGGCCTGGGCTGCAGGGCAGGGGGCTGTGACCACGTGGTGCTGGGCATGAGCCTTTGTCAACCACTTGCCAGGAAGAAAGGGGGAGCAAGGGTCAGGACCCCGGTTCAACGCTGCCCCCTGACCCCCTGCTGCAGGCACTCTGGATGCTCAGCTGCTCTCATCCTAGGAAAGGACCCCACTACCCCCCGGAGATGCCAGATTTCGCCACGGTGGCCAAGCCCCTGGCTCCCACAGCCCCAGCCACTGCCACGCAGTGCGGGCCAGCAGAGCTCCGGAGGGAGCGGCAGGCGGTCTGCGAGTCCCGCCACCTGCAGCCGCCCAAGCCTCTCCAGCACCGGGACAGGAATGACACGGTCCACGTGGAGGGCCTTGGGAACCCATCGTGTTGGGGCCAAACCAGCCACAGAAATCAGAGCCCTGAGCAAAGGGCCATAACCGCCCGGAGCCCTCCACTCCCCAACCCTCCTGGGCTGGCAGTGAGGGCACGGCCAAGGGTGGAACTGAGGAACCAGAGCGAGGCCTCGTGTCTTGGTGTCCTGGGGATTCAGGCACAGCCACTTCACTGAGGCCCGAGGCCGGACCGGAGGGCGGGGGAAGGTGGCTGCCAGGAATCAGTCACCCGGCTCTCCCGGGGTTGGGAGGGCCTAGAGGCCTCGGGGCAGGAGGGAGAGAAGACGCCCCAGTTCTGCAAGGCACGGCTCTGCCCGACACAGGCTGGCCCCGGAGAGGGTCCTGGGCTTGAGCAGCAGCACGCCCTGGAGAGCATTCACAAGGATGCACCATTCTGAGACAGCTTCCTGAAACGGAGCAACCCTCGGGGCAAGGCGCTCTCCCCTGTTCCCAGGAAGAGGGCTGCTTCAGCAGGAGCAGCTGGACGGAGGGAGAGGGCTTTACAAGGTCACCGGAGTTCGAGGGAAGAACGCTTCCCAGGCTGGCAATCACGTCCAGATGAACGGGTGCTGGTTTCTCACTGGCGTTTCCTGGAATGCGGTCAGCCCTCAGGCTATGGCCCAGCGGGACAGAAACATGGAGAACACCGGTGCAGACTGCAGACGCCACCCCAGAACACTCGTTTCTTCTTCATGAGCACTGGGGGGACCGGGCCCCATCGGAGCTGTTCACTGAGAAGGCTTGGTGCCCCGCCTAAGGAGTCACGTGGCCTGGCCAACCTCCTCAGGGCCTGGCCTCACTGCATGCAAGTCCCATGCCTGGAACACAGCAGCCACACGTTCACTGGACTCATGGGCTCATGCAGCGAACCGTCAGGAACTGGGGCAAACCTGCTCTACACACGGCTCCTTCTGGCCCAGATGGCGGCACCGGAACCTGGGAGCCTGCTAACCACGCCGGATCCCACAACTCCCGACTTACCAAGCCAGGCCCAGTGCCCGTGCCGATCCTACAGGGACCCGGATCCAAGTGCAGAGGACCCGCTGTGCCTAACCATACCTGGGGGAGCACTCCACAGCCAGGGCCTCAGGAACCGCAGAGACTGCCTGTGTCCCCCAGGGGCCAGCGCTCACCGCCTGGCAGACAGTTTGCTCCTTTTGCTTCCCGGGTTCGTGGCCTCTTGAAGACCACAGCTTCTGTTTCCTGAGCAGCTTCTCAAAGGCTGTGCTTACGAGCAAGACTCGAGGATTCATCGGCCCACGAGGCGTGTTGCCATCTTGGGGCCGCGTCTGAGCTGTGCCCTGATGACATCCTCTACCTCACGAGCAGAACTAGGCTCCCCTGCAGGAGCCAGCCACCTCCCCGGGGGAACCCCCACTTGTTTCCCCCTAACCTGGGAACACAGTGGACGAGCCTGTTAGCTGTGCTGCGTGAGGACGAGGAAGGTGGGTGGTCCTCCGACCACGGCTAGCGGGGCTGCATGTGCAGGCTCCTCAGAGCCAATGAAGAATGGGGCAGAAATGCAGAGAACGGGCTGGAACCTGGAAGTGGTGTATTCACCAAGGAGGGCAGCTAGGCTTCTCCAGCATTTCCTCCAACCTCTCCAACTCCCTCTTCATTTCCCCAAATAACAACACAGAGAAACGTGTTTGTACAAAACCACATATTATTCCCCCTCACAAAATCGAGTGGCCGTGTTACAGGAACGAAACCAGACCAGAGACCTGGAAAGAAAAAGCCACTCGGTAACTGGAACATAACATGAGTTCGGTTCTGTGCAGAGCCGTCACCAGCGCAGCAAAAATAGCCAGACGCACATCTCCTAACTCGGAAGTGATCACATTAAAAACCTGAGGTTACGGGGACCACAGTATGAACCAGAATTTCATTTTCCTTCTCAGACCCCAGTGGAAAGGTAGGTATTTGGAATGAGTTTCCTTTGGGAAAACCGGTGGGAAATGGGGAAAACCCTGGCCCCTGTCGAAGGCACTGGGGCTGTACTGGGGGCAAACGCACGGGAACGGAACGCCAGCAGCAACCAGCTCAGTCCCACTCCGTGCCCCGAGCAACCAAGGAGCAAGGTCCTGGCTCCAGTGCAGACGGGACCAGGCTCTGGTCAGAGGTCACACCGAGGGCTGGAAGGCAAATCCTAACTGGTTCCCTTTTGTGTTGTTTGCTTTCTGATACGAAGGGGAAGTCCTAAGTGCTTTAACACCTGCCAACCCCTCAGACGGAAAGCCTGCAAACTGTGGAAAGATCCCCAAAGGTGGACCGCTTGGCGTTCTGACTGCCACTGCCACTGCCACCTGCGGCTGTGACTGACGGAGGAGGCGGGGCTTTGGGCATCGGATGGGGAGCACGTTCTCACGCACACGGGGTGGGGCGGGGCGGGGCAGCGGAGAAACCAAGTCTCACATTGTCTGAGTCACTGCTCAGCGGGGCAAGACTGGGGCCCAGGGAAGGCATCTTGTGGCTCTTCCTCTGGAACGGCGTCTCTCCCGCCCGAGCGCCTGGCCCTCCAGCACGATGCTCCGTGGCCCCGAGTCCCCTCGCCAGAACGGGAGATCGCAGAGAGGGAGGGGAGGGATGAGGCCGCAGACCCGGCCCAAAGTACCGCTCCACCAAGCCCCTCGCCTGCTGCTGCCGGTCGCGTGGGGACCTGCTCCCGGCAGCCATCCTGTGAGCTAAATGTCAGCACTATCTATGCCCTTTTTTAAAAGTTTTCTTCTTTTGGAAGAGAAAAAGCATGCACACAAGCAGTGAACAAGTGGGCTGGGTTCACAGGGCAGCATGGCCTTGGCCCAGAACCGTCCTGGCCCGTCCCAGAGACGAAGGAAGGCCTCCCTCAGGCCAGCCCAAAGCCTCGGCCTCAGACACAAACACACACACTGCAGCTCAGCAAGCCGCCACAGGACAGGGAAGCCCAGTGGGGTCCCTTCCCCGTCTTTTGGTTTGGGCATGTCTATGGGTGGCCAAAGCGCAGAGACGTCACCATCAGCACCGTTCTTAGCTCAGATAAGCAGGGATAAGGTCACTTGTAATGCCTCAGGGTGTCCCTGCTGGCTACCCCTCTGCCACCACCAGTTTTTGGTTCCTATTAACTCTGAATGCTCTCCCTTAAAGCAACGAAGGAAAGAGAGATGACTCTAGAACATGGTCCACGGAGGCTAAGACAAAGCAGACCGCAGGGCCACAGAAATGGCAGAGTCTGGAATACCCACACCAGGACAGAAACAACTAGAATGCCCAGGGCATCTCTCCCCAGGACCCCCAAATGTGGGCGAGGACCTAACACAGGGGTGCCAGGGCTGGAGGGGAGAGGCAAGAGGAAAGGGGGAGAGAGGGTATGGGACGCGTGCTTGAGCTGAGAAGAAAAATCCTGAAAGAAACCCAGGAAGCTGAGGAATGTCTCGTCAGTCATTCTCTGCGACTGGTGGTGACGAGGGGTCCCAGCAGCCCCGGGCTAGGGCGCGGCCGGGGCGGGTGGGCCTGGAGCAGGAGGCGGAGGGACTCCATCTGCAGGAGGCGGCTGCGGCGGCGGGGGATCTGCAAACACATCCAAGAGTCACCGGTCACTGAGGAAGCGCAGGGGCTGGGGAGGAACGAGACAGGAGGGCATGTTCCCAGGCAGGTGACCAGGCTGCAGGAGCCTCTGGAAAAGGGTGCACACGCCTGCAAGGCCTGCCCGGGACCCGAAATACTCATTTTGGGATGGGGCCAGAAACCCTTCCCATTCTCCAGGGGCTCCAGCCGGGCCCTGTGGGTCACAAATCCTGAGGCCGAGCACACAGCAGCAGTGAAGACCAATGGTGCCATCTCGGCAGCACGGACGGGAAGCACATTTGAAGGGTGCCTGCCAACAGGAGGCAAACATTTTCCGCCAACCACAGCCAAAGGGCCTCTTCTGCGCCAGGACGCTGCCCCGCACCTGCTGTCCCCGCTGCGGGCGAGAGGAGGCGTGCCTTCACCGCGCTGCGCCCTGGGCAGTGGCCCGAGCACCGTCACACAGGCTCCTCAGAACCGCGGGGAACCTGGGAAACCCTGTGCTACCAAATACCTGCTCATTCCCGTGGCTCCCGCAGGCAGGATGCCTGCCCGGCCTGCTCTCCACTGCGCACCTGAGCCAGCTGCCTGGCATATGCGTAAACTTCTGAATGACCGGGCAGGTGTGGAGGGGCACCTGGCTGTCTCACTGTCAGGTCTCTAGGGAGAAAGGGCAGCCCAGAGCCTCAGCAGCGACCTCTGAGGCCAAGTTGAGAGCCAAGGTAACCTGGCCCCCACACTCTCAAGACGGATTGCCCGCCTGCACCTGTCCTCTGAGCCTGCTGGGGCCTCCCCTCCTCCGGAACCATGCTCCGCAGACCCCGCCCGCTCTGACCTGCGGTCAGAGTGGCCGTGAGGAACTGCCTGTCACTCCTGCCCTAGACTGGTTCCTGTCCTTTTCTTCACACCCACTTCTTTAAAAGTGTTTATCAATGTCAGAGGGGCCGGGAGAGGGAAGGACAGACAGAAACACCCATGATGAGCGTGCATCATGGATAAGCTGCCTCCTGCACGCCCCACACCGGGGATGGAGCCTGCAACCCGGGTCTGTGTCCTGACCAGGAACGAAGCATGACCTCCTGGTTCATAGGTCGATGCTCAACCACCCACTACTTCTAAACCTGTGCTGACCCAAGGCTCCTGTAGGGAAAGAACCAGCAGCTGTGCTGTGCGTCCATGCGGTGCACACTGGACAGGCTGAGCCGACAGGAGCAGAGAGGACCGTCTTCCCACCTCCTCAGACCTCGGGTCACGAGCGTGCCAGGGAGGCTGTGCACCGTCACCTGCCCACAGACTGACATTCTGATCCCACTGTCCCAGGTCGCACTGTCCTTCGAGGGACCTGCCAATCTCACACCCACCCGAGTCCTCCCAGAGACCCCGGGGACACACCCCAGAGCGTGCTACTTACACATGCCATTGGGGGCCGTGAGGGTGACCCGGGGTCCTAGGATGCCCCCTGGCATCGGCGGCATCCCAGCAGGGGCGGGGCCGCTCCCGGGGGGGTGGATGCTGGCTGCGACGGTGGGCATCATGCGGCCTGGCAGGGGCTGCCCCGGCATCATGGGACCCGGGCCTGGCATCTGACCTGGGAGGGAGAGCGGAGTCCTGAGGTGAGTGCATGGGGAAGGAAGAGATCGACTCCTACCCAAGACTGAATACAACCACCACTCCCGAGAGGACCTGAAATACCACGGAGCAATGTCTGCAATCATCTTTGCCCGTTTTCGTTTTTTATTTTCCGGGCAGAGGAAATAATGGGGCAGATCTGTGAGTGGCAGGCAGGCGGCCACCCAGAGCAAGCATGCAGCCCACCCAGGGAGCCCAGGAGCAGGCGCCGGAGGACCGCACTGGCACACCGGGCCCCCAGAGGTCTGGGGTGCAGTCCAAGGCCTGCAGCTCAGCCAGGACAGAGCTGCTGGCACGGGCTTCACAGGAAGGTGTGCCGAGGGGTGCAGCCACTACTGTGGTCATGTTGAAAAGGAATTGGGTTGGAACACCCAGGTCCTGGTCACACCCAGTCTCTCCCTGTCCCACCATGAAGCACCTGGAGCACCCAGGGTGGGGGCAGAGGGACACACAGCACGCCGTCACTCCTTGGCTGGGAACCAGCGACAGGAGCTGCTGGCCCCAGGACAGGAGGACACTCTGTCTGGTGGCTCAGGAGCCCTGGGAGCTGCAGCATCCTTTCCGGAAAGAGCCAGAGAGTGAACAAGCACCCCCTGCCGTAAAGGAGCGTCTCTCCTCGGAAAAGCTCATCTCAAGGCTCAGGCTTGATGTGGGGCAGAAGGTAAGAGGATCGGGGAGGCTACAGACCCCTTCATGTAAAGCAAGCCCATCCTTCACAAGTCTACACATCTTGCGGTTTCTCTGGAGGCGGAGACTGATTCTGCCACTTGTGATTGGATGACAATGTCTGAGGGCGCTTCCATTCACCCTAACCCTGAAGCAGCCTGGCCCGCCTCCAGAATGCCCAGCAGCCGCCTTTACCAGCAAAATGAGTGTCCATGTGTGGCTGGCGGCGTGGCTCCGTGTCAACCAAGGAACCAGGAGGTCAGGGCACGTGCCCGGATTGTGGACTTCATCTCCGTTAGGGGGTGTGCTGGAGGCAGCTGAATGACCAATGCATCTTATCATTGATGTTTCTATCTCTCTCCCTCCCTTCCTCTCTGAAATCAATAAAAATGTATTTTTAATAAAGTGTTCACTATATATTTTCCATTAAAAAATCATTCAGGTATTTTGTTCCCCGGCAGAGAGGTGAGAGAGAGAGCAAGCTGTGGCTTCAAAACAGCCGTGTCCCACCCCAGCTGGCAGGAGGCTGACCTACATACAGGGTTTTTTTTTGAACAGCAGGCACCCGAAGCATGGAAAATGGAAACGTTTGCTGAGATCAGGTGCAGCCCCGAGGAAACCCCACACTCTGGGCTTATCAGCTCTTTCACTAAAGCGTCACGCCCGTCCAGCCTGATGGGACGCGGTGGAAGGACAGGACCTTCCTTCTTTGGGGGGGGGGCAGGCAGGAAGGAGCGTGAGAGGAGAGGAGGGAAGGAAGCCGATTTAAACCTCCCACGGCACATCCCGCCACGCGCTGGAGAAGAGACACAACAGGATCAAGGCCAAGCGAGGGGAAGCCCAGCCCCCGAGGCTGCTTCCGGGGTGCCTGCGAGGGAACCGCTCCCCCGGGCGGCGGCCACACGACAGCAGATAAGTCCCCGGCTGCGGGGGAGCTGGGTCTTCCGGGCTCAGCGTGGGGCCGAGGCCTCGTGGTGGTGGTGGCTGCCCTCCCTGCAGTCCTTCCCACAAGCGGCCTGGCATAGAGCACCAACGCCTGGGTTAGACTCCCCGAGGCACCAACGTCCAACGCAGAGTGCCTGGCTCCACCACTCACACACCGGTCCACCACGTCTGCGTTCCCGCCGGATCAGCCCGCCATGACGTTTAAGGCACTTTAAACTCGTCCACACAAACAGCGAGGAAACCCTACACTACCCAAGCTAGTGTCCTTCCCTCCACCTTCCCACAAGGCCCCAGAGACAGCGCAAAGGATCGGGATTCCGACCCGAGCGCCCCGGCTCAGCTCCACTGCACCCCACACGTGCCACTGCCCACCCACCGCCAGTCCCTCTTCCTTTGAACAGGTGCCTCGGCCACTGGAGGCCTGGCCGCCTCGCCTTAGCGGAGACGCCAGCAGTCGGAATAGGCAGCCAAACCAAGGGCACCCAGGAAGCAGCCACCGCTACCAGGCCACCCGAGACCCAGTGCTGAGCGGCCCATGTGCCGAGCGGCCCCAGCCTGGGTGAGGTCAGGGACGCTGCACGTGCTCCAGGACCACGCCCTCCTGCCTACTCACCCGTGCCACCCGGAGCTGGGTCAGAGGGTTCCTTGTACCATTCTTTGTGTGTCTTTCTTGTTTTGAAAGCGTCTTTAAGTTTCTCACCTGGCTGGGGCGGGTGGGGCGGCGGCATCTGGTGCTGCATCAGAGGGTAGGGTGGGGGCTGCTGATGAGGCAGCATGCCGGGGTGCCCAGGTGCTCCCAGAGGAGCCAGGCCCGGCCCCCCCGGGTGCTGGTGGCCCTGGGCAGGGTTCTGCCCGTGCTGCTGCTCCATTTGCTGGCGGGCTCGCAACTCGGCGTATTTCAGCTGCTCCATGTGGAAGTTCTGGCGTTCAGTGAGCAGCTGCTGCCTCTGCTGTTCTAACTGTTGGGAAGGGAAGGGAAATGACGTCAGAAGAGGGTCTCGGAAATGGGGACACAGGGCACCCCGGCCCCTGAGGCACCCCATCCAGGGGAAGAGCAGGGTTTCTCGAGGAGCAGGTTCCCATGCGGACACCTGGCCTGTCGGAGGCCTCCTGAGTCAGGTACAGGCTTTCGCCAGGGGCTACCATTCTCTGGGCCCCATCAGGACACATGCCACCTGCCCCCCAGACCTCAGCGGCGAAGGTCCCCAACCCATCTCCGTCTCCCAGCAAGGAACACCTCCTGCCTCCCCAGTCCCCGATGGAAGGTGCACGAGGATCAGCACCAATCCGGTCTGTGCCCGTGACCTGCGAGGAGCATGGCGGGACCTCAGGAGTTGTGACCAGGGAGGGTGCTGGATGGTGGGAGCGGAAGACAGGCTGTGGGTGTTCGGTAAAGCAGCAAGAAGGTGACGAGAAGAGGTGGAGGAGAGACGGAGCGGTTTCCCTGAAGGGAGGAGGAAGGCGCTAACGGTCCTAACAGCCGGGCGAAGTCTGCCTTTCCTAGGAGGACGATCTAGGAGGAGAGACTGGCCCGCACCTGCCCCGTCTGCAGGGTGAGGAGGGAGCGGCGAGCACCAACAGCAGAGACTCCAGTGGAGGTGCCGCCCCGGCAGGAAGACTGACCGGTGAGATGTCTAAGCGGCAGCCAGATAGGCGGGTTTACAGATTCACACCGCAGCCCGGGCTCTGCTCGCTCCTCACCCTTCTCTCTAGGAAGGACAGCTCTTCGCCAAGGCGACCAGGAAAGGCCCTCCCCACCTGGGCTCCTGCTGGCCCTCCCCACCTGGCCCTGCGTCAGGAAGAGCCGGAGCTCAGGGCGAGACCAGCTGGATGAAGATGCTGCCGGCCCCAGCGGGAGAGCCGGGTCTCGGAGGGGATTTTAGCCTCTGCATTACCTACCTACCTTAGCGGTTTGTCTTTTTAAAACTTGTTTGTTTTTAACTGAACCAGCCTTTCTTTGGGAGCTGACCTTAATACGAAGGTATTCACCGGGGAAGTATTTCCCCCATTCCTTGCCACAATGGAACTAACCGTAATTACACTCTTCTTTCATGAGTTCCTTTTGTCATTTCAGAACAGAGAAGGTAACTAAGAGAGGGTAATTAGAATTAAACACACACACACACACACACACCCTGGAAGAGAGCCCAGTCCAAGCTCCACTGTGGGACGAACGGTCCCGGAAGCGGAGAGCGGTGCCGGAGAGCAGCCCCGGGGGCACAGCTCTGCCAGGGGCTCCGCAGCCATGACCCGCTCCTGCAGCAAACACCTCCTGTTGGACACCTGGGCGCCGCTCCGTCTGTGGCAACCAGAGCACGTGAACGGGAATCTTTTAGAAGAGTTCCTGTACTGAGCAGGTCGTATTTTTTATTTTCACTTTTAAAAATATATTTTATTGATTTTTTACAGAGAGGAAGAGAGAGTTAGAAACATTGATGAGAGAGAAACATCTATCAGCTGCCTCCTGCATGCCACCTTCTGGGGATGTGTCTGCAACCAAGGTACATGCCCTTGACCGGAATCAAACCCAGGACCCTTCAGTCTGCAGCCAATGATGAGCAAGTTTTAAATTTGCTTAATCAATGACCTAGTGGTTCTACATCTGAAATCTGTCCTAGAAAAAAATGAGTGAACAGGTCGGTCGTTAAAGCATTGTTTTTGATGGACAGCTACTTCTAGGATACATGAAAGTAAAAATAAAAAAAATCACGTAGGAACCACCCTTAGAACACAATCCCACTTCCATGAGAGCAGCAGCTTTGTGCCAGGAAGGTCCTGCCCCAGACACACAGGAGTGCCCGGAGGACCCCAGTCGGTGCTGTTCCCAGGGACGAGCGAGGGCAGGAGACTGGCTCAGCCATTTCTCCCCGACGGGAAAGATGCCCGCCCACACTACCTGGGTGACCAGACAACAGGACGCTAGGAGCTGCCACAGCCATCCCGCCTCCCCTCTCCCTTCTCCACTTCCTGGGGCAGAGGCTCAAGGCCCAGTAGCTGACCTGACAGTGCAAACTGTTCCCCCAAACCGGCTAAGGAGGGATCTGCCCGCCCTCTCCATGGCTCCACTCTGGCTCTCAGACCGGCTGCACGGAGCTGCCTGTGCTGGCGGCTCCAAGGCACATCCACCAATGCGCACACCCCTCCCCCCTGCCCTCCTACACGGAGTCCAAGCGGAGCCCAGCACAGAGCACCTTTCTGCACCAGCACCAACAGGACAGCTGAAGGTCACACAGAGCCCTCCCAACCTCATCTGCATAAGGGGGGCCGGGGGAGGAGCAAGAGAAGGCACGTGGGGGGGCACCCACAAAACCCACCCACACTATCAAGAACTGGGTTATCAGCTGAGACCTGAAGCCCCCACAACGCGGCTCAGAACTGAGGTACACACTCCCCTTGTGGCGTATGCACTCCCCTGTGGGCTTGCTCTTGTTTTCGAATCTGTCAAGTGCGACCACCTTTCCTAGCCCTACACTCTGACACTGGTCAGCAACCCTTTCATCTGCCAGAGCCCACCGTCTCCTCTCTGGGGCCGCAACCCTTTCATCTGCCAGAGCCCACCGTCTCCTCTCTGGGACCGCTGTGGGCTGCCTTAGCCTCCTTCCGTCGCTAACCATGTCCCTACGGCACAGCAGGTGGTGGGGCCTGCTACCCCATGAGGAGACTGAGGAGATGGCGTCGGTCCTGGGCATGAGCCCATTTCTCCTGGCTGTGCAGACTGGTCCTGCCATCCTTCCGCTTTCATCAGAGGAGATGGCAGGCCGGCTCCTACCCTCAGCAATCACGTCGTTTCTGCCACGGTTCCAGACTGGGGCCTTCCTAACCGCACAGCTCAGCCCTGCCCTCCACAGGAAGCTTCCCTGACGTCACACCACACGCCTCCTTCCGGCCCCACAGCCCTGCTCCCGCAGAGCATGTGGCCTGTGTCCAGGTCGCTCCCTTAGAGACAGGCCGGGGAGCCCAGCTGTGTCCTCGATGGCCGGTGTCTGGAGGTGTACCACTCCCACGGCCAGCGGCCTTCAGCCCCCGAGGGCAGGAGTGCCCAGCGACTGCTCCATCGGCTCACAGCCCCTCTGGCCTCAAAACTGCAGGCGGACCCAGCCCCTCCACGTCTCTCCAGCGGGCCAGCCCCAGCACAGCCCACTCAGTCGGCGTCTTCATGGCCTCTCCCGTCCCTGCTGGTCCTTCCTGCCCACAGGAGCTGCGCTCAGGGGCTGCACCTGTTTCCTTAACCGTTTCAGCAACTAAACGAGGCCCCACAGCCTTTGCCAAGGCCTCAGCTTGCCTCTGACTGGGGGGCCAGCCTCCATTCACTCAGGACAGTCCCAGGGCCTGGGATGGGCCAGCTCTGTGCTGACAGAGACACGTGGTGGATTCTGCCCCAAAGTGTCCCCTGGGTATGGGAGGCGGGCACATGAGTTGGCGAGTACCACACAGTGATGCTGTTCGATTGCCATGGCAACAAGTGGGGAGGGCTGTCATTCATGGTGCAGGGCCGAGGAAGCCTGCACTGAAGGGCATGGGGATGCACAGGGGCAGGGGTCAGAAGGGGTGGCCAGCAGCCTTGGGAGGAGAGGGCAGTGATGCAGGGGACACTTCTGAGGCCAGGGAACTGGGGTGTCGTGCAGGGTGTGGGCAGGGGCGCTGCGAGCGGCTCTCGATGCTCACAGGGCCTGCTGTCCGCAAGCAGAGCTGGTGGTGGGACAGAAGTAGCAATGAGCTATCCTGGCCGTTAGAGCGAGGTGTCATGAAGGATGTGCCAACACTAAGGGGAAGCCTGACAAATATAAGATCCTCACATGAACACTCTTCTCATCTTAAGAGTACCATACAGAGACACCAATGTCTCATATACAGATAAAAGTCAAAACAAAAATCATTCTAATTGATCCTCACATTGAGCCCATTGCTTAGTCACCAATTCCTTCTCTAGTCAACTCATTAAGAATTTTCCATCAATCTTAACCTGTTTTTCCAAAACTTCCCTCGAGACACCACACGTTCCCTGCCCATTCCCATCATGTTCACGCTTCCTGCCCACCCTCATCCTCCTCTGGGTCCTGTTAGGGCCACGTCCAAATAGAAGTGCCAGGACAGAGAATCTCTGTAGGGTCAGCATGGACGGCTGCACCCGCCCTCCCCTCCCCAGAGCAGGGAGGAGACTGAGCCGGGTCGGGTCTGAGTGGGTCTGGTAGAAGGGTCGGAAGCGAAGCTCCTCACTGAGTGAGAGAAGCACCTTTCCGTGTTCAGGTCCAAGGGGACAGGGACTGGAAACAAGCCCTGTACAGACAGCGAGCAGGCCAGTCAGTCTGGGGGCCCAAAGCCCCTCTGGGCCTGGAGAGCTGGGGCTGAGCAGCAGGGGTTCGGAAAGCAGTGCTGGAACGTGGGAGCGGCCTCCCCCGCTGCGAGACCGCCCGAGAGGGCAGCGAAGTCCAGGCCAGAAGCCGGCCTTGGTCCCGCACCGAGCTCAGCGGCCCCAAAGGCCCTCCGCGCACTCACCGCCTCCTTCTCTCGGTCCATGATCGTCTCCAGCTCCTCGAAGTGCCGGAGCTTGATCTCCAGTTTCTTCATCTGCGTCTCCACCAGGAGCGCCACCAGGGACTTGATCTTCCTCTCCTCCACGGCCGCCAGGTGCTGAGCACAAAGAATCACGTGATCAAACACCTGCTCACAGAGTGACAACGCTGCAGCAGCTATTCCTGCGTTTAACATGGTGCCCACATGCCCTCTTCGCGTGTTTCTATGAAACGTGTATTTCAACTTCCACCCCGACTGTCCACACCTCTGGTGCTTACACACCGCCCTCCCAGAGGAAGGAAACCGCGCCGGGCCCATCAGGGAGCAGAGGCTGAACCAGGCCCTGTGGGCGGAGGAGGACGCAGGTGGCCTGGCGGCATGTCCATGCATCACCCCTCTGCCACCCTCACCCCGTAGGTGTGGCTTCCCCCTCACAAGCCGCACGGGCAGGAAAGCACGGCGCACACTCCCTTGTGTTAAATCTGCTGAGCATCAGCTCCTCCTGCTTCCACACCCGGTTTGGGAATGACAGAGCGTGGAGGACTGATCTCTTTGTTTTCTGCAGAATCTTGACGGAGCTACAGGCAAGAGGGCTACATGCAGGCTTCGGGGAGCAGAGTGACAGACAGTATTTGAACACGAGCCATGTCTCCCTTCACTGCTGAGAAAGGGGGTTCAGGAACCCTCCAGCTGTTAACGTCTGCCTCCTCTGACTGCGTCACACAGAACACCAGTCCGAGGACGGCAGCCCAGCCTGTGCAGGGGAGCGCATGCGTGTGCGCTCCTGAATGATAGACGCACGCACAGGATGGAAAATGGGGCGCTCACAAGGTGCCCGATGGCACTGTCTCCTTCGGAGGAGACCAATGCTATCAGTTTCTAGATGTTTCCATGTTGTTTCTAGATGTTTCTATTGGCTTTGGCAGGAAATGGTGCATTTTCTTGAGAATTATGCAGGAATGTGGAGACATTCCCAACTAGTAGGAAATAAAGATCATGAAATTTCAAAACAGGAAGGTCCATCAAGTAACAAGAAACATTAAAAAAGACTACAGCTTGAATCACTGAGGGACCACTAAGGAAACAACTATGCTGTGCACCTGAAACGCAAACAAAATCCTATCGAATGTCAACTATAACTGAAAAATAAAAATTCAAAAAGACAAAAATTAAAGACCCGCAGAGCAAGGGACAGCGTTGGAAATGAAGAACATGAGACAACGTGAGAATCCTAAATGAGTTCCAAGGTCATTATGTTTAAGAAAATGTAGAAAATATGGGTAAGACAGAATTTCGACAGATTTAGTATATATACATATGTGTGTGTGACTGTGTGTGTGTGTGTGTGTGTGTGTGTGTATATATATATATAATATATATGAATAATTGGCTAGAAAATATACTAAATGGAAAAATAACTCAACGATTAAGTTTAAAAGCAGAAGACTTGACTAGTGAAATGAAAGATAGGCCAAAAAAATATTCACGCCGCAGCAGAATAAAAGGAAAACTAGAACCAAAGATAAGAGACTGGGACACCCGGCATGTGGACTGAAAGGTCCCAGGTTCGATTCCGGTCAAGGGCATGAACCTTGGTTGCGGGAACATCTCCAGTAGGAGGTGTGCAGGAGGCAGCTGATCGATGTTTCTCTCTCATCGATGTTTCTAACTCTCTATGCCTCTCTCTTCCTCTGTAAAAAAAACAATAAAATATATTAAAAATAAAATAAAATAAAATAAAAAGGAAAGAAAATGAGCCGAAAACTGTTTGGCTCAATGGATAGAGCATCGGCCTATGGACTGAAGGGTCCCAGGTTCAATTCTGGTCAAGGGCATGTACCTTTGTTGCGGGCACATCCCCAGTAGGGAGTGTGCAAGAGGCAGCTGATAGATGATTCTTTGTCATTGATGTTTCTAACTTTCTATCCCTCTCTATAAAAAATCATATATATATATATATATATATATATATATATATATTTTTTTTTTTTTTTAAAAAGGAAAAAAAAATGAGAGAAGCAATAAAGAGATAATGGATATAATAGGAACCTACATAATTTTATTAACTAATGTCACCCCAATAAATAATAATAATAAAAAAAGAAATAATGGGTGAGAATTTCCCACAAAAGATGAAACAATTCAACAGAGATATTCGAGAAGCTTAACAATTCTCAAGGAGAGAAAATAGAACAAAAATCGTGTGAAGGTACAACCCAGCCAGAGAAATAAAAACAAAAAAGAATCTTCAAAGTATCCACTGGAAAGAGCACAGGAGCCGCGAGGGCTCGAGGCCCAGCACTCAGCTTCCGACCACTTCCGAGCGGCTGCAATGGGGAGCGGCACAGCATCTGTCAGAAGTCGGGGAAATAACGGACAGCCTTGCCCTCTATACCCGCTGAACATACATTTCACAAATGAAGAGGAAATCAAGTCCTTTTAAGATAAACCAAAGTCATTGCTAGCAAGGTTGCACAGCAAAAAGTTCTAAAAAGAGTTCTTTAAACAGGAGGGAGCCGGGACCGGTGTGGCTCAGTGGATAGAGCGTCGGCTTGGGGACTGAAGGGCCCCGGGTTCAATTCCGGTCAAGGGCATGTACCTTGGTTGTGGGCATATCCCCAGTAGGGGGTGTGCAAGGGGTAGCTGATCGATGACTCTCTCTCATTGATGTTTCTAACTCTCTATCTCTCTCCCTTTCTCTCTGTACAAAAGTCAATAAATTAAAAAACAAACAAACAAACAAAAAAAAAAAAAACAGGAGGGAAACTAGTCCATTAAAGGAAACACTGGATGGAGAAAGGAGCGGAGAAGCGGTTGAAAGAATTAGGTCCTACCATTAAAGCAGCATAAGAACGCCATCATGCAATCACTAGAAAAACACACTACAATAACCAAAGTATAGTAATTACCAACTTCACAAAAAGAAAAAAAGAGAATTAAAATACTGGGTTAATTAAAAACAGAATTGTACACTGGAGGAAATTGTTAAGTAGTACACAGGATGACTGAATAGTATTTTTGCAACGTCTCTGGACCTAGTTATCTTTAGGGGGGGGCTGCCCAGACTACAGTCATGCGGCAGGAAGGGCTGAGGCTGTCGGAAGCTCCACAGGGACCTGGAAGAGTGTGGGCAGAAGAGAGATATGGAATATAGGAGCTATCTGTGGCGTGGGTCTGTCTGGAAGGAGCCTGTCAGGACGCCAGGCGAGAAATGAGGCTGGAGAACTGGGAAGGGTCCTGAGCATGGAAACGCCTCAGTTCCAGGCAAAGAGCTCGATTCTGGCCTGGGAGACAGGAAGGTGGTTCACACCTGGGTCCCAGGCTCTGCTCGTCCTGCCGGGGTCCCTCTTGAGGACGTGCTAGGCCTGGGGTGGAGAGAGGAGGAATCTGCTGGAGCCACACCAAGTGGGGTGGCAGCTGGCGGCCCGGGGACTGCAGGCCGTGGGCCCTCTGCCCGGGAGGAGGACTCAGGACAGCCCGCCCTGCCATCTGCCAGGACTGCTCCACGCGGCCACCTGCTGCGGACGGAGACTCCCGAGGGCAGACTGGAGGATGGGAAGGTGCTGAAAATGCCATATTCTTGCCTGGAACGTCTTATAATGCTAAATTAACACCAAGTGAGGGGAATAACATTCTCCTTTATCTTCAAGATGCTTGAAGCCAATACTGTGTTATAAATAGAGAAAACCACCCCCAGAAAAGCTGGCAAGTTCAAGGAGAAAAAGAGCTATTTTAGGTCCACCAACTCCTCTTCCAGTCTGTAAGAGCAAGTTGAAGTCTTTATACAAGGAAACAGATTTTGTCTTAAAATCACAAATATCTCAACCTGGTAGAAACTGGAACCACAGTCCAGTGAAGCTCTGCAGGCAAATAGAGAGACTGCAAACCCCGCCTTCGCGCTGCAGTCTGCTGGGCCACGTGAGGACACGGCGGCCGTGGGGAAGGCGGCCGGTCCCCGCAGGACCGGCCCGACCCGCACACCGCCTGCACAGCTCCTCACCCAGAACACGTTCAGGCCAACAGTCCCTGCTCCCGGGTGCGGGCTCCTTACACCGGACGCTCCCAGCCAACAAACAATACGGCCATTCAGCCGAGCGCGCAGGAAGGAAGGGTGTCGGCAAACCTTGGCTTTGGTTGCAGCGGAGGCGAGAGCAGCTGCAGCGGCCGTGGCCACGTTTCCCTCGGAAATCTCGTGTTCCACTTTCTTCTTCCCAAGCTCGCCTTCTCTGTCTTTACAAGTGTCAGTGAGCTCCTTGTTCTCTTCAGACTCCTTTTCCTCTGAAAGAACCAGAGCTTCCTCAGCAGCGCGGCCTCTCAATAGCCATCTCACGCTCCCTCCACCATGGACACCCGGCTGGCGCACAAAGGGCTCTCAGTGCCGGCCTGCCCGTGAGATGTGTGCTGGCCCGCTCCGAGCGATCAGTGGGCCTCTATCTGAGACGGGTTTTCTAAATGGTGCCCTGTCTTCCCTTCCTTCCTCTCAGCTCTGTGTGAAGTTCCCTGGGACAGAAAGGGAAATTCAGGGAGCGAAGCCCTAAGGCAAACTGTTCACCAGTCAACGGGAGCTCATGGAAGGAAATCAGGACCAGGGACAGCGCTTCCGCACAGGCTGGCCCTGGAGGGAGGGAGTGAGGTCTGTGTGTTGCCTCAGGGACCTCATCGACCTGTCTGTGTGCATGACTGCGAACACGGCAGCCACGGCGTCAGCCTGGGTGCCTGCCACAAAGCAACACGCACACTGCACACTGATGGCCACACTGAGAAGCCAACTCAAATGGGACATCGATGGGACACAATAAACGGCCCACTTTTCTCCCCCGGTTGTCAGCGGTACCTAATGAAATCAGAGTTTCCTCAAATTACCTGACTTGATATCCTCACTAACTTCACTGTCCTGTTCCTTCTCGCTCGTTTTTTCATTGTCTCCATCCTGGGCTTTGTCACCTTCATCCGGCTCGTTTTCCCCTTTGTTTTCTGCCTGAATAGGGTACGAAAGAAGAGAAGGAGAGTGAGGGGGGGAAGGCCAATGTCAGATATTATCATGGAATGACTAAAGGTTCCTCTATTTCTAACAAGCAGACGAGGCTCAGAAGAGAAAACTGGAAACCAAATAACTTCACAGAAATACGTTTCAGCCAAAACCGGTTTGGCTCAATGGATAGAGCGTCGGCTTGGGGACTGAAAGGTCCCGGGTTTGATTCCAGTCAAGGGCATGTACCTTGGTTGCGGGCACATCCCCAGTGGGGGGTGTGCAAGAGGCAGCTGATCGATGACTCTCTCTCATCGATGTTTCTAACTCTCTCTCTCTCTCTCTCTCTCTCTCTCTCTCTCTCTCTCTCTCTCTCTCTCGCTTCCTCTCTGTACAAAATCAATAAAATACATAAAAAAAAAAAAAAAAAAGAAATACGTTTCATTGCCTCAACACCTGTGTGCTCACAGGACAATGCCCCCGGGACTCAGTCCCTGTCACGTCTGCTGTGAGGCCACGACCAGAAGGCCCTGAGGAACGTCAGGAATTCATTTATGATTTACTGGCTGAATAGAGAAATACTTATTAAATCATCACACTGTTGTCCAAAAGCACTGAAAATGCACTTTCTCAGCTAAGAAGCAGGAAGAAATGCTGCCGAAATGAAAGCTGACCAAGCCTTCCCACAGCCACTTGCTCAGGGTCTGTAGGGAGAGCCACAACAGAGCACCAGCGAGCACGCTCTGGGACCGACTTCAGTTCCCCTGTGTGGCGTCTGGTATCACTTGCTGATTCTGAAATCCGTGACCTTGGACAAATAGGTAACATTGTCTATAAGATGACTCGATGAGGCTGTTTTAGAAACTAGGTGAATTCATAGAAGTACAAGGCATAGGACTGTAAGAGCTGGAACTAATCTTACTATCACCCTTTCCTTACCCACCGACAATTTAAAACAGCGCTTGTGGGTAAAGCCCCAAACCCTCCTGTGCCTGTTCACTCCAACAGCGACTGCCGCCTCGCACCAGGAGCTCGGCCTTGAAGAGACTGTAAAGTCTGCTTCACTCCGCTCACCGCACTCAGGGTCTCTGATCTGAGACGGGATCGGGTCTCCAACACCCTGGGCCCTTTGCTGCCCTCGGGACACTGAACAGTGTCTCCCCCCCCCCCAGGTGCCGTGGGAAAACTCAAACAGAATTCACCTTTTCAGGCTGCTGGCCATCAGCATCTGTCTCCATTTTCTCCTCTTCAGCTCCTTCTACAAACAAAAGAGTAAGAACAAGTAATGCAACCCAGACAAAAGGCAAGGCACCGTACAGCTGAGAGTGTGGGAGGCACCACTGCACCCAGCACCGTGGATGAACCTCACAGCACATGTCGGCAATAAAAACCCTGACATAAAGCAACACGTACTTACGACTCTGTTAACATAAAGGTCAAAAGGGGGTGTTAGGAGTCAGAGCAGCCTTTAAGCAGGGAGGGGCAGACAAGGCAGGCTCAGGGAGAGGGCTGGGGGTGGTCTGTTTCTTGATCTTGAGGCTGTTTCGCAATGAGCTAGCAACCGAGGGGCCCACTCTTCTGTTTGTTAAAAAAGTTAATAAAAGTTAAAAAAAAATAAGTAAAATAAGCCCCTAAATGTTTTTATTGAACGGGCCATGAGCACAGCACATTTATCCGGAGGCAGCGCTGGAGAAGCTCCTGAGCTCCGCCCTCTGGCTGGGTGCGCGTCTGGGTGCTGTGCCTCGCAGGGAAGGCACAGGACCGCACAAGTGCTTCCTGGCCACCACGGCAGGGCCACCACGCGGGGCGTGTGCCTGGGCGGGGCGGCACGTTCAGAGACAAACAGCCTCGGGTGCAGGGAACTTTTTGTCACTGGGGATGCAGAGACAAGGGAGGACAGAGAGGAGGAATGAGAGTGGGACAGTGGCTGAGGTGGCCACACATCCCATGGAGAAGTGACGGGCTTTTTAACGTCTCAGTCACAGCTGCCATCAGTACTATCTTCACGTGCAGAGTGCAGCGTGGTGGTTGGACGTGACACAACGTGTGCCATGAAGCAATGAGGAAGGCTTCGGGGCAGGGCCAGCCGGCCAACCGCCTGCAGCCCCTCCTCCCTCCAGCCTGGCCTGATGGGCCCCCAGCCGGACAGATCCCATCTGTGCACTAATTTGTACACCGGACCTCTAGTGTTTAATACGGATTAACACTGTTTTTAAAAAATATATATATTTTATTGATTTTGTACAAAGAGGAAGGGAGAGAGATAGAGAGCTAGAAACATCGATGAGAAAGAATCATTGATCAGCTGCCTCTTGTACACCTCCTACTGGGGATGAGCCTGCAACCAAGGTCCATGCCCCTGACCAGAATTGAACCTGGGAGCTTTCAGTCTGCAGGCCAACGCTCTATCCAGAGCCAAACTGGTTTCAGCTGGACTAACACTGTTAACGAATAGGAAAATCCCCCTTTCTCTAATCCTTGGAAATGAATGAGATCAGATGATCTTGGCCCCAGGGTTCAGGCTGGCTAGGAGCTCTCAGAGACGTACTATAGTATTTGGGACACTGAGTCTCACAGGAAGCAGGAGAGCCTTATTGATCATCACCTTCCTCCAATGCCCAAAGCCTGAACACCAGAGGTGGATGAAGTGTGACAGGTTAACAGCTCAGCACCAGGAAGCCAAGCCCTGGCCTGGCCTGGTGCAGGGCAGGGGAAGGACGCCGGGAGGGACTCCCACACAGAGCAGCCCAGTGTGATCTCAAACCAGAGGCCACCGTGCAGGCTGTTTTCTCCGTCTTCATTTCAGCCAAAACGAGGTCCGAGCGATGACTCACAGAGCAAACACAGGAAGATGCCCACTAACACCGGCGCACTGACCAACAGGTTCGGATCCCAAGGCGCGCCAACAGGAGGTGTGTCAGATCCTGCCTCTCCAGGTGCAACGTGAAAATAAAAAAAATGGAGAATCACAAAGATCTCTGACCAACAAGAGAATGTAAGAGGTAATAAAAGATTTTAAAAAATTCAAAAGATCAAAGCAGTGCAAACAAGGTGAATTACAAAACTGTAGAGCATGCCTAAAGAAACGACTCACACCTAGGACAAGAAGAAAACTGCAAACGTGGAAAACACATGACAGAAAACGAATCCAGGGAGTGGTGCCTTCCCATGGCACTGGCCAATACGGGGTAAAAACAGAGCACTATTAAGCCTGGCCACGTGGCTCAGTGGTGGAGCCTTGACCTAGGAACCAGGAGATCACAGTTTAATTCCTGGTCAGGGCACATGCCCAGGTCCCCAGTGAGGGGTGTGGAGGCAGCAGATCCATGACTCTCATCATTGATGTTTCTATCTCACATGATCCCTACTTCTGGGTGGGTTGGGGGGAGGGGAAGAAAGAGGAGGAATAGAGCATTATCAGAAATAAGGGTAACAACATATTGAAGATTTAACTCACTAGAAAATTATTCAATTTTTAAACTTTTAAGAACTGAATAAAAGAATGTCAACAGCATTGCAGGGAGAAAACGAAAATGTACATCATAGCAGGTGAGGGGTGTGTGTGAAGATGCTTCTCTCTTATGATTCAGGGCACGTGAACACAGCACGACGGTGGGAAGAAGGGTGTGCAGAATGAGAGAAGGCACGCATACAGATCACTCTCGGCTCACATGAAGTGCTTAATAAGTACTGACCACTAATTGGGTCTTAAAACAAGCAGGAGCGAGGCCGTGCTGGGAGCTCCCTCACACTTGTCAGGCCGCTCCCTGCATCAAAGGCCGAGCACCACAGAGCCGCCTCTTCATCCACCCAGGCCCACAAGCCCGGCAAACACCTACCCGCTCCGCCTACCTCTGCAGGCTGCTCCTTCCTCGCCCTACTTGCACTTCCTGTGGTGGCCAGCCTGGGTCACTCCCCTCCCTCTACAACCTCCAATTCCCGACCCTGCAACTTGGTGCTCTCTGCTCTACAGAACTGAGTGTGTCTCCGATCTGGATCAGTGACATCAAAATCTCTTTTTCAACATTCAGCTCCAATCCTACCTCCTTTGCAGCCTCCTCAGTCTAGAGTTACAGGTCCCCTTGTGTTAATTCTTACAGCACTTCCTGTGTACAGTCCTCCAGGGACAGTGAAGACAGCTTCTTCATTATACCCCAACCCTCAAACACTGAATTATTTCTCCATGTACGTATACCTCTTCACAAAAACAGCCCCCATCTTTACTTGTGTTTTGTATAATTGCGGAATAGCATGAGATCTATATAAAGGAACCAAAACGTCTGATTTGATCACATAGTCCCCAGAAGGCAGGAAATTGTATGATATAATGGAAGCCAGTTTCTTCCTAAAAATACACACCCTACAATACAATAGAGTCCTCAGGCAAGACTCTGAAATCCCACCCAGCATCAGCGAGTCTTTGGAGGTTAACTGTCCATTCTGCGCTGCTCAGAAGTTTGACTGTGTTTTCGTGCCTCTCGAAATAGAGCCGACAGAGCCCTGTGGAGGCGACGTGGCCAGAGCAGCCCCGTCCAAGGATGCAAGCCCGATGCCTGAACATTGCCCCACTGTTTGCTCAGGTTCCCAGCCCAGTGCGTGCCACACGTGGGGCTTCAGAAGCGCCTTCTTTACGGAGTGCGATGGAAATCCTCCTGGTGAGAAGAACGAGGCCATTTATATGCTATCAACAGCATCTGAGGCAAGAACTACAACAGCCACTGTTGGCTTTAAGTTCCTAGAAAATGGCCTTTTCAACACTGTCAGCATGCTCTTCCTTTCCCAAAGGACTGGACAGAGCTCTTCACCTCCTTGGGCACTAGGACCGATTAGCGGCTTTCCTCTAGGCAGTGGTCGGCAAACTCATTCGTCCATAGAGCCAAATACCAACAGGACAATGATTGAAATTTCTTTAGAAAGACAAATTTTTTAAACTTAAACTTCTAACGCCAATTCTTCAAAAAAGACTCGCCTAGGCTGTGGTATTTTGTGGAAGAGCCACACTCAAGGGGCCAAAGAGCCGCATGTGGCTCGAGAGCCACAGTTTGCTGGCCACGGCTCTAGGGCAAGCACGTCAGACTCACAGGCTACCACGGGCCAAATAATCAAGGTTTAAACTTATGTGGGCCCACACAAAAAGCTTCCATTTTCACAGAAACATGTTTATTCCGATAGAGATCTTGCTGAATACAAAGGGCTGAAATATATGAGTTGTCATAAACGTAAAATAGGATATTTTAATAAAAATGAATATTTTTTCTTGAACATTAACTTGTCAGATACTGAATAACTGCACAAATAAGCGTATCGCAAATAAACCTATTTTTCTTTTTTTAGAAAGCGAGATACTTCCTATTGCGCACACCAAACAAGTCAGTTTGAGACTAATGCGTGGCCATCGCTGCTAAGACGTTCGCTGCCAGAATTAGTGGAGAGGAATGTGCGCCTGCGTGTAAGGCGCGTAAGGGAAATGAAGGCAACATGTTATAGTCACCAGTCATTAGCGAACATTGTAGTTCTTTATTAATAATTATGTATAACAGGATATTATGAAGTTACAAAACATTTATTAAAACGTTTCTTACATACTGTTATATTGGCTGGGCTGCAAGTTTGACATGCTTGCTCTATGGAGAGCTGTGGCAAATGGCACCAGATGCACTCCATGGAGCTCAGTGGACAATCCACTCATTGGTACTAAAGTTCAGTAACTTAAATCTCTCAAATTCTCTAAACCAGAATGAGGACAGGCAGTGTATCTATTCCATACCGAAAACATAAAATAAAACCAATATCCGAGGCCAGAAAACATAAATGAGGATTTTTATAATACGTCTTCCTGGACTCCTGACAGGCCCTTGAGATTGAGCACATTCCACCTGGGGGAGGAAGTACCCACAAAGGGGCTAAGATTGCCCATGTTATGATAGTTATGTAGGAAAAAGTCCTTATTCCAAGGAGATAGATGCAAGCGGAATTATTTTGGGTGCAAATGTCTCCAACTTACTTTGAAATAATTCATGAGAAATAAAAACTACAAGTCATTAATTTGGATTGCTTAGAGAGAGTGCATAGCAGAGCTGGGCCGGCAGGCATGGCCCCCCTGTGCTCACCCGATCAACATGCCAGCTGTCTGGCCACAAGCAAGCAGGCTCTCGGAAAGGCCGTTTCGTACTGACTGCAAACTGTAGCTGGAAGGAAAGGAAGGCTGACTCCAGGTCAGTAAAGAAAGTTCAGTAAAGCTCTTTAACAAAAGCCTAGTGACAGAGTAAAGACATTCCGCTGACATTGAAGTGTGTGACGTTACCTCATCAGAAGTGGGTATCAGGCTAACAGCTCCTCGGTGGGCCTCGCCTTCCCTAACAGCTCCTCGGTGGGCCTCGCCTTCCCTAACCGGAACCAGAGGTGAGCCCTGGGACACTCGCGCTCAAACCCCTTCACTGGCCCCTCAGCTCGAGTAAACAGCCAGCTTGCCCACAGCCCACCACCCTCCACGCCCAGCTCCTTGTCCTCGCTGCCCTCGCTGCCCCTCAGCTGTGCAGGCAGCTCCCGGCCAGGCCCGGGCACCCCAACGCCGGACACTGACCTCCGAGGACAACGCGCTCCTGCTCTCGCCTCATTCACATCTGCTCAAAAGTCACTTTTTGGTTAAATTCTCTGACCACTTAAAACTGCACTGTATCCCCCAACCCCTAGTTTATTTCTCAAAACACTACTTACCAACCAACATCCTCTTTCCATGTATTCACTTAATTAATACATCCCACAAGCTTCACACCTCGGTTCCCACACGTCGCCGCTCTCACAGTCTATGAGACAGGAGCTTGGACCTTCTTTGTTCCCCAGGCCCTGGCACAATCATGAGAACAGGATAACAAAGCACATTTACCACCTCTTTATCCCGGGAATTCCCTGGAAAAGAGACCATCTTAGGTCTGCCCTTCTGCATGTCGTAGGCTCGGGCACTGAGCCAGAGACTCAGCTCTGCTGTGGGTACTCAGCACCTCATGGCCTACAAACGAACCCCGCTGCTCCTCCTGGCTCCCCCGCCGGGTGCTCACGCAGAGCCGTGTCCCCCAGCATGAACGGCAGCCCAGGGGCCGCCTCACAGGCCTCCGTCAGCCTTGCTCAGCGAGTGGGAAACACACAGACATGCCTACGCTGCGTTCTTCCGGGGCGTGCTATGTGAAAGGGGTTCAGCTCTGGGGTCCAAGTGGTTTAATGCACGAGGTAGTCCGATGTTCACAAGCCTGTGTAACTTGCCAACACCTCAGACGCCTTGCTTTTACAACACAAACAATGCCAGTCCTTCCTAATGGTTCCCCGAAAAGAAATTCAAGTCACCAGCCAGAAAAGCCCTGTGTGTGATGACAGATGTGAGCCCTCAGAAAGCAACTAAGTCCAAGACCTCTGAGAAACACTTCAGGTTCTCTTCCTATCTTTCTCTTTACTCCTCCCACCTGCCCCTAGGACCAAGGGCACATCACACCCAGCAATGCCCCTAGTTAGCTGCAGAAGGCCTCAAGTAGCAATGCCCCTTTCTTTCCACAGAATGGGCTCTGGCCAAAGAAAGCAAGCACTGTACAAGTTTGGAGACGTCAGCAGATATTGGTGATGTATTTTTATTGTGGTACTTAATTTACGATGTTCATTAAGTTAGCCCCTTCGGTGAAGCTAATGCTCACTTCCTAAATAATTCCCACATAAAGTCCCCTAATAAAGGCAACCAAGTGTTTCAAGCCTGGTGCTTACATATCTTTACCTTTATGTCACCAAATACTCCCTCCAATCCAAATCCACAGTGAAAAGTTAAGATAGGCTAATGAGAGAGATCCGAAGAAGTCTTGTATTTCATGAGGACCCTTTAATTTTTTCCTGTTTATTGTTTGACCTTTATAAGAGGTTAATAAGTATAACACCGTAAATTGAGCATCACAGTAAAAAGTATACTCTGCAGTGTGCATTATTGTACTCTGCAGAAGTTCAATCCTCTCCTGACAAGGAAGAGTCTACATCATTCTATTTCAAATCAGCGAGCAATCTATCACATAAAGCGTACTGTGAGTCGACGTGTGAATGTAGTACTTCCTGGCTTTGAACTCCCGAGTGTGCTGAGAGAAAGGAGGTGCTGACTGCCCCACACCGGAGCCTGCACAGGGAGTGCGTTGGCTGCTCCCTGTCGGTTCTCTTAGTCACAGCCCATGGAGTCGTGGCGAGGACACAGGCCAGCATGAGCTCCAGGGTCTGCTTACAGCTCCTTCTGCAACATCCATCTCCCGCTGTCTTTCCTCTGCCCATCCTGCTGCAGCAACTACTGAGGGCATGCGCTCTGGGGGTTCCCTGTGGGCCCCCACCGTCCCCGCAGCCTGACCCGCCCTGCGCTCTGCAGAAAGCAACCTTCCCTCAAGTGGGGCCCAGCCCCAAGGGACTATGGTGGCTACATTTTTTCCTAGGAGAACGTTTTTTCTTTGTTTTAAATCCACTATACCAGAAATGGCTCCATTTACACCTCGTTTCTTAACCACTAATGCTCCTGGCATCATCTACCAAAACGGCTCAGCAGATTCACACGGAAAACACCTCCCTGGTTCTGCAGAGCACAGACGCTTCTTTCAAATGAAGCAGCAGCTCTGCCAATCCTGCCAATCCCATGCCCACAGAGAGCCCAGAGGCCCTGCAGCCAAGGAGCCAACACACACACAAACGTCTGGGAGGACAGGCAGGCTTTCCCAGGCGCTCAGCAGCCCGGCTCCCGCCTCCACGGCCGCCTCGTGGTGCAGAATCAACAAGCAGAGAGATGTGGCTGGGCTTGCTAATGCAGCCTCCACCTCAGAGAGGAAAACCAGTGGTTTCCAAACGAAGAAATATGGTGAAAACGCCGAGTTGATTTTTAATTGAAAGGCTGGTATCGGGATGAGTAACTAAGGCTAAAAACACGTGGGCCAGTAACTGGTCCTGAGGGATCGAGTGAGCAGCGGGGTCCCTCTGCAAGGTATTCCTGTCTCCACAGCGAGTTTGCTGGACAGACACTTCTCAGAGAAAACCAGGGAGCCCCATGAAACTCCCGGGAACCCCGAGGTGCAGACTCTCCGCTCACATCGCCCAGAGCAGAGCACCAGGAGACCGGGCTGTGCATGTGTCGAGGGCTGGCTAGCCATTTTATTTTTCATCTCATATCATCTTTATCTTAAAGAATGAAAAAGACAAAAGGTAATTATTGCACCTGAAGTACACAATTGAGACAAAGAAGGAGCTAATTAGGCAAGATGCAACTCTTGAGCTTGAGTTATCAGAAATTGTTTCATAAGGAATAAAAAGAAAACCACAAGCTACTGAAGAAACAGGGGAATGCACTCCTGCTGACCTATCTAATCAAGAGCTAACGTGCACGTGGCCGTCTGCTCTCGCGCTGGGGGCGGGGAAGGGAGGCTGGGGGCCAGCTGGGTGATTTTGAACTTGACTCTGGGTCCTGCGGCTTGCTGTGCCCCCGACTCTGGCAGGAGAGAGATTTTCATATACATCTAATTTTCTTTCATCTCGGACACTTCCATTATAGCAATGTCATAATATTTCCCCGAACTCCCACTTAATGTGTGCAAATTTTGAGCATTGGGCCACTAATTGTGTATAAAATAATATTTTTTGCCCTGGCTGGTTTAACTCAGTGGACAGAGCATCAGCCTGCAGACTGAAGAGTCCTGGATTTGATTCCAGTCAAGGGCACATTGATTTCGGGTTGTGGGCTCAGTCCCCAGTAGGGGGAGCATGCAGGAGGCAGCCGATCAATGAGTCTCTCATCATTGATGTTTCTATCTCTCTCTCTCCCTTCCTCTCTGAAATCTAATAAAAATATATATGTATATAAAAAATAATATTGTTGGCTCAGTGGACAGAGCGTCGGCCTACAAACTGAAAGGTCCCAGATTCGATTCCGGTCAGGGGCATGTACCTTGGTTGCGGGCACATCCCCATTGGAGGATGTGCAAGAGGCAGCTGATCGATGTTTCTAAATCTCTATCCCTCTCTGTAAAAACTCAATAAAATATATTAAAAATAAAAATAATATTGTTACCTGGTTTGTAAATAACCTCTTAAACAGGAACACTTCCCATTTGAAAAGCCAGGTATTGCTTATGAAGCTATTGAGTTAAATTTCAATTCTCTTTAAGATTGATTAAACAGAAGTAGATAATTAAAAGTCCTTGCGTAAAGAAACTAAAGACAACCTACATCGTGGAAAGACATCCTATATCCTATGTTCATTATTGTTGAGATGGCACTACTCCCCAAACTGAATGCAAATAAAAGCCCCCAGGAGATGCCACCTCACCCCTGAGGCTGTTATTACAAAGAAGGGAGGGAACGGCGCTGGCGAGGACATGGAGAAATCACCACCTTTATAAACTGCCGGCAGAACACAGCGCTCCAGCCGCGATGGAAAGCCGTTGAGAAGCTCTTCCCAAGTTACCCAGACGACTCAGCATCTCCAGCCCGGGGCCTGAGCAGGGAAAGCCGATGCTCATAGCCACACGTGCACACATGCGGACAGCATCGTTCACACGAGGAGGGGAGGAGGCATCCACCAGGAACGGGTGAGGAAAGGGTTAGGAGAGGCAAGTGCGCGACGGAGAGCAGGCTCCTCACCGGGCTGACAGAGGAGGGACGGGAGGGGTGCTCATCGTAAGGTGGGATTTTGTTTTGGGAGGATGAGAAGGTTCTGAAACTCGATGACACTGATGGCTGGCAATATTGTAAATATGCTAGAAGCCACTGGATCACATACCTCTAAGGGGTTAACACAAGAGGTTTTTATGGTGATTGAATTTGGCCTCAATTTAAAACAAAACAAAAATGAACTTGAACCTACACAGCAACATATGAATTCAAACAATGACTTCAGTCCTTTCACCATTCTTGTGTCTGCATTCTTAAAATCTACATCTAGAAACTGAAAAGCAGAGTTTGCAATGTGACACTGTTAACACGATGGGAGAATATGTTAGTCCTACCGACCGATAAAAGGAAGCAAGTCAGAGAGGAAACACTCCCGCACTCCCGCTGGGAGACAGGCCCATGCTGACCGCAGCACGGATTCCAGCGGCCCCCCGGAAGCTGCGGCAACTCACCCAGCTTCTCCGGCTCCTCGGGGCCCGTGCCTGCGATGCAGCTGCTCTCCAGGCCGAAGGTGGGGTCCACTTTCCCAGAGGCTCGAGCTGCTTCTTGCACTTTCTTGACATGAGCTTCCACCAGTTCCAGGGGCACCTCCTCCCGGACCCGAGAAAACTCCTCTGTTCACGACAAACAGGACGGGACCTGGCTTTACACGAGGGTTTGCTTCACGTGAATCCCCGACACCCAACACCTACAGTGTCTGTGTGCAGTGACCTTTCTGGGGACTCAGTCCCACCTTCCCAGACAGGGCAAATGAAAACCTAGTGTGTGTCCTAGTATCTCGCTATATAATAAGACAGATCTTTGAATCTATATCATCAACAATCAAAGATGCTGTCTAAATTTCATCCAACTGCTTGGCTAGATGGATAATATAGAAGCCAGCAGGTCGACACCAGGAAGCAGGGGGTTCTGTGGTGAAGGTCTCATCCTGACTCTAAGGCAGTTCCAGAGTTCACAGGACTCCTTCTGCCAGTCGTGGCAAATTTCAAGCGAGTCACCACATAAACCGTAAAAAATTCTGATCCCCCCAATTCTTAATGCTTTTAATTTTAAAACTATTAAATTTTAAGTGTGCCAGTTTAAATTGTTATCCCTTAAAATACAACAGTATCGCCGAGACTGGTTTGGCTCAATGGATAGAGCGTCGGCTTGGGGACTGAAGGGACCCGGGTTCGATTCCGGTCAAGGGCATGTACCTTGGTTGCGGGCATATCCCCAGTAGGGGGGGTGCAAGAGGCAGCTGATCGATGACTCTCTCTCATTGATGTTTCTAGCTTTCTATCTCTCTCCCTTCCTCTCTGTACAAAGTCAATAAAATATATTTTTAAAAAAATACAACAGTATCGCATGGGGCAAACCCTGGTTTTGTATGTAAGTAACGGAATGAACGTAGCGCAGGGGGACGTGTGAGTGGGTAACACTGGTGTGAAGGGAAGCGGCGGCTGTCTGGTGTGTCTGCAGTGAGATGGCTCAGCAGAGTCCATACCCAAAGCTGCTTTGGCTGCAGCAGAGGCCACTCGGGGGTCCACCACGGAGGCCAGGAAGGCTACTGTGCTCATGACGGGGTTTCCTGACTGGCTGAAGGGGACCGGCTGGTAGGCCAGGGGCCCCAGGGAGGCGTCCGAGTTCTCCAGGTATGGGTCCTCGATGGGGAGCCGCAGGAAGTGGAGGATGCACTCGTCCTGAGTCCGACTGCCCACGTGCTCCGACACTTTGTTCCAATCGTCCTTGTACATCTCCAGGGCCTAAGAGAACAAAGGGCTTTCGTATCGGGCAACGAGGAAGTGCCCTGTGACTATTTTCCAGACAGTTTATGAACAATAATGAAATCAGCCATACTCTGTATTAAAAGGTGTGCACATTATAAAGGAGAAACACCTGTCTTTTATTAATACACACGATTGTTTATATGGAAAATCTACGGAATCTATAAACAGGATACCAACACTGGAGAGTATTGCAAGGTCACAGGACAAGAGGAAATAGGAAAGCTTGTGTTTCTATATACAACAGCAACAAAAAACAGTTTAAGTTGGGGGAAATTAAAGTATTTAAAATAGTATAAAAACAAAATACTAAGAAATAGCCGGGACCGGTTTGGCTCAATGGATAGAGCGTCGGCTTGGGGACTGAAGGGCCCCGGGTTCGATTCCGGTCAAGGGCATGTACCTTGGTTGCGGGCATATCCCCAGTAGGGGGTGTGCAAGAGGCAACTGATCAATGACTCTCATTGATGTTTCGAACTCTCTATATCTCTCCCTTCCACTCTGTACAAAAATCAATAAAATATATTTTAAAAAAAAAAACAAAAAAAAACAAAAAACAAAATACTAAGAAATAAATACATGAAAGAATATGTAAAGTCTACAAATTGAAAAAATAAAACTTTCTGAGAGAAATCTAAGACCTATATAAAGAGATACTGTGCTCATTGCTACAAAGTCTCAGTACTGTTATGGGTCAATTCTCTCCAAATTGAACTAGATCCATTGCAATCCCATTCAAGCTCCAAGCTTTTACTGTTAGAAATTCAGACGGAGCAGGGACCGGTTTGGCTCAGTGGATAGAGCGTCGGCCTGTGGACTGCAAGGTCCAGGGCTCGATTCTGGTCAAGGGCATGTACCTTGGTTGTGGGCACATCCCCGGTAGGGGGTGTGCAAGAGGCAGCTGGTCGATGATTCTTTCTCATCGATGTTTCTAACTCTCTATCCCTCTCTCTTCCTCTCTGTGAAAAATCAAAAAAATATGTTTTTTAAAAAAAAAGAAAAAAGAAATTCAGAAGGAGTACTAACATGTATGAAGAACAACTATCTCTAGTTTTAAAATTTGTAATTTTTCATAGAAAACACTGAAAAACTTCAATTGAACAGCAACAAAAATAGTAAAAGCCATCTCCACCGAGAGGGAGGGGGATAGAATGGATAAAAACTGAGAGTCGGGGAATTGACCGGGTACAGACAATCTACTCAGTAGCTTCCCAAAGTTCTCTCTAGAGCCGTAATCCTAGGGGCTTTTGCAAAGTCTGGAGACAGTCTGGTTGACCAACTGGGGGCTCCACTGGCATCTCGCGGGCAGAGGCACGGGTGCTGTTCACACTGGACCATGCACGCGAGCGCCCAAGTGCCAATGCGGCCGACAGAACATCCCTGCTCTAGACATTACACAGGCACCTGACTTCATGCTCCACTAAGCCATTATCATGACACCACCCCACAGAAAGGTCTGGTGGTAAGCAAAGCTGCTGCGAGCCTCCTGTTTCTGGTTGTGTGAGCGCGGACACCACCGGCAGATTCAGTGACATGTTTAACAGAAAAGCCAGCCAGGCACAGCGCCACCTGCAGGAGGACACGCCCTGTGTGTGTGTAAGGCTGTGGGGCTTTCTTGCTGGGTCAGGGTCAGGTCATCGGTGGCCCAGCCCAGGACTCCCTTTGTGTTCACGCCCGCTAGCCCTACGCAGAGAGGAGGAGATGGAGAGGGGGGACGTTTTGGTGTCAATGTGCAGAGGGAGAACTGATGTGAGACTGTTTCTCTGCAGAACCCAGCTTCTAAAACAGCAACATAGCACTGAACTACACCCTCACACGTCCTGAGCCTTTTCAGTTACCCTCCATGGCAGCAGGCTTGGACAGACAGTTTTGAAATGTAAGCAGCGGTTCAGAAAAGAGCTGTGCATCACTGATACTGAATGGGCATATGAGCACCAATTAAACAGCAATAAAGACTCAAAAAGAATAAATCTTTTTGGTTTTGATTCAGAGAGCGAGCAACGGAAGGAAGCATGGAACTGCCATCTGAAGGAATCTAGTTGATCAACCACCACCAGCGTCCTTGAACCCGTGGCAGCCACTGTCCTGGTCCATGTGGTGGCACTGCCAGCACGTCTGGCCATAATGCCCTCTCTGGCCCTGCGTCAGCTCCCAGAGCCCATCTACCCACACTGAGCCGTGTCACAGCCTCAGTCACCCGACGACCTTGTTCTGTAGCTCAGGACAAGTGGTCTCTCTTCAGAAATGGCTGCTAAACACCAAAACAACCGTCTCCATGTCCTGCCCGCTTGAACAGACATGGTCGGCAAGACCTACTTGTGTGGCTCTGTGAGTCCCCGAAGTCAGAGGAAACCCAAAGGAGGAGTCACTAAGACCGACTAGCAGGATGCTGGTTACTGACTAGCAGGATGCTGGTTAATGCTACCGTTTGCCAGTCTGCTGCTTTCATAAACAAACAGTGCTGTCCACCAGGGCTGGCATCGTCAGCTGCTTCTCGGGGTCCTTCTGGAAAGGAGGCTGCCATACACCCACATGCATAAAGCACCAGGACTCCCCCACATGACTCAGGGGGCGGAGCTCAGGAGAATGGGATCTAAACCAAGGCTCAGTCTCAAAGGCACATCTGCTGCTCTAAGTCTGCCGATACTGACAACGAGATCCCAGAAAGGCCAGGCCTTCCAATTTAGGAGAAGTTAGAAAACTTGAGCAAAGCTCCAATACTTATTTAACGTTGGCAACGGATTTTATGCAAAAGAAATCCAACCTGGGCCAAAATAACACATATCCAGGCTTGATCTCCTCCTGAGAGCCAGTGTGTAACCTCCAGGTTGAGAATTACATACTAAAGCCCCACTGACACTCATTACCCGGACTTAAGCATCTCACAGGAAGTTCCACGGTCGATGGCAGCGCCAGTCCGGGAACAGCGCCCCTCAAGGCGGCCAGGCTCTCCTGTGCTCACCTCCAGCAGCAGCAGGGTCTCCTGCTCCGTCCACTCCCGTCCGGCGCTGGCACCTTTACTCTGAAAACAAACCAGAATTATTGCCTTATACATCTTTAAGTAGTTGCTCTGCCTGACTTTAAGTAGTGGGTCAGTGGTGAGCATTGAACTATAACCAGGAGGTCGCAGTTGGGATTCCTGGTCAGGGTACATGCCGGGTTGTGGGCTTGCTCCCAGTGTGGGGCGTGCATGAGGCAGCTGATCAATGATTCTCTCATTTATAACATCTTTCACGCTAGCCCACGTGACCTCCTGGCACTCTGTATTCTTCCAGTGACCTAGTCCCCTCCCAAAATGCCTTGTCAAATCACTACATTTTCATCGCGAGGATAAATGAGTTCTCCTCACTGTCCCTCCCGCGCCTCCTGCTCTGCCGTCTTGGTCCCGTCCATCCAATGTCTCCTCTCGGTCCTGTAGCTTCAGTAAACCTGGCCCTGCTTTTTGCTCTATTCAGCCTACTGAACTCCTGAGTTAACTTCAGGTATATTTTTATATTATACAATATCCATTTGATTCCTTTTATATATTCCAATTCTCAGTTGAAAGTCTCCATTTTGTCCTCTATTTTACTTAACATATCAGTAATTTTTAGATACTTATCTTCCAATCATATAGAAAAATGGTAAAGGTGACTGTTCTTTACAAAATGCCATCAGATTAGTAGAAAGCTCACCTCCTTACACGTTAGACAGTAAATTAAGTGTCTTATGGGAAATGACATTGCACAGAAGGAAGAAGGACGAAGAGGACATGCTGCATTGTAGTCAGTGTCTGTCTAGGAAAAACATCCTTACCTTTGCCAAGGTTTTTTTTGAGTAAATGTCAGTTCGGAGACCAAAGTTCTGCAAATCAATTGGCTTTTCCTTGTTCTTCTCGGGGAAATTTAACATCTGCTGCGCAGCAGGGATCTGTGAGTCACGTAAAGGAGAGGGAGCTGCATTAACCTCTGAAGCTGAGGGCCATCGGGGAAAGGGCCTCTGCAGCGCGAGGGACCTGCTCAGCACAGGAGTTCCAGCCCGGGACCCTCCTCACACAGCTCCCGGCCAGTCTCCCCTCCTTTGCTAGAGCCCAAGAGAGTGGCCGGGAGAGGAAGGCAGAGAGAGAAACATCAATGTGAGACCCACTAGCGGAGGCCACACCGAGAGCACATCCTACTGGGGTTCTCCCTGGGAGCTCCCCACAACCTGTGACCTTAAAGACCTTAGGGTGGGGGAGGGAGAGCAGCCAGGGAGAGGTCAGGGGGGAAAAAGAGACATGTCATGCTTTCAACAATAAAGAATTAAACTAAAAAACAACCACCCTAGTACGGAGGACTGAGTTGCTCTCCCTCCAGGGAGCATGCTCTAGCCTCTCCCCATCCCCATCCCTGGCACATTACTATGAGCTTCCTCCTCCTGAGCCTACGGGACCTTTCTCTGCCTTTAGACTGGTGGTTGGCAAACCACAGCTCTCGAGCCATATGCAGCTCTTTGGCCCCTTGAGTGTGGCTCTTCCACAAAATACCGTGTGCACATTCACAGTGTGATTGAAACTTCATGGCTCATATGCAGAAGTCAGTTTTTGGTTCTCAACAAAAATTTCAATCGTTGTACTGTTGATATTTGGCTCTGGTGACTAATGAGTTTGCCGACCACTGCTCTAGACCTTGTCTGCTAAGCCCACTGCTTCTAGGGACCACATTTTCCACCTCTGTAATCTACCCAAAAAATGTCCTCTTAAAAAAATAAGTTAAGGGGATAGAAGTTTTTAAAGAATGGTTTAGCCATAGCCCCTTTGGCTCAGTGGATAGAGCGTCGGGCTACAGACTGAAAGGTCCCAGGTTCAATTCCGGTCAAGGGCACATGCCTGGGTTGCAGGCTCAATCCTCAGTAGTGGGTGTGCACAAAGCAGCAAATCAATGATTCTGATCATTGATATTTCTCTCTCTTCCCTCTCCTGTCTCTCTGAAATCGATAAAAATATTTTTTAAAAAGGAATAGTTTAATAGTGGAACCTAATAAAACACTCTCTCCTACTAGAGACTCTACAAAAAAAAATACTAACACTTCCACACCACCCTTCCAGCAACATTTTAATACGTAACATCTTCCTGTCTCTATTAAGTCACAGAAAAAACAGACACGTTTTCCTAAACACGATCTCCATTTCCCAATGCAGGGCAACGTGAAGCTCAGCATCACGCTCTTCGAACGAACGCTGTCCATAACCTGACAGTGTTTTCAAGAATGTGTGTGTGAACGCCCTCTTCCCAAACGTGACCACTATTAGCAGCTACAGACGACCTGCCCGTCTCACTGGCGTCTTCAATGCCAGAGGGTAAGGAGTCGGATCGGAGAACCTGCACCGCGGGAGAGGAAGGGCAGAGCCCGGGGGGATGGGGAGCTTCACCTCAAACACCGAACAGACACGGGGGCTCCAATGTCCACAACAGACAAAGCAGACAGAACGTGTCAGCTCAGTGCTGCCCACGATGACAATGCTAACGCCTGGACAGGAGCTCAGGGGGCGGTGCCAAGGAGAGGCAGAGCTCACGTACCTGAGGCGATCGCAGGTGCAGAGGCACGAGCCCAGAGGGGGTGTCCGCCAGCACGTTGAAGTGAGGCGTAGGGGGGGGGCCCATCGCCATGGGCCGGCTCTCCGGGTCCACCTGGTAGTTGACAAGGCCCCACTGCTCCAGGAAGGCGTGCACCCTGGAGAAGAAGCTCCGTTACAGCTGGAGAGCACGCCTTTCCATTTAAAAACAAACCACAAAACAAGCGCACAGCCGCTCTCAGGCAGGAGCCCTGAGGAAGGAATGGGCCTTCTGGTTTCTGAAGGAGGGATGACTTCTACTAAAGCCTGACCTTCCCACCAGCAAGGAGGGCGGGCCTGGACCGGGAGAAGCTCACACACCAGTCGGGCCACCCCTGCCGTCCCTCAGGCAGGTCTAGGGCACAGAACTTATCCACTCCCCGCCCCGCCCACTCCACCTCCGGGCATTTTACAATTTGACTCTAAAATAAAAGAGTGTAAAATGTTAAAAGAGGAAAATTCCAAAGCATCACCTAGATTCAACCTCTGAGCTGACAGGAGACCGGGCAGTTTGTATCGAGGCGACCCCGGCCAGTCCATCGGCCTCAGGCAGCAAGCCCCCAGCGCCGCTGCAGGAAGAGGCGGCCACAGGCGCTTACCTCATCACAGCGCACACGTCTCCAGTCAAGTTCCTCCGACAAGCGGTGCTGGTCAGGTATTCTTGGGGGTTCAGGCGATACGTGTCAATCATAAAATTGCGATACGCCAAGTATCTAAAAGGCAATGGCAACGTTCTTAGTGGGGACAGGTAATAAAGTTCCTTTATTTTCATTTAACAATAAATGTGAGCCGTATTTTTCTTCATGGAAAAATAAAACATCCCCTGAAAATAAGACCTAGCGCATCTTTGGGAGCAAAAATTAGTATAAGACACTGTCTTATTTTTGAGGAAACAGGATAGAAGTGTGTATTTAACCATCACCAGGCAAAGGCAAAACGTGTCCTGACAAACGTCCTCCTTCTAGCGAGCTGACTGCTTCCAAGGCAAAAGCACTAACACGCCACACAGCGAGGAGCAACTCCTGTGCAGCTGCATCCTCCTCGCAGGCATCCTTTAGGGACTAGTCATTCATCAGAAAAACGAGGTGAAAGTTTCATTTTGTCCTCAGTTATTACATACTAGTAGCCCGGTGCACAAAATTCACGCACAGTGTGTGTGTGTGTGTCCCTGTCCATCCATCCATCCATCCGTCCTTCAGCCCGGCCTACATCCCTCTCACAATCTGGGACCACTGGCTTTTAAATGCTGGCCTGCCAGCCTGCCTGATCACCCCTAACCACGGCCTGCGGGCCTGCTCGCCTCCAACTGCCCCTCTCTCCTCCCCGGCAGCCTGCTTGCCCCCAACAGCACACACCCCTGCCAGCCTGATCACCCCCAATTGTCTTCCCTCCTAGCCTGATCCCCTCTAACCACCTCTGCCTTGCCACCATGGCTTTGTCCAGAAGGTCTCCTGGTCTAATTAGCATATCACCGTTGTATTAGTATAAATAAGTATTTATAGCAAATATCACATATGTACACACCAGGGGGTGGGAACTGTTAGAAAGTAACCTGAACAATTTCAGTGAAAAAAAATTACTGAACTCAAACTTTAGCTGCAAGAGCTGACATGCATGTAGTTCAAGGTTGAGAAAGAAAAGGTCTGAAGCCATTTCCTTTGAGGTAAGGACTTTTGAGCAGCAGCGATTGAACATTAACTAGGAAGGTGTTAGGAACCCGCCAAACACAATTTCCCTGAGACCAGCTCCACAAGTACGTGGCGCATCAACACCCCATCAACTCATGTCACTCACATCTCTGGAGTCTTGGACTTGTTCTTTCCATTGAAAAACTCAGGAAGCGCACGCCGTTCGATCACGTGAATACTGAACAGAAAAAGGAGACTGGGAGTAAGTTCTCTGAAAAACAAAAAACTCAAACCGCGAGCTAAGCTTACCTTTAAAGCCAAACTGACACATCTAAAAGCGTCTGCGCCCGTCTGCGCCCAGCGCCTGCGCTAACTGTCAGAGGATTAAAGGCAGTGCCCCCTTCCTTACCCATCCTTCCTACAGTCTTTCTGTTCCCAGAACCAAACCAAAAACTGCTCCCACAGGGAAGCCACAGACGTCTCTGTGCTGTCACATACAGCACAACTAGATGAGCTACAAGACAGAGTTCTTTGGAAATTGGGTGACAAAAATCACCGCAGTTGGCATGGCAACAAACTGGTAAACGCATGATGGGCCAGAGACAACGGACTTCACGCTAATCAGGTCCTCAGGCTCTCCATCCCGCACCATCTGTCCAGCCCTCAGATACTCTGCGGTGAGTGGAAGTTAGAGGTTAAGAGTTTACTGCTTTTAAAAAGATCATAGAGCCGGGACCGGTTTGGCTCAATGGATAGAGCGTCGGCTTGGGGACTGAAGGGTCCCGGGTTCGATTCCGGTCAAGGGCATGTACCTTGGTTGCGGGCATATCCCCAGTAGGGGTTGTGCAAGAGGCAGCTGATCGATGACTCTCTCTCATCGATGTTTCTAACTCTCTATCTCTCTCCCTTCCTCTCTGTATAAAATCAATAAAATATATTAAAAAAATATATAAATCAACCGAAGGACTTGTATACATGCATATAAGAACAACCAATGGACTTAAAACTCGGGGGAGGGAGGGAATGTGTGGGAGGGAGGGGGGCAAAAAAAAATCAATAAAATATGTAAAAAGAAAGAAAAAAAATAAAATAAATAAAAAGATCATAGAACCTCTATATTTTTTCTGACTAACTTATTTATTCCTCTGTTGGGGTGACACTGGTTAACAAGATGACGGGTTTCAGGGTACAGCTCTCCATCTGTACCGTGTACTGTGTGTTCACCCCCACAACAACCTCCTGGCCATCCCCTCTCCTCCCACCACCTCTGGAAGTCACCTACTGTGGTCATCTGTGAGGTGTTTGTTTTTTTCTGAATCCCTGCACCTTTTCCACCCAGCCCCCCACTCCCTCCTCTCTGACAGCTGACAGTCTGTTCTCTGTACCTGTCGGTCTGTTTCTACTTGTTCACAGTCCTACAGATAAGTGAGATCCTATGGCCCTCGTCTTCCTCTGGTGCCCTATTTCACGTAGCACAGTGCTCTCCAGGCCCACCCCCACCATAGCCAAAGGTGTCCCATTGTGGAAAGGCACCGCAGCCTTTTTTGGTTGACCCTCACCGAGGCTGTTCCCCATAGATTTCAGGAACGCTTGCCCATCTTAAGCACCCCGTCCACAGAGGGAGGGCTCCTCACCAGTTGTAATCAAACCAGGATGCGTAGCTAGGAATGATGATGTGATTGGTCTGTTCCGTCACGTTATCTTCGCCAGGGTCCACCGACCGACTCGGATCACCTTTGCTGGGGTCGTCATCTTCCTACAGAAAAGAAGCCAAGTGAAGAGAAAGAGACTACACTGAGACTGAATAGCTTTTAAACGCTCACATCACGTCCCAGAAAGGAAGCTATCTGCTCCCATTTCAAGGACCACACAAGTGAATTCCAGTGGACAGGCTTTCGCGATCTCTGAGGCACCTCCCGAGCTGTCAGGAGATAGCGCAGCACGCCTGCCTTCCTCCGAGGGAATCCACACACACAGGGACGTGCCCGCAGCTCGGCCTCAGGCTGGTGAACGGAGACGGATTCTCTAGTGAGGTTGCAACTCCCTGCCCACACATCTCCACAGCGTGCTCCTTACTGTCCAGGTTTACGCTTCACCTGGACCAAAACCCAAGCCTAAGTTAATAGCTCCCAAGTTACTGTTAAGGAGTGGCCTCCAGGACACGAGGAAGGCACAATGACAAGGCTCCCATCCCCGAGGCAGAGCCCCGGGACCTGCTGTGCAGATCTCACTGCCTCCTGCAGAGGCAGCAGTGCTGTCCTCCCTGCCTCGTGGTGAGACAGCCATGCAGTGCTAACGAGCTGGAACCACAGAAACTCCAGGGCCGGCAGAGGGCTGACACCGCGCCCCTCCACCACAATGCCGATTTGTACCAGAAATAAACTAGGAGGCTCTCAAGTGACTCCACCTAAACACATGGCTTCCCCAGGGACACTGCTGAGAAGATGGAAATTTCCTTTTGGTAAAATTTCGGGGTCAAGAAGCACAAATTAATTGGGGGATTTGTTAAGAAGACATTTAAATCATAAGGGCCTCAAAACAGTATTTCTAAGGACCGAGCGACTGTTACCTTCAGTCCTGTTGTGACTGCTTCTTCATCCTGCTCATCTGTAAAACCAAAACACACCCTTATGTAAAGAGCAGCAAGCTGCTTGCACTTCTTGCAAAGTTCAGGGTTCAGTAACTGACACTGGACAAAGAGAGAATGGAGAATTAAAGCAAACCCGCCTCAGACCATTCAGTGAGTGACAATGGTCCACAGAAGCACAGAGGTGAGAAGAAATTCAAAGCATAAATAACTAAAAATTTCCAACATGAGGGAATTCATGATTAATTACTGCTGGTCATGATCTTACTTAATCGGACAGGGGCGTGACTAGCCTCTTCCCTCCTGAGGCTGTGAAGTGAGTAATGGCGTTCCGGTCTGGGAGGCAGTGTGTAAGGAATGAGGAGTGAACAAAGCAGTTACGCTCACTCCCCACAGACCAAGCCCCTAAGAGGGTCGGTTCCTTCTGAGGGAGGGCATGCAGGCCCTTAGGGTGCTGCCCAGAAGGACTCAAGCAAACCCACACGCAATTAAACCAGGGGCTGACTCCCATAGGCAAGGGAAGTGCCACTGTGATAAAGGGGAGAGATTCTGGCACAAACATTAAGTTTCAGTAACGTTTTCTTTTTAATTACTATCAAGGTTAGCAGTAACTAAGGCATTGCCAAGTAATTTAACTACCAACAATTTCTTTAAAGCTCAGAAATTCTGATTTATGTAAAATATCAGGACATAATATCAGGATTAAAGACTGAGAAGAATGGGTCACAGAAAACGAATGTTCCTCACATGGTAGCAAACCCACCACCATGCTGCTCCGGGAACGCAATCGGCATCTGCTGGAAACTATCGGCCGAAAGCAACCTCCCTAATAAAGACAGCCATCGAGGCGCCGAGTTAAGACAGGAAACACGATAGAAGGGCGGGTTTTGTTTTTACCTAGGTCGGCAACAGTTCCTCCTTTCACAGGCGTGTTCTCGCTATCTTTCTTTGGATTTACTGCAAGAGAAAAAAGCTGTTTTAGGGGGAAAGTTCTGCTTGTTTTTAAGAGAGAAACAGATGGATTTAAAAGCACTCGAACCTCCCTGCAACTGCCCATCACTCAGTCCTCACCATCCAGCCGCAACCCCAAGAAGTACCCCACGTGATGACACTACATTTGTAATTAATTACAAAGCACCAAAATGTTTTCGTGACAAAAGTAAACAAATAGAGCGAAAAAGCTTTGAGTCCCTTTCCTAAAAGAAACACTAGTTTCTTGTGTCTTTGTTGATTCACATTTTTGTGGCTTTTGTTTAGACAGCCTGAGGGAGAGCCTTTTGTACACCTCTGAGACACGTTCTGAGGACGTACAAATCCTCTCTGACCAGGAGGGAAGGACAGCTCTCTACCTTCCTCCTGGACTGTGTACCTGTGTGACACTTCCAGGGAAGAATTCCTCGTTACATTACGTCCCTTTCATTCTCAATAGGTACAGTGTGTCCGTGCATAGATGACAAAGTAACTAGCCCTGTACTGACTGAACCTAATCGTGAGTTTCCCACTATCCTTCAATCAACATTCCTTTCTCCATGTCATCATGCATGTTAATGAGTGCGTATACATGGGCCTACATTTGAGCTGGCCATTCCTGTGTCCAACCACACTACGAGGCCCGAGGCATGGAATTCGACAGGCCCAGCTTTGTCCAGTAGGAAGGTCGTTTGGCTGTCAGGTCTACTTATAGCATATTACACTTTTATTATTATAAAAGGTAGCTTAGGGATCTGCAAGGACTACCATCCATCTTGCCAACAATTTTATCTCAAATGAATTGGATGACTTTCATGACATGATCTCCCACGTGACCTGCAGATACCTCTGTGTGGTCTGCAGTGCCCGCTTTACAGAATGCGGTGATGTTAGAAATGCACGTAATGCATTACAGGTGGCTACATTTTCCGTTACAAAAGACAGGAAAGGGCATAAGTTAGATTATGGTAAATCTCACACATGCCTCTCAACTAGACAATAGTGATCTAAATACAGCTGATAAATTAAGGATACATTTAATACCTACAACAAAGGACAGAACATTTAGATAAAAAGCAAACAGAGAATAGGAAATCTGGAGACATGAAGCAGTGGCTGCAGGGTGGGGAGGGGTAATTTGGACCCCAATAGGTACTGCGTTCTTTTCAGGGAAGGTACAGGTGCTGGAATGAAGAGTCCAGCCATCGGAGGGCAGGACTGTCCTAACCGTATATGCCCTGAAGAGCAGCAGAGCTTCAAAGAGAACAAGGGAGCAGGAGGGAAGGACACTCTCCAGACCCACAGGCAGTCAGAGGGCACAACACATCCTCTGCCCAGTAACCGGCACGTGAAAACCCACTCCGCTGTTCCTCAGCCATATGATTCTGCTGCAGTTTTTAAAACAGGAACTTTAAAATAGTATTAAATTCAGACATTTGGTCACTGTATTCTCTCAATAAACAAAAAGTACCAGAAGTCGGGGAAGGAGGAGCTGCGTGAAGGCGGACATTAGAGGGGAATCCAGTTGTACTGAGAGCTGAGAGGCGGGGCACAGAGCTCGGCCCAGGGCAGGGCCGAGATGCCTCATGCGTGCCCACCCCTCAGGCCGCAGCAGAGCACACACCGTTTTTGGGGAGCACCACTTCCTCGACGTTGGGCACAGGTGTAGGGTCCTCCATGTCCTTGGTGAGGTCTTCCTGTTCCTCTTCCTCTTTCTGACTCCTGCGCTTCCCATAGAGACCAGCTTGGCTAAAATAGACAAGAGCATGTGAAAAATAAACAAGGCCATTATAGCAAGTAATTTTAAGGGCTTCACCTTCATTGTAGTTAGAATCTATGCCCAGTCACCTTGAAAGACAAGTGAAATTAAATTGGATACAACCCCAAGTATAGCCAAAAGGAAAATATAGTTACTAGTGTAAAAACAGATACAAGCCCTGGCTGATGTGGCCCAATGGATAGAGCGTCGGCCTGCAGACTCAAGGGTCCCAGGTTCGATTCCTATCAAGGGCATGTACATTGGTTGCAGGCACATCCCCAGCAGGAGGTGTGCAGGAGGCAGCTGATGGATGTTTCTCTCTCATTCGTGTTTCTAGCTCTCTCTCCCTCTCCCTTCCTCTCTGAAATCAATAAAAAAAAAATTTAACAACAACAACAAAAAAAAAAACAGACACAAAATCCTACTATACAAATTGCAGACCACACCCTAAGAAAGGCTTAAGCTGGTGTGAGAGAACATCTGCTACGGAAATGTGACAACATGTATTCGCTCAGGTCATAAGCAGTAATTTACATAAGATGTTTGGTCAGAGATATAAAACACTATTTCCTCGCTGTTTATGTCATTCAAATACCAGGAGGTACAAAGCAGAATCACTTAGGATGGTACTAATCCTTTTTGTGTCATTGCTCTTTCTCCCAGTCAATCAAGTCAGTATTTACTGTTAAAACTAAAGCATGCCAGAATACATTTGGAAGCTCAAACAAGAATGGGATGATCCCTTACCTTGAGGAATTAAAGGGGACACAGAACCTAACGCATACACGGGCCATCCAGAGAGAGGGACAAAGGCACAGGAAATAAAGCTCTGCGAGTCCAGACCGCAGGGACGGCGAGCGGGCCCGGGGACAGCGGCAGCTCACTAGGAGCAGGCGCCGCTTCAGGAACAGGTACAGAGGCACAAAGATGGAAAGCCAGTAACGTGCATGGGGGACCTGGGCATGGGGTGGGGACGGAGATACAGGACGGACCAGCCCGAGGCCTTCGCCCGAGAACGCTCCTTCCCTTCTACGAGGGCAGCACGTCGGGACTGGCGAGACCAGCGGTCGCCAGCCTTCAGACTCACAGACCCCAGTGATGCGCGGACCGCCGGCTGGCGACCTCTGGGCTAGACCGAGGGATCAGGCTAAAACTTTCCAAGAAAAACTACATGACAATTTTTAAAAGGCCTCTGAACCTACAGGTGGTGAATATTAAATATGTAAAAAGGGAAGAAAAGATGCAGGGAAGAAGAATAAAACAAACATTCAGAAAACAGGTTTTGGTTAAGGACGGGATCCTAAGGGGAAACGTTAAGTGAGCAAAGGCTTGCGCATGAGAAGACATAGTAACTGAGGACACACAGCAGTCTTTTTAGGAAACTCAATTTGGAGGATTTACTCAAAGGAGAGGCCAAATGCCACCACTGTGAGGCCCAGGAGGTTGCATTTTGGTTCAGTGACCAGAGGATCCCGGATCCCGCTCTGCCCCCAACTGGGAGAGGAGCACATGGACCCCAGCTTTCTTCGCGGGACGGGATCTCAGGTGGGTCCGAGATATTTTAATATCAAGACTCAGATCCGATACTTAATAAATTTACCCTCAATAATCCCTGAAGAGAAGCCTACTTTTACAGTATTAACTTGGGTCTATTGGGTCTTTCATGTCCTTGGTAAAATCTTCATAATATATAATACATACATGCAGCTTGAGAAAATAATAAAATTATTTTTATGACTATTGGTGGTCCATGAGTGTTATTTACAAATGTTATCAAAATATCTTGAGCTAACTATTGAAATTGTTAAGTATTATCTACCATTTATTAAGTATCTACTTCAGGCCACGCACTATACAAGGACTAAAGTCACAGGTTCACGTCCTGTACGAGTCATTTTGGTCATAAAGGGGACAGGTGACAAAATCAGAGACACCGACATTAATGATAACAAACAGAATGTCTTAGCCCTTCAGGAACCATTCTCAACACGCCTAGACGCGGAAGGAAGCCTGTGTGCAGGGGAGGAGCTTGCCTTGCTGTGAGCACAGCTTGCGCTGTGCAGGGCGCCCGAGAGCCCTGGGGAGTCTGCGAGGACGCGGCCAGGCTGCAGCGCTTACCCTTTCTTCCCGCTCTTCTTCCGGGACTCTGTGGGCGTGGGGGGTGGCGGGGAAGGCGAGTGCTTCCGTTTCCGGGTACTAGCTGATGCCTTCCTGTCTCTCCTTTCGGGACTTCGGACTGGCTAGGAAGAGGAAAGTGGAGATGAGCATCAGCCAGCGTGGCCGACTCCTCCGTTTCTACAAGCCCTTGCCCCAAAGTGCCTTTTCACAAGCACACGAGCTCAGAGCAAATGAGGCCACTCCACAAGCCTCATGGCCACAGCAGTCACGAAACTTCTGATCGTCACATGCCATGTCCCCCAGGGAAACGCCAGCACCAGCCCCAGGACTCCACCTCGCTGCAGAGCACAGTGGCCCACGCCCACGAGAAAATTACCCTGCCCACAGCAGGGCTTAAGGTAGAAAAAACACGTCCAATAATTAGTAGAAAATATAGAACGTGTTATTAAATTAATAAAATACAAAGATAGGCTGAATAAGCTTGGGGAAATGTGCCGGAAACTACTTATAATTCATCAGAAAATAAAAATAGATTACTTTGATACAAAAGATGTGAAATAAGGTCGCAAAGTCAACCTATAAAACTATCCCAACTTGCAGGTGGCATTAAACTTCAGGAGCCCACAGAACAACTATCCCAGCTAACAGGGGAGGTCACCAGAGTGCAGGGCACAAACCTCAGACGCTCACTGCCAATCTAACGAGACAGAATAACGAAGAAACCCCGAAAGGACCCAAAGAATTGGACCTGAGGTGTCCCTCGCTCCCAAAAGAGCAGAGCAACAATATCAGTGCGACTTCCATCTCCTCGCCGCTCACACCCTGCACCGAGGTGTCCTTTCAGCAGCTCTACCGCCTCCGGAGGGACCTGAGCCTCCTCAGAGCCCACAGGGAAGTCTGGGGAAACCTAAACTGCACACGCCTTCGATCAGTATGTAAATCTGACATTGAGGTTTTTAAAGGCATATTAATCAATTTTATATAATCCCCCCTAAAGATGAGTGAATAAGTAAACAACCCATCTAAATCAATACAGGGGTGGATAGGACAGGCCTGGTCAATAATGTGATACGGAAATTAGAATATTCCCAATGGCACAAAGATTCAGTTTGAAATGCAATAAGGGAAAACAAATATGTAAACATATTAGAGGAGGCCAAAATAAAAAAAATTAAAGTAATATTCCAAAGCAAACAGAAGCAAACTAAAAATGAAACAATATGAAAAAACACTAATTTTGAAATTTCTTAAAAATAAGGAACACACAGAGAAAAAAAACAGGCTGAAGATAGTATGAAAGACCTGCACTTTCTAAGCAAATGGTTAAAGGTATAATTGCTTCAAAGATTTTAAAAAAACTAAAATAAAAAGCAAATCCCCTGAAAAGGACTGGAATCGCAGGTCTTGGCCTAAGGCTGCCACACACCCAGTAAGACGCAGGGCCACTGCCTTCTCAGCGCAGGCTGTCTGGACACAGCGCCCGCAGCGGCCTGGAAGGAACACGGGCACGTGTGTAAGGGGGCTGTCTGGACACAGCGCCCGCAGTGGCCCGGAAGGAACACGGGCACGTGTGTAAGGGGGCTGTCTGGACACAGCGCCCGCAGCGGCCCGGAAGGAACACGGGCACGTGTGTAAGGGGTGGCTTCTTAGAGGGACGAGAGCGGTCAGCACAAGCCTTCCCACCTCACAAAGGACTCAACTGTCTCCGAGACCCTGAGGGCGATGCTCTGTACTGCCCCCTGCATGTGAATAAAGCCATCAAAACATCAGAACTGAGTGAGCCTGCCCTCGGGAAACCAACACCGCAGTGAAATGGCCCCGGGATGCATGTGGAACATCAGAATGAAAACTCAGCTCTAGAGAACACAGTCAGCTGTCACACGGCACGGCCACTCCATCTTAATGACCCCCGAGGTGTGCATGGCTTCTGTGGAGGTGCCAGCTCCTGAGATGGTAGTCACTCTCCTACGATATGTACTCGATAGCTGATGCTCCTGTGACAGTTTACCCATGAATATCTGAGAACGTTCAGGCAAAGAAAGAAGAAACACAAGTGGAGTAAAACGGTGCCAAACCAAATACCTCTTCATTCTTTGTGGAAATTCGCTGTCGAAAACTCACGGGCTTCCTGTTCTCATCCACCTCATAGTCTTCCTCATTCATCCATTCGTTGAACACATCAGTGTCCAAAATCCATTTTGCATGAACCTAAAACCACATTAAACCAGGAAAACCTATATAAATAAATAAAATCACTCGAATCTAAAATTATTAAAAAGCTTTAAAAGTATTTAACAGAAAAGAAGCTGATTTATTATTCCCAAATCCTCAACTGCATATTACAAACTTAAAACATAAGTCAATGACAGCCTGGCCAGTGTGGCTCAGTGGTGGAACATGGATCTATGAACCAGGAGGTCACTGTTTGATTCCTGGTCAGGGTACATACAGGCTCAATCCCGTCAGGGGCCTGTAGGAGGTAGCCAATTCATGATTCTCTTCATATTTCTCCCTCCCTCTCTGAAATTAATAAAAATGTTTTTTATAAAAGATGAACAGTGACACTCGAACGGCCACTTTACCATTTTATTCCCTGTCTTTTCCAAAATAAATAAGCATAAGAAAGCACCCTAGCTTTGTGCACACTGAGGTTTGATAACTAAGAGCTAGTCACGTGGTCTTTTTTAATAACACGAGGGGGAAGGAAGACTCGGAAAGCCTGGGGGCATTGCAGAGGGAGGGCTGGCGTGGAACACACTGCTGTGCCATCAGCAGTGGCGGGTCAGCAGCAGCTGGAAGTGGATGCTAACTGGGCGGCGAGGGATTTTCATGAGAAGCAGGATGTCTACCTGGTCCAAGAACCCTCAGACTGCCTCCAGGCTGCATGTGGGGAATCACGTGCAGACAATGCTCACCCCGCAGCTCTCTGTGGGCAATAGCTAAATTATCCATCAGGAAAGAGCAGTCATTCCCAGCGAGGAATACTCTGTGGAATGAACACGTCGTAAGAGGCGGTGGTGCCGTTAGACTTCCAAGGACATCAGGCCTGGGCCCATCAGGAAGGCGCTGGTGGTGCAGGGAAGCACCGCAGTGCCTCCAGAACTGACGGGGCTCAGGGGCTCTGGCCCTGCGTCTGAGGCTCCGCTTGGGGAACCATCACTGTGTCCTGGGCTGGCAGCGTCCCAGCAGGTGGGCTGGCTGAAGCACCAAGAAGGCCCAGACTGGCTTCCACACGTTAGAATTCCATGAAGGCCACTGTGGGGAGGAGGCTGGGGTCTCCAAGTGCAGAGTGATCGTGGAACACAAAGCATTTCTTTAAGTCTGTCCCTGACCTGAGTGCCTGAACTAGGAAACATGGGTATTTGGGCTAAGGAATAGTTTCTCTCGATAAACAAACAATTAAGAAATACTGTGAAGAGTGTAAAAAAAAAAAAAAGTTATAGAAAATTAAAGACATGGCATAGGAATCCAAAACCTGATATTAGTCAGGATTCTATACTAAAGAGAAAAAACTGCTATAAAAACGAGTCAAATGGCAAAACTGGAATGCAGAATAGCAGATTAAAGCATGTGTTAATCTTAAATTTGACAAAGTTAAATGTACTAAAATCCTGTACTATACTTCCATATAAGAATTCCTTTTTAAATATATATATTTTTATTGATTTTTGACAGAGAGGAAGAGAGAGGGATAGAGTTAGAAACATTGATGAGAGAGAAACATCGATCAGCTGCCTCCTGCACACCCCCCAGTGGGGATGTGGCCGCAACCAAGGCACATGCCCTTGACCGGAATCGAACCTGGGACCTTTGGGTCCGCAGGCCGACACTCTATCCACGGAGCCAAACCAGTTTCGGCGAGAATTCCTTATTGCGGCTCTGGTTCCCACGGTCTGGCAGCTGCTGGCGGGAGAGCAGCTGGCCAGGAGAGCTCTTGCCTCTGATCATGACGGCAAATCCCCTTGTAGAACCTGATACTAGAAACTGCAAGAGAATTGGAGCCTCAAACGCCAGATAGTCCACAACCGTCCCCTCCTGGAAAATCTGATGCCTCTTTCTCTGAAAGCTCTGGACTTTTTATAAAGGTGAAGCCCTGGAGAAAGATTTGATATGAACACAGAAATTAATCTAATGTTGTCTACATATGCAAAGACTTTAAGTGAGAGAGCGGCAGAAGATGAAGGACTCTTCAAAGAAGCCAATACTATTGAAAACTTTCTAGTACAAAAAAAGAGAACTCCAGAGACAGAGCTTTACAGTTATTGCAAATACACTACACAGTTAAACATCGTGTACTTCAAATAAGCTGAGAATTTAAACCCATTGTTGTTGTAAGGAAATGACATTTGTGCTCAGAAAGCTCTCTCGTTGTTAAAATGTATACCTTAAACATAAAAGGGGATACACCTTGAATTTCTCATCTAGACTTAAAGGGGGCTTTAAACTGGATATTAATGCCTTTTGAGGGTCAACTCTTTGGTGTAGTTTATAAAAGTGTAAATTATTTAAATTATTGACTTTTTTTTTTAAAAAACAACAAAACAAAACCCTAATCTTCAATTTCTAAAAGAGGATTCAATGAGTTAATTTGATGATGTTTAACAGTATTGTACTTTTTTAGGGGAATATTTTATTTAAATAGAAGATAGCCTTGGAGATACTTTTAAAATGTTTTTCATGGTTAGTGTTATAAAAAAATTAAAACCTAAAGGTAAGTTGTCTAGTTTCTCAATATGTAGAAAACTATGTACTTTTGCTATTTAATATAATCATTTGATTTCACCTTTAGTTATTATACATGATTAATAAAAGTTTCTTGTTTAAAATTATCTTCTTGTGCTAAAAGAAAAACCATAAATAACCAGAAAAAAAGAATTCCTTATTCCTAAGGATTAAAATGTTAACTTTAGGCAAATCTGGATAAAGGTATGCCATGTACTATTCTTATTCTTGCAACTTTTCGGTGACAATATTCCAAACACTTTTTAAAAACTGGACTAACTGCTAAAACCAGTTTGGCTCAGTGGTAGAGCGTCGGTCTGCGGACTGAAAGGTCCAATGTTCGATTCCGGTCAAGGGCATGTGCCTTGGTTGCGGGCACATCCCCGGCAGGGGATGTGCAAGAGGCAGCTGGTCGATGTTTCTCTCTCATCGACATTTCTGGCTCTCTGTCTCTCTCCCTTTCTCTCTGTAAAATATCAATAAAATATATTAAAAAAAAAAAGACTAATTTTTGTTAGTCCCATTTCCTCATATGAAATCTGAAGCTCAAAGCTCATGTCTTTCTGAAGATCACACCATTAAAATTGGTTGAAGCAGACCTAATATCTACTATTTTTATTGAATTTAGGTCCTCATCGTCTATAATAAGTGCAATATGCAAATCGACCGAACCACTGAAGAGCAGAAGGACAGTCTGGACGACCTTTGGGGCAAAGCTGGGCTGCGAGAGCCGAGCCCCTTGCATGAATTTTGTGCCTCGGCCTCTAGTGCTGTATTAAAGGCTCAATGAGAACCATGGCTCACTGCCACTGCTCCTGGGAAGGGCCAGAGCTCTCTGCTGAAATGCTGCTCCAGGGATGGGACACAAAAGTGACAATACGTGGGAGCACCTTCTTGTCCCAGGAGGTAGGGAGGATGCTAGCAGGCATCAAATCACGTCCAAAGGTCACACGAGGCAGCCCACACATTCCCATCGGCCAAGGTTGACAGTTCCTCGGAGTGAAACAGGCAGGCCCGCCACGCTCCACAAGTGCACAGGACCCTATGACCATGCACACGGGGGGTGGGGGGCGCGGGCCTCTTAAAGGATAAGAAAATCTCCATTCCATGTCTCCTTAAAAACCTTGGGGAGAATAGCTGGAAAGGGCTATGAAGTCACATAAGAACAAATTTCTTTTAAAAAGAAGCTTTCACCTTCCACGGCTTTTCTGGAATTGGTGGATCTTCAATTTCCGCATCAACATCATTACTATGGACCCAAGTATCATAGCTGTAAAGGAAATGCAGAAAGGAAAAATCAATTAGATCCCAAATTCATTCACTAAAAAGACTTCGATCAAAATGTAAAAATATACTTTAGAGAGACTATTAGGGTCTAATATCAGAAATTTATCATACACTTTAAAAAATATATTTTTATTATTGATTTCAGAGAAGGGAAAGGGAGATAGAAACATCAATGATGAGACATGGATTGGCTGCTTCCTACACGCCCCACACTGGGGATCAAGCCCACAACCCAGGCGTGTGCCTTTGGCCAGAATCGAACAGTAACCTCCTGTTCACAGGCTGATGCTATCATACACTTTTGTCTCCATCACTCTGACAGGAAAACTTCTCTGTAGGGTCTATAGTAATCTTCACGTTGCTCAACCTCAAGTTCAAGCCTCGTCCACAGGATTTCAACAAGCTCACCACTGACTCCTCAAAGCGTTTCCTTACTTGGCCTCCACGACAGTGCTACCGAGGGCATTCTTCTGGCACCAGCCTCTCCTCAGTCTCTACTGGTTTCTCCTCTTCTCCCAAACCCCATCAGTGCTGGGAGCCCACCCTGTTTTAGTTTTTGCACAACCACCTTCTTATCTCTCCTTCACTTGGTGTTCTCCTGCACCCATGGCTTCAAATAGACACGGACGCCTTAAACCTTTCATCTGCCTCTTTCGAGTTCTGGACTCAAGAATCCCACTGTCGCCAGGACCGGTTTGGCTCAATGGATAGAGCGTCGGCTTGGGGACTGAAAGGTCCCGGGTTCGATTCCGGTCAAGGGCATGTACCTTGGTTGCGGGCATATCCCCAGTAGGGGGTGTGCAAGAGGCAGCTGATTGATGACTCTCTCTCATCGATGTTTCTAACTCTCTATCTCTCTCCCTTCCTCTCTGTACAAAATCAATAAAATAAATAAATAAATAGTCCAGAAGAGCTGGACTTAAAAAAAAAAAAAAAAAAAAAAAAAAAGAATCCCACGGTCCCCTCACGTGTACTCCTACAGGCCGAACAAGACTTTCAACCTCACACACTCAAACCTCAATGCAATGCCTCCTGACCCCAACATGTGCTCCAGCCAGTGCTGGCTGACACACTCCCCGCTCACCCGTCCCATAAGCAAGCCATCAGAAGGCCCGCCAGCTCAGCTTCAAACCTTGTCCAGAGCCCCCGATCCTCAGCCGTCTGCTGCCCAAAGCCCGAGGCCATGCTCCACATGGCACACAGTGGTTCTTATGAAAACCAGGTCAGTCCACGCTGCTCCACTGCTCAAAACTTAACTCAGAATGGAGGTCCGAGTCCTCGCGAGGCTAGTGCTCTCGTCTCCCAGCGCTCTGCGCACTTGATGCATCTGAGCTGCTGCCTGGGCTCTGGCCACTCTCTACACTGCCAGGCAGGGCCCACTCATGCCCCCGCCGGCTCCTCACCAGCGCTTATGCACCAAGCACTTCCTATCCTCACCGCTCAGCTCAAAGCCTCACTGGGGAGGGAGGTCCAGTTCACAGAGATGAGTCATTCATTCCCTGTGCATCACCACTTTGAAATAAGCAGAAAAGAACCTTCCAGATTAAAGCGCTGTCAGTGCTACACCCTGGCCAACAGCATACTAAAGGGAACCCAAGTACGGCAACAAGCAGTGGCTTCCTGTAGCCTCTGCTCCCATCCGTCCCACAGCACCCAGACAAGAGGCGCTCCACACCGCCCACTGCACCTTCCCCAGCACCGCCCACTGCACCGTCCGCAGCACCGTCCACAGCACTACCCACTGCACCGTCCCCAGCACCACCCGCAGCACTGCCCACTGCACCTTCCCCAGCACCGCCCACTACACCGTCCCCAGCACCGCCCGCAGCACTGCCCACTGCACCGTCCCCAGCACCACCCGCAGCACCGCCCGCAGCACCGTCCACAGCACTGCGAGTGGCAGGACGCGTCCACACGAGGCGAGGGACCCACTCCCCGGCAGGGAGTAAACCGCCCAGCTCCGGGAGCGATGGAAGGAAGCATCGGCGACTATTCTCTGAGGCCTGAGGAGACGTTGCACAGGAGAGCGAGGGCACAAACTCTAGCCAGTCAGTGACCCAACAGACAAGCCTCCAGCAGCCAGCCCATCCGATTCGATCCGTAGGAAATGCCCGCAAAGAGGTGACGTGTCCCCTGTGATGTTTACTTCCAATGCCTGTCGAACACCTGAGTTCCCATCTGTTTTAAAGGGCAGGCTGACTTCCTAGAAGAGTTCCTGTAGCCAAAACAGGTTTGGCTCAGTGGATAGAGCGCCGGCCTGCGGACTGAAAGGTCCCAGGTTCGATTCCAGTCAGGGGCATGTGCCTTGGTTGGGGGCACATCCCAGGTAGGGGGTGTGCAGGAGGCAGCTGATCAATGATTCTCTCTCATCAATGTTTCTAACTCTCTATGATTCTCTCTCATCGATGTTTCTAACTCTCTATCCCTCTCTCTCTCTGTAAAAAAATCATTAAAATATGTTTTAAAAAATAAATAAAAAAGAAAGAAATGTATTTGCGCGTAAAAGTTCCTCAGACAGGTGACCCTAAAATGGCCCTACTCGCCAGGAGGGAAATTCCTTTCTGGGAGGAAACCGATCTGGCTGGGCTCGTAGCACAGGCGCCCTCCGCACTGCCGCGCGCCCACCGGTTTGCCCAGCACCCGCACGGATGTGGGACGCAGCCGGGAGGATGGGGGAAAGCAGAGCCGAACCGCACCGGCCGGGAGGACGGGGAGAGCAGAGCCGAACCGCACCGGCCGGGAGGACGGGGGAGAGCAGAGCCCGAACCACACCGGCCGGGAGGACGGGGAGAGCAGAGCCGAACCGCACCGGCCGGGAGGATGGGGGAGAGCAGAGCCGAACCGCACCGGCCGGGAGGACGGGGAGAGCAGAGCCGAACCGCACCGGCCGGGAGGACGGGGAAACGGGGAGAGCAGAGCCGAACCGCACTGGCCGGGAGGACGGGGAGAGCAGAGCCCGAACCGCACCGGCCGGGAGGACGGGGAGAGCAGAGCCGAACCGCACCGGCCGGGAGGATGGGGAGGACGGGGAGAGCAGAGCCCGAACCGCACCGGCCCCACCACCACCTCGGCGGCCGGCTGCGCTCACCTGTCCGGGTACGACCCCCAGTGCACCAGCACCTGCTTGTCCTTCCGCATCACGGGGCGCAGCCACTCCTCTGAAGGGAAAGAACACACTCGTCAGCTGGCACGGAAGCGAATAGCTATCGCTTAGACTTCCTCTTACTCAAGTTTTGGGTTTGCTAAGCTCCCCCAAGCCTTCTCGGTGAATGCTGTCCACCACCACCTTTCAGGGGAAGTTTCCAGCCGCGCACTCCGACTTACTGCATTCCAGGCCCAATGACCCCGCCCTCCGACAGAGGGCTCTCCACCCACCCCTCTCCCACCCAGCACCCTCCCCACCTCACCCTCCCACCCAGCACCCTCCCACCCAGCACCCTCCCCACCTCACCCTCCCACCCAGCACCCTCCCCACCTCACCCTCCCACCCAGCACCCTCCCCACCTCACCCTCCCACCCAGCACCCTCCCCACCTCACCCTCCACCCAGCACCACCCCACCTCACCCTCCCACCCAGCACCCTCCCCACCTCACCCTCCCACCCAGCACCCTCCCCACCTCACCCTCCCACCAGCACCCTCTCCTTCACACACTCAATAAAACAAAGCTCTGCAGCCCAGACTCACGTATCCTCACCCCCTCCCTCACCTCCTTCCGCCCTAAGACATAAAACCCAACTCTGCCATTAGCTTTTCCTCAAACTTCATCATGTATCACCTCTCTGCTTCTTCCCAGTTTGTACCCCTTCCAGCATCTCATACTCAAATTCTTACTAATATATATATATTTTTTAAAGATACATTTTTTTTTATTTTTCACAGAGAGGAAGAGAGAAGAATAGAGAGCCAGAAACATCGATGAGAGAGAAACATCAATCAGCTGCCTCCTGCACACCCTCTACTGGGGATTGAGCCCGCAACCAAGGTACATGCCCTGGACCGGAATCGAACCCGGGACCCTCCAGTCCGCAGGCTGACGCTCCCTCCACTGAGCCACTATGTTTTGGCTAGCACTCATATCTTAACACCTTTGAAGTGTCAGCACCTTCTCTTCTAAACGGTCATGGATCCTCATAAAAGGCACGCTGCGGTCGACAGGGCTCTCCTGTGCTGTGGCCGAGATGCTTCCTGCGTCACTGACAGCACAGCCAGGGGCTCCGCCAGGGCTCTGCTCAGCCACACTTACTGACAGCCACTGTTCTACACTAAGCAAAGTCCACCGTGTGCAGAATCATGTTTCATATTTAAAAAGACCTTCAACATATTACAAATTAAATTTAAATGCTATCTTCTAATGATTATTCCACCTACTAATAGCAATACCTAGCAAGCATCAGCAAACTAGTTGGTATTAAAAGGAAGACACCCTAACATGAATTCGAAATTACTAAATAGCTAAGATGTACAACTGCAGTTCAAACCTTTTGTAAAAGGCACTGTTTCTGACACGTTCACCATCTAAGCATCCATACCAACCTCGTTAGAGACCCTTACTGGAGGTAGCCAGCCACAGAACCAACATGCGCAGCCGCCCAGCACCTCCACCTAGTGGCCACCAGCTGCTACTACCTCAGAGGACAAAAGAGAGCCACCCAGAAGGCGGGTAGGGCTCTCCTTGTGGAAGCACAGCTATCAGAGGGACACTGAGCCTGTTACAAGGAAAATCACTCTCAGCTATGGAAGCTAATGCTGACACGGCCTCAGGAACAGCGGAAACGGTAAGACTCTTAGAACTAAAGTCTGCGTAAACTTCATTCCTCTGTTGAGGCAACAAACACACAAGCAACCAACCAGCCCAGCCCACCGCCTGTCACTGCCTCCAGTATCTACAACAGAGGAAGGCCCTCCCTCCATGCTGACACGGTCTTCCTTCATGTGGCTCAGACGCAGCACCACGGACTAGGCTAACAGAAGTCTTTTCTAAGAACCACTGGACACTGCTGAGCATCTTGCTGTAGATTGTATTCATTAACTGTCCTCTTAATTACTTATTTCCTTTATTCTCTAGCTTTAGTTTGATGTTACTTTTCTAATTTCTTGAGAAAGATGTATGGACCACTGACTTTTCAGTCTTTCTTCTTCCCCAATATACACATTTAAAGATCTAAATTCCCCTCTGGATAAAGCATCAGCTACACCCTGAAATGTAAATTTTCTTAAACTTTCTTAATTTCATGCCGGGACCAGTTTGGTTCAGTGGATAGAGCGTCGGCCTGCGGATTGAAAGGTCCTGGGTTCGATTCTGGTCAAGGGCATGTACCTTGGTTGCGGGCACATCCCCGGTAGGGGGTGTGCAAGAGGCAGCTGATCGACGATTCTCTCTCATCGATGTTTCTAGCTCTCTATCCCTCTCTCTTCCTCTCTGTGAAAAATCAATAAAATATATTTTTTTAAAAAAACCTTTCTTAATTTCGTAATAATTCAGATCCAAAGATTTTTCCATTTCCATTGTGACTTATTCTCTCATTTATGGATTACATGGCAAGATGCTTCTTAATTTTCAAGCATCTGAAAACTGCCTGTAATCTGGTTATTGACTTGTAGCATCTCTGCACTGAGTAGAACAGTGCAGGTAATTAGTGCCTCAAGTCTCATATAATTTGGCTCCCTATGTAGATATTCTATGGGGATGTGTTATGCTTAAGAATAGATCTCCACAAAGGAGAACTATTTCTCAACCTAAATTACTAGAAATTAATTTAGTTAATTAATAATTCATATTTTGATTCCCAACTTTCCAACCTTTGAAAGAATGGTTAACGGAAATCAGTTGCCAGAGCTCCGATGAACTCTGGCTACTGACCAAATCCACTTTCAGAATAGCAGGGCTGAAAGCCAGAGTCGAACCCATTATAAATCCCCAGACTAATATTTCTGAGGGGCCTGTTTATCTGAGACATTCTATCTTGCAATGTCTCTTAATTTTCAGAACACAAGGGACACAGGAAACATTAAGTTAATAGACAGGCACGCCTAGACGTAACACCCAGATAATAATTACCAACAAATAAATAAAAGCCTGATGATTAGAAAGTTGGACATTACAGAATTAGTTTATTTTTCCCAATTCAAAAATAAATAAAAAATTATAAATTTAAATAATCTATAAAATTTAATGCTGGTGACTCTCTCTCTAAAATAGCTAGTTGTATTATTTAACCCTCTGCTGATATAACTCAGAATCCAGTGACCCCTGAGCTCATCAGATCACAACCAAAAACTAACTCACCGTCCTCTTGTGAGGAAAGATGTGGGTAAACGTGGTGGGAAGCTTTCGTCTTCTCATCAGTGAATGTGCCCTGAAAAGACAGTGACCAACAACGTAAAAATAAAGCATGTCAGCCAACTACGAGATTCCCGACATGATGGCATCGTGGGGTGATGGCAGCTCCTGACCAATCACATCACACCTGCCTGGGCGGGCCTGGCGTCAGTGCGAGTCACCGTCTGGCCGTCCAGGTCGTCTGGACAGTCCTTCTGCTGTTTGGTTATCCCGTCAATTTGCATATCACAATTTATTATTATAGATGAGTACCCTTAATTCTTTTTTTAAATGCTCACCCAAAGACATATTTTTATTAATTTTATTTTTTAAATATAGATTTCTATTGATTTCAGAGGAGGGAGAGGGAGAGAGAAGCATCAAAGATGAGAATCATGGATCAGCTGCTTCCTGCACACCTCACAATGGGGATGGAGCCTGCAAACCGAGCATGTGCCCTGAATGGGAACTGAACCGTGACCTTCTGGTTCACAGGTTGATGCTCAACTACTGAGTCACGCTGGCTGGCTATTTTATTAATTTTAGAGAGGGGAAAGGGGAGGTGGAAGGAGAGGGAGACATATCAGTTGCTTCCCGAATGTGTTCTACCAACGATCAAACCTGCAACCTACACATGTCCTAACTGGGACTCAAACCCGCAACCTTTCAGTATGTGGACATAGTTAGCAGAAGCAATGAGCTAAGGAGGGTGACAGATAAACTGTGACCAATCAATGGAGTTGCTAATGCACTTTAAATGCTTGAGCAAAGGGTTGATCGAGTATTCTGCCCCGCCCTAACCAGTTTTGCTCAGTGGTTAGAGCGTCGGTCTGCGGACTGAAGAGTCCCAGGTTTGGAATGGGCACACGCCCAGGCTGTGGGCTTGATCCCCAGTGGGGAGCGTGCAGGAGGCATCTGATCAATGATTCTCTCTCTTCACTGACATTTCTCTCCCTTCTTCTCTGAAATCAATAAAAATACATTTTTAAAAAAGGTATTTAATAATGGTCCTAGCATTAGTTTTTAAGGTCTCCCCTCTAGGAGTCTATGAAACCGGATCTGTTACATCCCTCTGAGGTCACCCTAAAACAATCACTAAAGTCAGATTTCTTAAGAACTAGGGCAACTAAGTGTTCAGTATAAACTGAAGGCAAGCCCTAACCTGTTCGGCTCAGTGGATAGAGCATCAGCCTGTGGACTGAAGGGTCCTGGATTTGATTACAATCAAGGGCATATGCCAGGATTATGGGCTTGATCCCCAGTAGGGGGTGTGCAGGAGGCAGCCAATCAATGATTCTCATAAATGATGTTTCTTCTCTCTCTCTTCCTATCTAAAATCAATAAACATATATTTAACAAAAATAAACAACTGTAGTCAAATATATAAGCTTTTCCCAGGATGCTTTGGTAGCAATTAAATGCTACTCTAGGACACATACATATATTAAATCGTTCCATAATACACCTTAAACTTTCACAGTATTATATGTCTATGACATCCCAGTAATGCCAGGAGAAAATGCTAGGCTCAGCTAGGAACTGGAGGGAGGGAGGAGGAAAGAACGTGGTACTGTAAGAACCTGAAAGAGGAAAGCTTCCACTTAAGGCAGACAGGAGTAACACCAGAAAGAGGAAAGCTCTCACTAAGGCAGACAGGAGTAACACCAGAAAGAGGAGAGCTTTCACTAAGGCAGACAGGAGTAACACCAGAAAGAGGAGAGCTCTCACTAAGGCAGACAGGAGTAACACCAGAAAGAGGAGAAGCTCTCACTAAGGCAGACAGGAGTAACACCAGAAAGAGGAGAGCTCTCACTAAGGCAGACAGGAGTAACACCAGAAAGAGGAGAGCTTTCACTAAGGCAGACAGGAGTAACACCAGAAAGAGGAAAGCTCTCACTAAGGCAGACAGGAGTAACACCAGAAGACACTAAGGCGGGGACTGGCAAGACCTTTCCTGCCGCCCAGACTTCTGAGGGGTCGTGTCTATTACCTGATGTCGTTTGATAATATCTTTCAATTTGTTGGCCAACTTCAGGTCAATGTCTGGAATGAGGTAGATGTTGGGTCTGGTCAGACAATTGCTCTGAGAAAGAAAGAACAGATTTTTATATTCTTTTGGTTTTAAATAATGTCGTATTATTTATGCATCATCCTAATGGCAAAAGTTGGCACTCGGAGCCAGGCTGCTTGTAATGGGAGCTGTGCTCTGTGTGGAGAGGAACTTTCATGTCCATGGAAAACCCAGGTGCTCAGCAGCCTCCCCAGGACATCGCAGGTCCCTGCTCTGCACCAGGTACATCTGGACAAAAGATGCTGAGAGGACCTAGAGAAAGTCATCATCTTCTTCATGAAGGTACCAAAGTGACACATCAATGCTCTAGCCAATTTCACCAAACACACCTTGACAGTCTAATGTGCTATTTTCACCTACAAACTCCTATTGGCCGGGGGAGGTGTATATTCAAGACTGAGTATTATAGCTCTTTCCCCTCTATTTCTAATCTTACACACATAATTGATTAAAATATTCCTATTTGCCGAAACCGGTTTGGCTCAGCGGTAGAGCGTCAGTCTGCAGACTGAAAGGTCCCAGGTTCAATTCTGGTCAAGGACATGTACCTTGGTTGCGGGCATATCCCCAGTAGAGGGTGAGCAAGAGGCAGCTGATCGATGACTCTCTCTCATCGATGTTTCTAACTCTCTCTCTCCCTTCCTCTCTGTACAAAATCAATAAAATATCGGGTCTAGTAATAATCAATGTCGTTTTCAAACATTCGTTTAAAATCTTGCTTGGCGTTGACTTGTATTGACATAACCTTCAAACACGTGGTATCTACAGAACGTGTGAAGTGCAATTAACAAGTTTTGCTTGAAAAAGTTTGTGTTTGGTTTGGTTTTTGTTGCAAAACTAGGGCTAAGAAGATGGCGGATGAAGAGCATATTCGGCACTGCATGCTTTAGGAGTTCCAATTAGGAAGAAAAGCAAGTGAGGCTGCAAAAAACATCTGTAGTGCTCTTGGTCAAGATGCAGTTAGCGCCAGAAAATGCCAGCGTTGGTTTGAGAAATTTCGCGAGGGAAATTTTTCGTTAGATGACAAGAGTGGTCGAGGCCGTGTGTCCAATTTTGATCAAGAAGCTCTTCAAGCTCTTTTGGTGCAAAATCCTCAAATTACCCAACAAGAGCTTGCGACAACTTTAAATTGTTCACAAAAAACAATTTCCAATCAATTGCGTGCACTTGGCAAAGTCCAAAATTTGGAAAATGGCACAACCATGAAACAAATCCAAAGAAAATCACTGTATAAACAAATGACTAAAAAACAAACAAACAATAAAAACCAAAAAAACAAAAAAAAAAACAAATGACTAGTAGAATGAGAGAGTATTTATATCAAATGTGAGAGAGATTCAAGTAATGGGTTTGGTAAAATCAATAAAAAAAAATATCATAATTTCACCACAAGTTTAAGGTCAATATTCTATAAATGCTAAATTTTAGTAATATTTTATATCTCTAATCCCCCTAAATCCAAGAGTAACAGTACAGTAGATTTCAGAACATTTTTCTTCCTTTGATTTTTTGGCAACCTAATGAAGATAATCTTAGAACTGGAAGTATATCCCAGGGAAGAAATTGGAATAATTTAACTTTCCCAGTTACCTGCACCAATGTTTTTTCAATATTCATAAACATCTCAACATTACGATCCATTCGGGACGGATTCTGTAGATCAAACCTCCGCCTAAAAAACAAGGTAACGGTTAGCTTGTCTCAGTCTTCAACAGAAGTGAAGGCTTGGCTGCAGCATTCCATGCAAATGAGGTGGATGGGCTTGGAGATTTTGATAAAACCACAGGGTTTCTCTCAGTCGTGTGAAGGAGCATGTGAACACCTAAAAGGTCCAATTTTGACATTAAGATCCACTCCAGCAAAAGGAAGTACCTGTTCCATGAAATATCCTGTTTTCCTTAAACCTAAGATATTTTACATCAGACAGAAAGTAATCCCCAGAGCCAGGGGCAGTAATCTTAAAAGCGTTTGTTCACATTCAATCTCTGAGCTCTTTGAGATTGCTGTTGTAATAAATGTGGTAAAACATCTTTTCACCTTCACTTTAAACCTTTCCCCAGTGTCCTCACACCATGACGTTTTGGTGCTGTCTTCACCGATTCGTAGTCATTTTCGTATGGTTAAACCGTTACAAGTTTGAATGCTTCCCCATATTTTTCCTTCAACAATTATTCAATCACTTCGCTCGTGTCCACTTTCATCCCAGGGAGGGGGTAGCCTCGTGCCTGAGAGTGGGGGCTGGGGAGCCGAACTTCTACGTTGCATCAAACATGCGAAGACGCTCAAAGATGTACTTACCAGCCCTGGTCATTCTTATACTTGTAAGCAGCCCCAAGAATGTGACACAAGGCACCTCCAGCTTTGAAATCCATGAAACATTTAGCCTAAAATGATACAAATTATACATGAAAAAAATAAAAGTTCTGAAAAAATTACTTAGGTCTGAATTCTATAAGTAAACTCAAAGATATAAACAACTTCTTAAATACTTTCTGGAAAAAATTGCAATATAAAGAAAAATTTCCAAAATTGCCTAAAAGTATTTTTCAAATTCAATTAACATATTACCCTTAAGTAAACTCTGTAAAATACAAGATTTACAAAAAATACATCAAGTCCAGCCAGTGTGGGTCCGTGGTTGAGCACTGACCTATGAATCAGGAGGTCCTAGTGGTTTGATTCCCAATCGGAGCATATGCCTGGAGTGCAGGCTCTACTCCGGTGTGTGTGTGTGTGTGTGTGTGTGTGTGTGTGTGTGTGTGTGTGTATGGGGCTGGCAATCGGTGATACTCTCATCATTGGTATTTCTATCTCCCCTCCTCTCTAAAATCAATAAAAAAATATATATTTTTAAAAAGATCTCCAAAGATGTAGCAGAGTAAGAAACAAAGAGGGACGCTCAGCATACCTTGAGGATTCTTACATCCTGCATAAAAATGGATTTAGGGTTCTGACCCTCAGTATCAGAATCACCCACATAAAAAAATTAATAGGCCAGAGTCAGGGGATGACGAGCTGGAGGCAAACAAGAGACTTCTCAGGGACACCCACTGGGCCCCAACTTACTTCCCAATTCAACCCCCACCCCACGTCCCTGATCCCTGAAGATGCATCACTCTAAGTGACACCAGAAATGCTTGCAGGACAAAAGCTCATGTTCTGAAAACATTCTCTGAAGCAGAAGCACCGGTTGTTATGGCAAATTCTGATTAGTAGTTAACAAATTAAAGAATAAAAGGACAACAGAGGCTGGGACCGGTGTGGCTCAGTGGATAGAGCATCGGCCTGCTGACTGAAAGGTCCCGGGTTTGATTCCTGTCAAGGGCATGTACCTTGGTTGCGGGCACATCTCCAGTAGGGGGTGTGCGAGAGGCAGCTGATCGATGTTAAGACTCCTTGCAAACTTAATGGCCTACTGTTGACCAAAAGCCTTACCAACAACATAAGCAGTCCGTTAGCACATATTTAGTATGTCACGTGTACTACACACTGTATTCTTACAGTAAAGCAAGCTAGAGGAAGACCAAGCTTTGTGCCTGCACCTTTCATGCTGTGCTAGTGATCTTTTTATAATAAAAAGGCAGAACGCACACTGGTCCTTTTCCAACATGACGAGTATGTCTGTGCTGGGCCTGCCCAGGTCCTGAGCCTAGAGGATTACAGAGCGAGTTTTCAAGCTGTGCCAGCCTAGGTGACGCTTTCCCCAGTCTCTGTGACTCCCCCGTTAGTATCAGACAGCACGCACCCATGCTGGCTGCTGGCCCACACCGGCGTGATTTAGAAGGTTAGTTACCAAGTTCTGCTGAACTCTCAAAACCTCCTCGCTTTCCTGTCTCACAGCCCCTCTGCTTACCTCCCCCCAATCCTCCCACGTGGGGAAGACTGCACGCCCGGGCGAGGACAGCTGGCCCCGGTGCTGAGCCGAGGGTTATTTTTAAACGGGGTTTGTGCCCAAAATACTCCTCCCGCCTGTGCGTGCGGACAGCTGGGCTGCCCCGCGCCTGCTCGGAGCCGGTCCTCTGGCTCTCCCCGCAGCGCCAAGGTCGAAGGCGCCAGTCACCCTCGTCTCTGTTCTGCAACGTCTCCCGCTCCTCCCTGTGCCCTCCCCGCTCCTCCTTCCTCCTCCCTGTGCCCTCGGACCCCCCTCCCCCGGGGCTGTCAGTCACAGCTCCTCGCTGGCATGAGGCCTCTCCGTGGAAAACCGCTGGGTCGAAGCCTCAGTCTCACAGCCCCCTCAGCCTGGGAGACCGGACGCCCACAGCTGAGGAAGCCACCTCTGCTCTCCGCCTGCCGTCCCCGTGTCTGCAGGGGGAGGCACCTTCTGGCGCAGCACCAGCGGCCCAGCCTGGTGCCTGGCTCTAGCCCCTCTGCCCGCTGTGCTGTGCTCAGCGCTCCCTCGGGGCGCCACCTGCAACAGCTGAACTCCCCGCATGCTCAGGCCGACCCGTCCATGCTGGCATCACCCTGGCTTCGTCCATGGTGCCCCCCTGAGGCACCCCCCTCACCTTCAGACTCGGTGCCAAGGCCCTCTCCCGGGAAAGCCTTTCCCCTTTCCTGTGATGTGCACAGCTCACCGAGCTGAGCCCGAGGACACATGATGCCTGCATTATCCTGTGAATTCTCACACAACTTGGGACATAATCGAATGTTTAGTATTTGCTGAGCTCAAATCAATGACGAAAGCAGCATTTTTTAGTAAGTGTTGCTGAGATAACCACATGAAAAAAGATGAACTAGCCCTGACCGGTGTGGCTCAGTGGATAGAGCGTCGGAATGCGGACTGAAGGACCCTGGGTTTGATTCCGGTCAAAGGCATGTATTATACCTTGGTTGTGAGCACATCCTCAGTAGGGTGTGTGCAGGAGGCAGCTGATAAGATGTTTCTCTCTCATCGATGTTTCTAGTTCTCTATCCCTCTCTCTTTCTCTTTGTGAAAAATCAATAAAATATATTAAAACAAACAAACAAAAAACGGAGAGCCTTAGCTGGTTTGGCTCAGTGGAAAGAAAGTCGGGTCCCAGGTTCAACCTCAGTGAAGGGCACAGGCCTGGGGTGCAGGCTCAGTCCCCAGTAGGGGACGTGCAGGGGGCAGCCAATCAGTGGTTCTCTCTCATTGATGTTTCTGTCTCTCCCTCTCCCTTCTCTGAAATTAAAAATAAAAAGTATAGTAAAAAAAAAAAAAAAAGGGAGGAGACGCAAAATCAATATTTTTTTACTACAAAATGTTGAGTAAAATCTATAGATTTCAAATGAAAATAAAATAACCCAGTATTTCTTATCAAGCCAAATTATCAGTCAAAATACCTATCGCAAGCCGAAACCGGTTTGGCTATGTGGATAGAATGTCAGCCTGCTGCCTCATGCGAACTGAAAGGTCTCAGGTTCGATTCTGGTCAAGGGCATGTACCTTGGTTGCGGGCACATCCCCAGTAGATGTGCAGTAGGCAGCTGATCGATGATTCTCTCTCATGGATGTTTCTAACTCTATATCCCTCTCTCTTCCTCTCTGTAAAAAGTCAATAAAATATATATTTTTTAAAAATACCAATTGCAAGAGCATAATTATATTCTCACACAAGTGCAAGAGAATTCCACCTACAGATACAAAAGCTCCACTGAACAGTAGTCTAGCCACAAGAATTGGAAGAAGGAAGGAAGACCTGGCACAGCAGAAACTACAAGGAAAGGACAACACAGCACAACATCAACAGCCAAGTCTCCATGGTAACCGTCCTGACGTTCCACCAACAGTAAATAACCCCGAAGACGCCCCAGTTCAACAGCCAGCGCCCAGCCGCGGGCGGCACTCACCGGGAGCTTGGTGAAGGCCGGGTTGGCGACGTGCTTCCCGAAGGCGTCTTCCTGGAACTGCAGGAGCTGCACCACCAGCCCCGCCAGCGTCTTATTGGTGGGCGCATCCGCGTGGACATACTGCAAGGCAGAGACCGGGCTCAAGACCTGGACCACCCAGCGACCGGTGGTTTAATTTCCAGTTGAGGGTGCTCAATCCCCGCCTGGGTCAGGGCGCATGCGGGAGGCAACCCCGTCTCTCTCACACCGATTGGCCAAACTTTGGAGAAACTTTCCAGGAAACCTAACGGCTTACAGATACACTTCACCTCCAACCTATCTGGTTGAATCAATGGGAGATCAGTAAAATGTTATAACCTGAAAGCCACCCAGAAACTATGGACAGAAACAGCTCATCTTAATCCGAGTTAGGATGAAGGACGAAGGACGTGTCAATAACACAAAGGCAGCTCAGGGAGGGAGGGAGGGAGGGAAGGAGGGAGAGAGGGAGAAAGGGGAGGGGGGGAGCCCCCAATGGCTTCCTCCGCTGGAAAGTGGTCGCCTCCTGGGGACTCCCTGGGCCGGATGCAGCTCATTCCAGGTTAAAAAGAATTCGGAGACTGAATTCGAAGCCCAGCATCTGACCAGATGGAACGGAACCGAACCGAACAGAACCTTGTGGTGCACAGGACGACACCCAACCAGCCAGGGCTGCAAACACCCATCCACCCTCGTCAGCACTCACTGGTGCCGACCTTGTTTTTATTGCTGGGCATTAACTGCTGTCATTACTGGAAGTTTTAAAATGGGTCTGCAGTCTATACAAAGACCCTTGCAAAATACAATTAAAGCACCTGTTATACCTTTAAAGAAAAAGGGGGGGGGGGGACACTAGACTACGGCTCACTCTCACTCTCGTGTTGCTAAGCCAAACTTCTCTCAAAGCCTAAGTGAATAGGTTGCTATACTCATGTTCCCTCACTGAACAAACATTTACTAACACCTAAGGGCATTTAGGAAATGAGAACAATGCCAAGTTCTCTTTCACACCATCACGGGTTTTACAGGCAGGTGTCTATGTTCATCTTTTGTGATTTCCTTAGAGAGAGGGTGTAGGCCCCCACCCCCCCAAAAAGGACTAGAAAACAAGAGGGCGGGACTCACTGAATCCCACATCTGCCACCCTAACTGTAATCTTAGAGAAACTACCTAGATCTGGAGCTGTGGGCTCTCACGTGTGAAACGAAGGAAGCAATGCCGATCCTCAGGCCAGCTGTGAGGACTTAGGTGAGCTATGTTTCAGGTGCCTGGATGCGCAGATGCTCAGCTGTTCACTGGCTGCACGGGAAGGCCCGTCAATAAAAAGGGGACTACCCATGGCGGGTAAGGACACATATGTCATACCTCAATCAATAAATGGTCACGTGTACTCCATACAGGTGCTTAGACTTATCAACCCGAAAATGCAGTATCGAATGCAATAGGAAAGTCTGTTGTTAGAACCATCAATGTGTCCAAGTAAAGACATAGTGTGTACAGAACAAGCGAAGACCTGGTCAATGCTTTCACCGCTCCAACATCATTGTCAGAAGCGGACAGGATTGAGGCTGTCGGTTCAGTTGTGAACTTGAGGAGGCCCAATAGATATGCTCTGGCTTTAAGAAACCTGAGAAACCAAACCCAATTCTGTGTCTTTAAGACTCAGGGAAACCTAGCCAGCTTTAACCACTGGCCTCAACACTCTGGTACAAACCCTTCCCTCAGCCTCACCCAATCAAATCTCTGAAGGATTATCCAAACCTAAGCTACTCTCTTAAAATTGGAATCAAACAGATGCTCAGAGTTTGAAAAGGTAGAAATTATTATTGTTATTTCCCTTTCTTTTCCCCTTCCCTGATATTTTATTTGAACAACAATCCTATGGGAATCACAAATTACCTTAGGAATATTACTCAAGTCTTTTTGTTAAAGCTACATCGACAAAGTAATGCATTATATGTCAATTATATCTCAGTAAAATGGGGGTGGGGGAGAATCTAGGGAGAAAAAAAATTAAGGAACATTGTATTTAAGACCAAAGCACTGGCTGCAGGGCACATGATAAAAAAAATTTGATAATATATATCCAATCCCCTTAGCCACTTCCAGAAACTCTAGTGCCTGCACAAAAAGTGGCCAATTTATCATTACACAAGGGAGAGCAATATTACCTACTTACACGTAGATTAAAAAATAAATTGGGGGGGAGGACAATGGTAAAATATGTACACAGATAATAATTTAATTTAAAAAGTAATTAATTAGAAACATTTACAATCCCAAATGTGACTCCAAAATTCCAGAAAAAACAAAAAATTGAAGCATCTAAAAACATTCGGTAAGTAATCACACACATGTAGTCTGTCACTTCCTAAACGTCACCTAAGAGACTGTCCCTCCTGGAAGCACCAGTGCGATCGCCAAGCACACCCAGGTCCCTGCCCGGCCCCACACCTTCCAAGCGAACACAGGGCGCCCCCAAACACGCGCGCGCCCAGTCAGCTCCCTTCCACGGAGGGAGCGGCCAGCTGCGCGTGTTCGGGGCGCCCCTTCTCCTCCCGCACTCGGCAGTTCCTGACGGGGCGGCCGGGGGGCGGGCCGGGGCGGGAGCCCGGGAAGCGGCGGCAGACGGCGGGTGCCTGGCCGGCTGGCCCTCGCCCCTTCCGAGGGCGGCACCCAACGCCCACCCGCGGGGACGCGAACGGACCCCGGTGACGACCCAGGCGCTCGGCCGCTCCGCTCAACGCCCGCCCCCGTCCCCGCGGCCAGAGCTCACTGACCGCGGGCGCAGGGGACCTCCCAGCGGCGCCCCAAGACCCGGGGGCCCCGTGTGAGCACCGCCCGCCCCGTCCCGTCCCGCAGGGGCCGCCGCCGCGGCGTCCGCCTTCCGAGCGCGGCGGGCGCGGGCTCCCCCGGCAACAGGTAGGAGGCCGCGGCTCCGAACAAAAAGCAGCCGCTCTCCTCAGAGCTTCCGCCACCGTCCTTCCCGCCTCCCGCGGCCCCGGGGCCCGGAGCCCCAGGAGCCCCGCGGCGGGACGCGCGGCGGAGGCCGCGGGGGCGTGGCGAGCCGGCGCGGCCTTTGTTGTCCCTCGTGGCGCGCGGGGGGAGGGGCGGCCCGGGCCCGCGAGGCCCGCAGCCCCGGCCCCGCCGCGCGGCCCGGCCCCGGCGCGCGGACCCACCTTCTTGTAGTGCTTGCCCAGCCACACGCGCACCGAGTCCAGCTGGGACACCGTCTCCGGGCTCTCCCAGAACTTGCCGGCCGGGCCCCCGTCCTTCCGCCGGGACGCCGCCAGGCCCGCCGCCACCGCCGCGCCGCCCGCCCCCGCGCCGCCCGCCGCCGCCCCCGGCCCGCCGCCGCCGCCCGCCGCCGCGGCCATCGTCGCCGTCCGCCGACCCCACCGCCCGGCCCGCCCCGGCCCGCGCGGCGTGCCCCGTCCGCACTCGCGCGCGCGCGCAGCAGCCGCCGCCGCCGCCGCCGGCCCCGCCCAGCCAACCCGCTTCCGGCGCGGCCCTGGCCCCGCCCTTTCCCCCCACCGGCGCCCTAACCGCCGGGAGCGCGCGCACGCGCAGACGCAGCCCTCGCGCCGGACGGGGGGCGGGGCTTTGGGGGCGGGGCGGGGCGGGGCGGGGCCTCGGAGCAGCCCAGCTTCCGGCGCCTTCGGCTCACGTAGGTCGTGGCTGCGTTCCGCGCCGCCGCCCGCCCCGGCTCGGCCGGACCGGCTCCTTCCGGGTTCCTGTGTCGGGTTCTGTGCCCACGGCTGCGTGGAGGCCTCCGTCGTCGCTGGCCCCGCCAGAAAGCACAGGGCTGGGAAGAAGCTCCGAGGGGACAGCCCGGTTAGGGAGTGGGGTGCCGGTCAGGACCCTCCTCGAAGATGGGGATCTCCGCCCGCCCCGCTCGCCCTGGGCCGTGGGCTCCAGGTGGCCCGGGCCTCCGTCCGCAGCCATCAAGGCCAGCGGCTTCGCGCCTTCCTCTCCTGCGGCTACAGCCACTAGAGCTGATGGTGCCTCAGGGCCTTCGCACCGGCTGTTCCAGACCTGCCGGTCTTCCCTCTGATTGTCACTCATGCTTTCAAATGCATAGTTTAGCAGTGGTTGGTCGACAAACTCAATAGTCAACAGAGCCCAATATCAACAATACAACGATTAAAATTTATTTTGAGCCAAAACCAGTTTGGTTCAATGGATAGAGCATCGGCCTGCGGACTGAAGGGTCCCAGGTTCGATTCAGGTCAAGGGTACTTACATTGGTTGCAGGCACATCCCCAGGACGGGGTGTGCAAGAGGCAGCTGATTGATGATTCTTTCTCATCTATGTTTCTAACTCTCTATCCCTCTCCCTTTCTCTCTGTGGAAAATCAATACAATATATATATATTTTTAATTTTTTTTAAATATATATTTTATTGATTTTGTACAGAGAGGAAGGGAGAGAGATAGGGAGTTAGAAACATCGATGAGAGAGAGTCATCGATCAGCTGCCTCTTGCACACCCCCTACTGGGGATGTGCCCGCAACCAAGGTACATGCCCTTGACCGGAATCGAACCCGGGACCTTTCAGTCCCCAAGCCGACGCTCTATCCATTGAGCCAAACCGGTTTCGGCTATATTTTTAATTTCTTTTGAGAGCCAAATGTTTTAAACTTCTAACACCACTTCTTCAAAATAGACTCGCCCAGGCCGTGATATTTTGTGGAAGAGCCACACTCAAGAGGCCAAAGAGCCGCATGTGGCTCGAGAGCCTCAGTTTGCCGACCACTGGCTTAGAAGAACTTCAGAAAAGTGGTCCCTACAATCTATTTTTCTTTTTTAAGAGAAAATGTATTTAGAAAGTTACAGGCCAGTTTCGATCTAGGAACCAGGAGGTCACACTTCGATTCTGGTCAAGGGCACATGCTCCCTGCAGGGCCTGCAGGAGGCAGCCGATGATTCTCATCATTGAAGTTTCTCTCTGAAATCAATTAAAATATGTTTTTTTTTAAAAAGCTCACAGAGGCTGCAGGAGTGAGCTTGCCATAGACTCGGGAAACAAGTCACAGAAGCAGTAGAAGGGTACTCGGGGCCTAGGAGAGGGAGAGGCACGGGTGAGCACGTGGGGGAGTACAGAGGGCAGGGAAAGGCCAGGCCCTGCTCCGGAGAGGGGGGCAGACCACACAGCTGAACAGCTGAACAGCCCCCACATCCTCTGCTGGCACTGCCAGGTTCTGGTCTGTCTGCTTATCTTCCACATAAACTGCATGAGACCCTAGTCCTGACTTGTTCACAGGTGTGCCCTCATGAAGATGAAAATGGCAAAAAGACCAGACTGATGGGGGCTCTCACCTGAGCCGGGGTTAAGGCCAAGTCCCATAAGCATTTGAAAACAATGAAAAAGAGGAGGTCCCAGAAAGCACCCTACCGGGTAGCACGGCTCCCAGAGACAGTGACCAGGGGGGCGGGGCACGTGTGAGGAGGGACTAGGGATGGGAATGGGGAGGGGAGGAATGAGGACAAATATGTGATACCTTAAATAAAGAAATTTTAAAAAGATTGTGAACAAGCCGTGTGGTTTCCAAGGTAAACTGTTAGTCAGAAAGATGCAAACAGTCTCTCAATAGCAGCAAGACATTATCTGTACACATTATACAGTTGTCCCACGAAGGCTCTCTAACTTTATTTTTTTTTAAATATATTTTATTGATTTTTTACAGAGAGCGAGAGTTAGAAACATCGATGAGAGAGAAACATCAACAATCAGCTGCCTCCTGCACATCTTCTACTGGGGATGTGCCTGCAAAAAGGTACATTGACTGGAATTGAACCTGGGACCTTTCAGTCCACAGACCAACGCTCTATCCACTGATCCAAACCGGTTAGGGCAAGATCATTTTTCTTAAATAACGTTTATTGCATGTAACATTATCATTTAAAATCATTTTTCTTGAAGTAAAAAATACTGAAAAAAATGTTTATCAGAGTAAGAGTTGTATTGTGAATTGTGATACTATGAGGGCTTTATGTGTTTTCATTGAGTGGAGGTCTTTGCAGTTTTAATTAAAAATATATATATTTTATTGATTTTTTTTACAGAGAAGAAGGGAGTGGGATAGAGAGGTAGAAACGGCGATGAGAGAGAAACATGGACCAACTGCCTCCTGCATACCCCCTACTGGGGATGTGCCTGCAGCCAATGTACATGCCCTTGACCGGAATCGAACCTGGGACCTTTCAGTCCACAGACCGACGCTCTACCACTGAGCCAAACCGGTTTCGGCTGCAGTTTTAATTTTTAAATGGAGGTTGGGATCCTTGGAATGTTTAAATTAAATTATTAAAAATAAACAAAAGTTGGGAATGAGCCTTAGATAAAATATGACGTGAGTGCTAAAAACAAACAAACAAACACATTCCTGATTGGTCAGAATCCGAGCTACAAAATATCGTAGGGAAAGGAATACAGAAATGGACGTTGCTGACCCCTAGTGCTGGACAGATAAATTATATTTCCCCTCAAAAGACTCCAACTGGAAAGGCCTGGAACCAAAAAAACGCTGGCTGGCAGGCCACCAATTCGTGAGGGGAGCAAGCTGGCGAGCTGGAGCTTTTTATACTCATCTTGATCCCGTCCCTGATGTGTTGATGTATTGCTATCATCTCAGATGTTTATTCTCTGGGTACCAAGCTTTTTCTTTGCTTCTTTTTCTCCTAATTTCTGTTCTGTTCAATTAAAATTTTAATTCCCTTTGACATGCTCAAAAGCCATGGATTATATTTTTGTTTAGTAATCACACTAACACTAGAGGTCCAGTGCACGAAATTCATGCATGGGGGGGGGGTCCCTTAGCCCGGCCTGCACCCTCTCCAATCTGGGACCCCTCAGGGGATTTCCGAATGCCAGTTTAGACCTGATCCCACAGGCAGTCATCCCTCACAATCTGGGACTGCTGGCTCCTAACTGCTCACCTGCCTGCCTACCTGATAACCCCTAACCACTCTGCCTGCCTGCCTGATTCCCCTAACTGCTCTCCTGCCTGCCTGATAGACCCTAACTGCCTCTGCCTCAGCCTCTGCCAATGTGGCTTTGTCTGGAGGGACGTCCGGTCTAATTAGCATATTACCCTTTTATTACGCATTGTAAATAAAATTTCTAACACAATCCTAAATTATCACTGTGGGTTTCTTTTTTCAAATTATGTTTATTTAGAAAGTTACATAAGAAAGTAGGAAGTTAGTGTCAGTATAAATGAGCCACCTGGGCTGTGTAGGCTCATGATACAAGCTACAGAAGCAAAAGAAGGGCCTTGTGGCTTAGGAGAGAGAAAGGCAAAGATAAGTGCCCGGGGGAGAGGGGGAAGGGGCAGGCGCCGCAGGGTTCGGCAGGCCTGACACTGCTCCCTCTTCCTAAGCCCTTCACCTGAACCCTGGGGAGAGTGGACTCTCCCCATTGCCAGGGGTAAGGTCCCAGAGTGGGGTCCAGCGCTGTCAGTGAAACACGAAAAGGAGTCTAATTTTAAGACTTTATTAGTTGGGTGATATAAACATCGATGGGAACACTAGCTAAATTCTGATTGTCTAACTACTAAGCGGTAACACCCAAAACCAATCCAAAATGTGATTTTCTAAATCCTCACCTGAGGATATTTCTCCGTTTATTTTTTTTAAAAGAGTGGGAGAGAAAGGGAAAGATGGAAATATCGATGTGAGAGAAACGCATCGATGGGTTGCCTCCTCCAAATACCCCCCCCCCTGGGTCAGAGAGGAGACATGTCCTTGACCGGAATCAAACCGGGGACCCTTCAGTCTGCAGGCCGATGCTCTGTGGGAGGGAGGGGAGAGACCCTGACGGGCGCCCACCTCGTACAAGGTGCATCTGAGCAGACACAACTGTTCGCTAAAAAGCCCAAGGCTCAAGCATAAGGACAAGATCTTCTGAAAGAAAACTACCAACATAACTCCTGCAAAAAGCTAAACAAAAAAGGAGAAAAAAAGCTAAAATAGAGAAGCTCCACCGGTGCCTGTTCTGCAGGACTTCCTGTGTGTTTTCAGACTTCCGTGCAGGCCCTTCTCATCCTCTCTCCCGGGTTCGAGTTTCCTTCGGGGTGAGGACCAAGTCTTTATCCCCTAACTTACAACAGCATTTCCAACAACGTGAAGGAGCTGGATCCATCACCGCCGACCGTGTCTCTCAATTACGTTAACAGCGTACAATCCTTCCAGTCACCCGGCACAGAGCAGCTCTGCGATCTTGCTTTTTCGCCCTTTTCACTGGCGGGTGGAGTTCAATCCATTACCTCTCATCCAATTAGTACCCTCGCTTCTATTTTTCTAGCTAATTCTACGCTCTCACCCTTTCAGAATAACCTTCCTAAAATTAGCTGTTTTGGGCCTGGCCGGTTGGCT